TTGTACCTCAAAAGAATTAATCATATACACTTTAAGAAGATCTCAAAATTATGTTAGCCCTTAAGGATATCAGCATAGTTCAATCTAAAAATTTTAGAGATATTGAAGAAAGCCAAATTGTTAAAAGAACTTACAATTCAATAAAAAATAGGTTAGTTAAGATCTTATATTAGATATATGGATTACCTTTAATATCTGTCATAAGAAAATATGGAATAAATTGCTTAACATTTAAATGAACATGGATTAGTGGGATATTTGTTATTTAGTAATTCATAGCCAAGAGAATTATTAAAGATTGTTAATTTCGATCCTAAAACAATGGAGAAGGAAAAAAAGAAAGTAGAAGATGAACTAGAGATTAATAAATTGTAAAAGGTTAAAGTTGAACATAAAAAACAAATTGATCCTACTTTTCCAAAAAATGATTTTGATAAATTTTCAATTGAGGATATGGATCAAGTTCTTAGTCTCTTATCTGATTATAAAGGAGTTCCTAAAGCATATTTAGTTGAAAGACTTCATTAATTAAGTGGAAATTTAGAAGACTTGGATGGATTTTTAAAAACTAATGATGACACTTATTGCTTTTTAGAAGAAGAGGATCACTTATTGAAAGAAGATTAGAACAAAGAGAGTCCAGCAATTCGACTATTAATAAGGAAGAAAGGCATTTCAAGAGTTTAAAGAAGATTAAAATACTTAGGGAAATGATTATTAAAATTATAAAGATAAATATTATAATTTAAATTTTAAATTTCTTAATAAGGTGGTATTTTATTTATATATATATTTTTTCTACTAATGATAAGTATATATATTAAAATTCTAATAAACGAATAATCAGGAATAATTGCCGAATGGTCTAAAAGATTGAGATTGAATTCTCAAAAGTAAAGAAAAAGTACAAATTACACAGTTGCCTTTTATAATTTTAATAGACTAATCTTAAAAAAATTATATTAGAAAAATATAAAAGTGATTAGATCAAGCAATTCTTGAAAATAAGAAATATAGCAACAAAATATTTTGTTGAATTTAGTTCTTACACTCATTAACTTCAATATGTGTGTTTCTAAAAAACAATTAATTTTCAATTTGGATATATGATAATCTAATTGATAATATCGTGTTAGGATATAGACTTGCTATATTAGTTTAAATATTTAATATATGAATTCTGATATAAAAAGAGTTGCTGAATATTAATTATCTATTAAATTATAAGTTTTAACAAGTTATAAGTATAGATTTTTTTAAAAATAATTCGATTGAAAACAATAAACTTCTTCCTTAGTTTAATTGAGATTTATAAAAGAAATTGAAGAATCACAGAAGTCATATGAAATTTATTATAATAAATAAAATAATCTATTTTCAAGTTTAAAAATGTTGGTTTATATAATATCAAAGTTCTAGAGATAAAGAAAAATTAAAGTTTATTATAAATTTTAATCTATTATGTTAAAGATTAGATTATTTAAAATAGAATAAATTTTAAATATATGTTTATTAAAAAATATTAATGATTAATAAGTATCTTTTAAATGTCCTTTTTTGGTATAAAATCACTATCTTATATAATTAGCATATTATATAATTTGTATGATTAATAATCACATAGTACATTCTATAAACACATATAGAATAAATCGAATTTTAAGGCGTGTAATTATTTACAAATTAATTATTAATTAATATGGGAAACGATTAACCTAAGCCTTAAGCTCCTAAACCTACAATTGATGATGCTATTTTGGATATGAAGTTGGCATCTAAGAAATTTGCCAATGAATCAAGAAGATGTGAGAAGGAGAAGGATAAATTGATGAATTAGGCAAAAGTAGCTTTATAGAAAAACAATGAAGAAGGTAAGAATTAGTTGAATTATTTTTAGGAGCAAAATTATTTCTAACATCAGCCATGAATAAACAGAGGGAAGCAGAGAACTTATAAAAAATGTCACATAAAATGGATTATTTACAAGGCATAATTAAAACAACTACAAACCAAACAAAAACAATGGATGTACTTGCAAAAATTAGTCCACTTATGAATTAATAAGTACTAAAAGTATTAATATTAGATTTAAAACATGCCATTAGAATTGGTTTATTAAAACATGAATTAATTTGAGAAAGCAATGGATGAAATGCAAGTATAAGGAAACATAATGACAGGAATGATGAATTAAAATAATAATATTGGATAAGACTTAGCAATAGATTAAATGATGGGATAATTAAAATAAGAAATACACAGTGAAGTAATATTTAATATAAATTTTAGGTGGCTAACGATTTAAATGCAAATCCTAATGTTCTCTTTAAGGAGTTAAATTAACAGAATCAATAATAAAATGTTTAACCGATTAGTAATAACTAAATTAAATGATTTTATGAAGATTTCTATATTGAATATATTGGACTTCATAATCAAAAGACCTCTTCTCTAATTTGGAGGAATTCTGATGCAGCACTCACCTTTTAAGTGAGAACCTCTTATAATCTTTCAACAACTTCCAATTATTGTTCTCTTTCGAAGGTTTAAGCTTCATATTGAGCTTCTTATTCAGCAGCCCATCTTTATTAAATAGCCAATGAGTCTTCAGCATCTTCAAGGAATAACTATTTAATTAATCTTTATATATACAGTTTGATCTTCTAAATCTTCAACAGCTTCTTGAATAGTCACTTTGAATTAGACAATTGAGTTTTCTAAGAAACCTTTTCTTTCTACTAATCTCTTGTGTTCTTCTTATAAATGTCCACTTTAAACTTCCCAATTAGCAGCTTGTCTTTCTTCTGTAGCAAGTAAGGATGCTCTGCTGGCAACCAATTATTATCTGATTTAAGCCAAGAGTTCTAAGATCTTGATGATACTCTTGTTGTCAACCTTTGAAGCTAATTATGTCAAAGCATTGATGAGTGGCTAGAATTGAGATTAAAAGAGTACTTTGAAGAGAGCATGTTTAGATTCCATCAATTTAGCTTAGACTTTTTCAAATCTACTTTTGAGTTAAGCAAAAGCAACACCAGCTTATAAGTGTTAAACAATCTTTGAAGCTTCATCAATAGCATCCATTTAATCAACGTGTTCTGCATCCTTTCTAACCCATGTTTCATGTTATGATTGTCTTGTAGCAGATTCATCAGCAAAGCTTCTTTCATTATTGGCAATATCTGAGGTAACAACTCTGACTTCAGCTTCAGCTTCACCCAAAGCTTCAGTTGTGGAGTCTCTCAAATTTGAAAGAGCAACAATTTAGCTTTCATGATAAGCAATTTCTTGTTCTAAGTCAGCAATAATCTAAACAAAATTAATTGAATAATACTAACCTTTTCGAAAGCAACTGTATCACTTTCGTGAACTTTGTCAGCTTTCTTTTAATCTCCATTAAGTTGGGAAGCAATATTGTTTAAGAGAATTTAAATTTCACCTACAGGTCCACCTGTTGCCAATTAAAGTTATAGGACTGACAACACTGAATTTCCAAATGAATCCTTGTTAATTTAAGCCAACACTTCCTTTGGGCTTTCTGTCTTTGTCACTCTAGCAGTTGCAACTGCGAGGATAAGAGCCAATACAGGGACGATTCTCATGTTATTAATATTAATGAAATGAAATCACAATCTCTCTCCAAGACATTAAAAATTACCCGTTTTTCAATTTATTTCTACATCCCTCATTAATACGTTTTTCTTTTTAATTAAAAACTCATTCATTTTATTATCTCAAAACAAATGCACTTCATGAAGATAGTCTAAACAATTTAAATCACTATTCTCTAAATATCAACTATTCTGAATTATTACTTTATTAATAGAAAAAGAAAGCATTCAATTCATAATATTAAAATGTACTATATTCTGATATCAACCTCAATTATTACACTATCTATAACTAAATGTTTGTCATTCATAATTCATTATAGAATTAAAGAAGAAAACTGAAATTCCTCAAATTCTTAAAAATCAATAATTAAGCTACAATATCATTTTCTATTGAAATGCTAAATTAGTTCAGTGTTATATCAATAAATCTTTATGTATCTTATACGTTACAATAAATAAAAAAGATTTATCAAGATATGGAGATTTTACTTTCAATCATACAATCAGTTTTTGTCTTAATTAAAACAAAATTAATTAACTTTAACAACTTCAAAGATTATATATTCATTATTTCTAACACTCATTTTCTATATTTTTAAATGACTTAATTCTTATCTTCAAAAATATAGAATATTATGTGTTTTTAAATTAATCATAAAAATCTATTAATTTACAGAACTATTGTTTAATTAATTCATATTATAAACTATTCATTTGTTAACTATTTTTATTTATATATTATTATTAATTTTAAACATATATTGAATGAAATAAGTAGATATTGAGATAATAAATGATCAACAACCTTATAATAATCAATAATATTAATGAATAATCTATTAAATAAAAACCTAATGATAAATGCATGTTACTGCAAAGAGATTTCTAAATATACATTTATATATATATATATATATTGATCTAATTCTGTATCTTAATTATTAACAAAATTTGACTCAATATGAGTATATATGATTAAGAATTAAATAAAAAAGAAGAAAATGTTTAATTTATAATAAAATTTCGATTTGCTTACACATATTGCTATATGAGAGATAATTTAAACTTCTTTAATTATAAGCTTAATAAAAGAATTGCTTTTAGCCAAAATTTGATTTGAAAATAACAAAGGAATTTTCTAAGACAATAAATAGAGTCTACTTAAACATAATTGAATCAATAATAGCAATGATTGATAAATAATTATTTTAAATAGATTAATAGTAGTTGTAAGGATTACAAAAGAAAAAATAATAGATCATTAAGATGCTTATAAAATACTTGCTATTAATTTTTTAATTCTATATTAATACTTTATTATTATGATCTCAATCAACTACTAAAAATACAGACCTTAAGAACTTAATTTGTAATATAGTCAATTCTATGTTTTCTTATACAAAAGAGCGTACCTTGTTAGATGATATAAAAATAAAAGAAAAAAATGAATTTGTAATTAAATTAGCAGTTTATATAATATAATTTGAAATGTAAATTATTGAGGTTTTAAAATAAAAACCTTCCAAGAATCAAAAACAAATCATCTTGAACTATTAGAACATTAGAGAGATAGGTTTACACAATTCTTTCATCTATATTACAACTCTATGTTTGTCTCATAATTGTATTTAACATTTAGATGGGATCGATTAATTTGTGTAATTAACAACTCTCTCCTTACATCATAATCTTATTCAAAGTGTTAATGAGTTAAATAAAATTAAATAACCTCATCTACTTAAATTACTCAACATTCATCATAATCCATTTACTGTTAATCCAACCTATTCAACCGTCATTTTGTAGAAATTTTGTTATTTGGAACAACTTGACAATTAAAAGTTAAATAAGTAATATTATTAATAATATTTTCATTGGATCAAATCTATTGGTTAATTACTTATTCCTTATCTGAATGAAAATTGTATATCAGAATAATTAGTTAATTAATTGTCTATGGAATTAAAAAAATATGAAATTTGTATTTTTAAACTAAATTCCATTATTTATACTCATCTAATTAATTTTCACTATTCAAATTAATATACTTAATAATAATTATAACAATCAGGAGAATAAGTATTCTCAAAACTCATAGACATCTTAAATAATAACCAAAAAAACAATGATCTATAAATGTGTTTGATTAATCAATCATTATAAGATTAAGAAATAGATTTGTTCGAATTTTAATCTAACAATATCTATAAATAAAAATGTTTATATCTAAACTTTTTGTAATTGAATGACATTATATTTATGGAACAATAATTTTGTTTCCCTTATTTCCCTTTATGCATAGATTATGTTAAATCAATAATAGAATTAATTAAAATATAATTTAAAAAGCAGAATAAGTATGTAAATACAAGATATCAATAAACTTCATTATAATCCTATCGTTAATAAAGTGTAGATAATTAAGAAAATAATCGATCTAATTAATAATCAATCAATAAGACTAAATCAAGTTAATCAATAGGTAGAATGAAAAATAATACTAATAAATCTATTTTGACTTCCTAAAGTTAATTAAGTCATAGAATTAATAATAATTCTGTTTCAATATTTGTTAGAGTTTTAAATAATTTCACAAAAAAATAAAATTTACTTTAAAAATAATCATTATTTGATATTTTAAAGAAGAGAACACTTATTCAATAAATTTTTGATAAAATAATATAAAGAAAATAAATAGGTTTTATTAAAGAAAGCTTTAATAAATTGAAATAACTTCTTGCTGTAAAGATCATAGCAAAAGTCACTTTACCAATTCTCAATGAAATTAAGGAAGAAGCATTTAATAATATATTAAGGCTTAAAAATAGATATGAGGCTAAATAGCTTGAAAAAAGTATATAACACTTTTAAATGTAAAGAAACAGACTGTTCTTCTCGATTCTATTAATAAATTAATAATAAATGGTTTAATAAAAATAAGCTTTATCTTAATTATTAAAAAAATAGAGATAATTACCTTTAAGAGAACATTTTTAAAGATGGAAGATTTTTACTATTAGTGAATAATTTTATGATTAAATTTTTCAATAAAAGAATAACGAAATTAAATCTTTAGCATCAATTTCTACAAAAAATGAAATTTGTAAAAAATAGCCAAATAAATCAATCCAATTTTTAGATAGTAATTCAACACTTGAATAAGATGGAGATAAAAAATTAAAAAGAAATTCAGCTACTTCTATTAATGAACAATTAAAAAAGAATGGAACAAACATATACTGTGAATATGTAGTTATTAATAATAAGTTAAAGAAAAAAAAGAAAAAAAAGTCTTTAAAAAATTCTAAATCTAAAAAAGATAATAAAAATAAATAAAATAAGATTAAATGTGGTATCTGTAGAGATTATTTAGATGAAAATGGTAATATTATAGATAAGAGAGATAAAAAATGAATATAAGTTAATTTTTTAGAATAATATACTATTTTGAAATTAAATTAATATTTATTACTATCATCCTCACAATTATATACTATATTATGTTTTTTAAATGTTAAACTTTTGAAATTGTTTCCAATTTAATAATTCTACTGAATTATTTAATTTTGATATTGTAAAAATGAATCATTATTGTTTGTTAGAATAAAATATCATTTAAAATATTTTCAATTCTCTTAATCAATCATGATTAGTTTTACTCTAGTTAATTAACAATAAAATTATTAAAGATGAAATAAAGAAAAATGCAGACACCATAAGAGATTATAGCTTTTCTTCGATCTTTTAAAAATTATATTAGAAAACCCCACTCAATGAGTCCTTAGAGTCGTTGTCAAACAAATGTTTAAACAGCCAAAAAGATGATGAAAGATGATCATCTACTGAAATCTCCTACTGAGAGAAAACAGAATAATGAATTTATTTGTGAGGGAATTGAGAAGAAAGTCGAAAGTTTGGCTATTTAGATCAAGGATTTGTAGACAAAGTAGGAACAATTAGAGAATTAGCATTATTAATTGAGCATGAGTGTCAAGAAATTAACATTAGACAAAAAGCACTAATTACAAGTAAGAGGGAGCAAACTTAATTTTAGGAGCGAAGTTAGATGATCAAAAAGTTAGATCAAATGATTGATATCTAACTAAAATAGGAAGAAAACTTGAATTAATTTAAGTAATTATTTGCTTCTCGAAAATTAATTAATTGACTTTTGGTTTTTCATTTTTATATGATATTTATTGTTATTGTATATCAAACTTATTTGCAGCAAAATGTGTATGTATATTTTTATTAAATGAATTTATATTGAAGAATTTGATAATTTCATCATTTATTATTCTCAACAAACAAAATTACATGAAAAAATAAAGTGAGAATGAGAAGATTGCTATTTATGCATCATAGATGATGAAATTGCATGGGAAAATCTTAGAGAAGAAATTGACAAAAATGCCTTCAAAACAGTAATTTGAAAGTCAATCTCAAAATATCTCGAATAATAATAGTCCTGCAGTTGGAAGACAAAAGTCCTATGAAAATTTATTAAAAGTAAATAGAACATTCATAAACCCAACACTTTAAGTGTCCTAATAAAAATTATGCAGCATTTTAAATGTGATGGCAGGCTAACAGACGAAACCTAAAAATTAAAGTTTATTTAACAATGAATTAATCGACACAGTGAAGATATCTCATAAACTAAGAAAGAATTAATCTATGATTCAAATGGAGCAATAATCCCCTTAACTTACTAAAAACTCATCTTTTCATAGACCTAATTCAAGTGTGAAGATAAAGAATAGTAATAGTGTTTCTTGTGATTAGACTCAAATTCAAAAAATAAAAGAAAAGATCAAATTGCTTTTACAAGAAAGAGAGAATAATTGGTAATAGGATTAAAAAGAAATGGCATTTATGATTAAATTTAATTAAACCCTCAATTAGCTATTAGCAATCATGTTTCAAGATTAATAAAGTGTTTAGCCAGCATCAACTTAAGATTCAAATTAGGCCCTATAAATAGATCATTTCTTTAAGAGATAAATATAGATTCTATAACATTCATTTTAATAACAAATAGAAAAGAAGAAAATGGAAAATATACTTATTTCAATCAAAAAGAAGCATGAAAGTCTATTATAAGAGCATAATTAGTTATTAGAAGTTAAGAAGTCTTAAGATGAAATAATTATTAATTTATAATAACAAATAAATGGATTATCAGATTAGATCAGAGAGTAGGATCATATATGTTAAAATGACACAGGTATATCTATATATAATAATTATAGAAATCTTAGAATTAAAATATTTAGTGTAAGGATAATTTGAAGCAATTTAAAAATTACTTTAAAGAGAGTAATTAACTAAAATATTCTTGAAACGAGTTGGTGATAGTTCAATAATAGAGTAATTATAAAATTTAAATTTAGAATGTTCGAATAATTTATCTCAAATGCAGAATAAGGAAATCAAGATGAAACAGAAGGAAATTTAAATATAGATATAAACCCTATAAATCAACCTAATACTCTTAATAAACTTCAAACTCCTAAATAGAAAATTAGTTCTCCTGAATAAAATACTTATCCTCTCTAAATCTTATCCTAATATGAAGATAATTATAAGTAACAGTTAAATTTATGTGACTCTTTATTGGCAGATGATTCAAGTATTAGTTATGTAAATTGTAAATAGGAATAAATGATTCTGAAGAAAGTAGTTTTGAATATAAAGGAAAGGAATAAGCCACTGAGATAAGTTGTTACTTCAACTTGGCATCTCAATTTGTTTAGCCACAGATGAAGAAAAAGAGTAATTAGACAATTTCAAAAGAGAAATTAAAAATAAATATGATGGATGTCTTATTAGCTTAAGCTGCGTATTTAAATTATATAAAATTTTATCTAGTTAAAAACATTAAGAAATTTTAGAATAATAACAATAACAGTAATAGAAGATTTTGCCTGATGACTTACTGGATGAAGATTAAATAGATTCAAACTAATCTGATGAGGAGGTATTTAATTCTTAGAAATTAGTATTGAAAATTTGAATAAGATCTATTTTTCCTCGTTCTATTATATATAATTCATACTTATTATAAACAAACTAAGTGTATAAATTATTAGAAGAGATTGAAAATCAAAATTCTTTTTTTAAATCAAAGCCATTTTTTTAATTTGCCTTTAATCCAAAAACCTTTTCTAGCAATCCCTTCTTTGTCTACAAATAACCCTATACCATCTTAAAGACCATGTTTCCATTATCCTTTATAAATTCGACCGTCTATATACTACATTTCACCATAACCATGTTTAATATCATTCTAATATTGTCCTATATATATACGACCTAATTTAATGATAATGATTAATTACCATCACCCCATTTCATAGTTCCATCTCCATTCTTTAAACCATTCTTCCAGTAACCTTCAAAAATTTTAGCTTTATTAGGCCAAGTCTACTTAATTAAGAGGATTTACAAATGAACCATAACCATGAAATAAATCATTTTCAAATTCGCCTTAATAAACTGATCCATCAGCCAACTGAAAAATGCCCAATCCACACTTCATTCCATTCTTAAATTTGCCTTCGTAAGTAGATTTATCTTTATAAATCTCTTTACCTATTCCATGTTAGAGTCCTTTCTTCCATTAACCTTAAATATATGATTTAGATACCTGTATAAATACGACCATCATAATACTTAAATTCTCCATGACCATTGAACATATTATTAAGCCATTCTCCTCTATAAGATTCATTGGGATTGATGTAGACTCCTTCACCTTGAAGTTCATTGGCAATCCACTAAAATATATTGAATAAATTACAGTTCCTTCGATATAACTAGAAAATAAAAAATAGTAACTACCTATCATGGAATTAATATTTTCCTTTTCCATTAGCTTTTCCATCTTTCCATATTCCAGTATAGATAGCTCCATTTTTCATAATAATAGGCTAGTCATTTTCTTATACTAGTGTAGGATCAAAACAAAGTTTAGGATTTTCAGGTTGAGTGGGAGCAGAGGGTTCTGGAGATTAGAGAGTAGGCATAAGAGATTTACGAACTTTGTGTCCTCTATAATAAGCTTATATAAAGATGATTTTGTTCTCATCATATTAAGGAGGGATTTCTTCTTTGATAAGATTATCTGTTTATTTGCAAGCACTTGAATCCATAGTAGGTAAGTCATCTATAATACTTGGAGCACTTTAACAACTGCCCATAATTAGAATAGGTTTTTTTTATCAAATTATTTTTATATTTGAGCATGCCAATTTGTTAGTTGTTGTAAGAAATAATAAAATAATGAATTAATAATATGATGATTGGCCATAATGGTGGAATGAAGTCAGAAGATAAAAATTTGGGTATAAATTTATAAATTAATAGATTTTAGAAGTGAAACACCACCTAGAAGATGTAAGAAAGTTCAAATAATTTAGATGAAATAGCTGTTCCTTCAATTTCTGCACATACATGGGTGATTCTAGATGGTTAGACAGGTAGATTGATTTGGGGAAAGAATGAACATTCTAACAGAGAAATAGCTTCCATAACTAAGACAATGACAGCCTATGTTACAATTAAAATTTGTGAATAACTCAAAATTGATCCAACATAAGTCACTGTTTCAGTCTCAGAATATGCAATTTAAATAGGTGGAACTTCTTCTAATTTACAAGAAGGAGATACTCTTACTTTAATAGATCTCTTATATGGATTATTATTACCATCAGGAAATGATTCTGCTTTAGCTATAGCTGAGAATTTTGGAGTATATCTTTATTTTTAATCTAAATATTTCCAATAAAAAATTGATTCTATTGACAATGATAATAATACTATACATGTCAATAATCCTGCATAATATTTTGTAGCTGAAATGAATTCAACTGCTCATAAATTAGGTCTTTCTAATACTTACTTTACTAATCCTCATGGTCTTGCTAATCGATTAAATAGATCTACTGCTTATGATGTTTCTAAATTGTGTTATTATGCTATGAAATTACCATTATTTGCTTAAATAGTTAGAACCAAAGAATACTCTTGTACAGTTACTAATCTAGGTTAAACTCGTATCTTAAAATGGGAAAACACTAATAAACTCTTAGAACAAGGTTTTACAGGTATAAAAACAGGAGTAACTAATGATGCTGGTCCATGTTTGGCAAGTCATTTTATTAGTAGAAAACATAGTTATATTCTTGTGGTTCTTAATTGCAATTCAAAAGAATAAAGATTAATAGATAGTTGTAGACTTATTGATTGGGTAACTGATATATATGAAAGATAATGATTATTTATATCACTTTAATATATAAAATAGTTCTTTTATATTTTTGATAATCAAATAATTAATAATCAATTAAAAATAGTCTTTAATCTTATAGTTGTTGTAGGAATTATATGTTCATGTTTATTGACTTAATATTTAAATTTCTCTGATGAATTTCCATTCTTAAATCTTTTTAATTCCACTAATTACTTATTAGCTTTAACTTAATATTTAAAACTTTAAGAATTTTAAAGAGGAAGCAGACAGGAACCTGTTTTTAGTCTATTAACAAGTATTGGAGATTTGATTAAAACATCTTTATGGGATCGAGATGTTAATGGATATGTTTTTTTAACATCTGAGAATTCTTAAAATACTTTTCCTAGAGATTTCTTTATAATGAATGTTTTGAAATGAGGACTTTTTATAGGTTATCTTAAAGGGATCTTATAACAAGTATTCTTTTAAAATAGAGTTTCTTAACCACATTCTTAACATTTACAACTATGTCTTCTTTTTTTGATTGGAGTAGTATTTTTGTTAGAGAGATGAAAACTAGTAGAAATCATTTTCTTTAAGGGTTTACATTCAATTAGTAAACTCTGTTATTATTTTTAAACATAATGTTGTTGAACTACCAAAGGAGAATTCTGATAAATTTGTTAAAAATGAGTTAATTTGCCACAATTATCACAACAGCAACTTGCTCTTCTTGGCTATTCTTAGACAGAATCTAAATATTTAAGTTTTTAAGTAGTCTTTCTATTTTGATTTCTTTTGTTAATGATGATTAACATTTAATAATATAGAATCATTTCATAATTTATTTGTTATTTATATACATAACAAAACTAATTAATCATTAAAAATACAAGAACACTAATAAGAATTATAAAATATATTAGATAAATCAATTAAATTTGATAAATATTCAAAAATAATTACAATAATCATTAGATCAATAGTGGTTGTACTGATTCATCATCCATATAATCTAGTACTTATTCTGTGAAGTAAGCAAAATAATGTCCTCTTGTTTTTTGTGTAATTTGAACTTATTTTTCATATGATTCTAATCCTAAAATATTAGTTGACATTATTAATGTTTCTTCAAGAATCAATTATTAACTTACCACATTTACAAATTCATTTAAAAAGACAGGTAGACTTTATAAATTGTATATTGTAATTTCATTCTCAATATCTGATAAATTAAATATACATCTCAGATTTAAAAACAATATCGTAAGCTCTTTAGCTTTATGATTATAGGTAACTCTCATTGAACCTGCTTAATCACTAATTACCACATCTCTCTCTTCTAATAAAACTGTGTTCTCTTATAAATGAGTAATTGATAATGGTTTAGGAATTTGTGATTGTTAATTGTCTATTTGAATATGTGATTCATAATATTGTAATAAGGAATCATCTGGAGTAAGAACTTGACTAGCTACTTTATAAGCCTAAATGCAGAATTGATTTGATTCATAAGCTCCCTTTTCTAATTGAGCCATTCTTTCATATAATTTTGCCATTAATAGATGTACCTTTTTATCTAACTTGGGTTCCAAAGACTTAATTATAAGTTGTTACAGTTTCAGAATTGCTTATAATGCTTATTGTTTGCTCTAATTATCTATAGTACAAAAGTGATAAAGAGATAAAGCAGATTCATAAATTTAAGACACTGTTCCCCCTATGCTATAATATTATTATTCATCAATTAATGCCAGTAGACGAGCTCTTGCTTATGTAATACGATTAATCTTAATTTAGTAAGCAATCTCTAGATTCTATAAAACCCATAAGTTGGAGAAGGTGCATACTTCTTGATTCCATAGCTATAGATATTAAATTATTAATTGAGTGCTTGGTAATTAATTCTTAGACATAAATTCATATCCCATATCTGCTAGTTCTGTAACAATGATTTAATATCCCTTAGAGAAATCAGTTACAGATATGGATTGAAGATGATTGGTTATGTCTTGGAGCAACTCTTCTGAGAAGTCATCAACTTCAAGTGAGTTGAGTATTTAAGCATACCACATATTTTAAATAATATCATAATTTAGAAGTATATTTGGGTAATTTCTTGGGATGAATACTGTAAGCCTATAATTGATTATACTTTTTGGATAACTTTTATGAATCTTCATCTCCACTAAATTCATTCATGCATTATTAAAATCCCCAAGTTGAATCAATTGTTTTATGTCTCTATAAATATAAATATTTAATTACTCTAAGTTAATCTTTAGGTTCAATAATTTATACTCCACTATGAAATATGACTGATTAACGTTTAGATGATTTAGCACTCTTTCTACTACGTTTACTTTTCTTACTTTTAGAACGTTTATCATCTTGATTACATAAACTAGTGTTTTCTACTTAAGATGGAATATATTTAATCATCATAGAAGATAGAGAACCTTAAATTGATGTACTTGTAAGATGTTTAGATTCCATTCTTATAGGAGTACCTCCTGTAGCTCTCATAGCTTCAGGAGGTTTTAGAAGATTATTGGAACCCATAATTTATTACGAACTATTCATTTGTGGTAATTTTTATTTGTCTTCCGATAAAGCCCAAATCATTTGATCTTTTATTTTTGTTTGACGATCTGTCCATTCAAATAACTTATCTAAAACTATATGATTATTAGAAGCTGCCTTTAATAAAAGAGATAACATGTATTTATAATCTGGTTCAGATTTGAATTCTAATTTTTTTAAATAACTAGTTGATATGTATAAGAATACTTAAAAATTTCAGCAAATTCAGATGGAACATCTTTACATAATTCTGATATTTCTGTCTTCTACTTGACTTCACCTACTACATCGGTTCGATCTCTATCTCCAATATTTTGTAAATTTTACCATGGCAATTTACTAATATAAAGAAAGTTCTCTCTACCCTTTTAAGAGATATATCATAACATAAAACATTGATTCTACATCATCTTTTCTTCCTAATTCGTAACCTCTATGTGCTGCTATCGATGCATATCTTGTTGTCCCTATAAAGGATTTCTTGTCTTTAAGTGGGCTTTGCCTTAGGTAAATTCAGTACATGTGCTTGCCATGATTATCTAAATAGACTTTTGACACCCCATAATCCACCAAATAAATAGTGCCATTCTCTTGTTAATATCCTGTCAAAATGTTTTCTGGTTTAAAATCTCTATGGATTACACCCCTTTCATGTACTTACTGCAATGTAGTTAACAATTAATATGAAATTTGTAATACACTCTTCAAACTAAACTTCTTATATGGCTTTATATATTGACTTAAATCCTTGCCCAAAATTTGTATTACAATCACATTATAGTCTTACTCAAATCCACTCCAATAAAGTTTAGGTGTTCCAGGTACTCCATTCAAACGATTAAGAATAGATATTTCTCTATCTAGTGAACTAACATCTTCATTTTCTTCTTTTTCTATTTTTACAGCCACTTCCTCTCTTGTGTGCTTGTCAAATGCCAAATACACTATACCGAATGAACCTGATGAGATCTATTATTTGATAATATATTTGTTGTTGAAAATCTTCGGATCCCTATAACTAGGAGGAAGCTTCATCATTTATAATTATTATAATTTAATATTTCTGTCTCTTATTCAATTTATTATTACTTAGATTGCATTTATTAATTAAAGATTTATTCTTAATAAACTCATTACATTCAATATCTACTTTAACTTTATAATATAATTTAAAAATAAATAACTTTAAAATAATTTTATCAAATGTTAACAATATATCCCATCTTTTTTAATTCTTCTACTTTTTTTTTGGATTTAGTAGTATTAATCAATGTTTATGATAGATAAATATTTTTAGGTAATTAAGATGATTTAATTATTGTTAAAATCTAATCTAAAGTTCTTTCAGTAATCATATTTGATGATAAATGTAATGAAACAACATTATTATTTTAAGATAAGACTTACAATAATATAGCAGCACCATCATCACTAATCTTATTTCTAGCTAATTTTAACTATTTAACTTTTTTACAAATTTTCAATTGTTCTGCAATTAATAAACATCCTTCATCTCCCAATTCTTAAAATTATATAAATACTTACCAGCATTTGAGAAATCAACAATCTCTAAATTATCATTTTTGAAAGCCTACCAAATTGGATCAAATTTTTCATTCATTTTAAAAGTTTTCTTTCTTTTTTCTTATAATTTTGGTGTAGGAGATATACCTTAACGTAAAATTGATACAGGAGCTGGAGGTTAAAGAATATTATTTGATTATTCTTTATTTGGACTTTTTTATTTAATACTCTTAAGAGGAGTAATTGAATTATGAAAATGAACAAGTGTTTCATTTCTTAAAGGACTCTTTTTTTATACAACTGATTATGTTGAAACATGACTCTAATTTTAGGTTACTTATGTAATTAAACTCTCTTCATTATCAGTCCAATCTGCTACAGAATTATCTCTTAAAAGAAGAGGTTCTTCTTAATCAAATTTTGTAAAGCTATTTTCAACATGATTATTTTCAGTATGATTTAATTATAATGTTAATGAACACATTGTATCAAAACATTTTTCTATTTCTACTTTTTTAAAGTCTACTCTTATTTTTTTGATTTTAATATTATTAATTCTTTGCTCTAACATTTTAATTGTTCTATCCATTTCTTCAATTATGGCATTTCCTTTAAATTCCTAATTATAAAGTAAATCCAAAGGTAATTCACCATTATCTGTTTTTGTAGAGAAATATAGTAAACGATCTTTAGCTCCAATCTTCCATAATTCAGCTTATTATAAACTTTATTATATTTGATCTTTTATCTATCTCTTAGTCTATTATTCAAGAGTCTAAGTTAAACCAGTCAATTGTTCTAATAATTTATTCTCCTTTAATTCTAACTATTAATGTAATTCCTTAAACTTCTCCTTAACTGAAATTTAACTATCTAAAAGCATTGCCTAGAATTTATCATTCAAAGGTTCATAAAATTTGGACTCGCTCATTTCTTATTGTTTATCCAATATTTTTTAATAGGTCTACATTATATTTTCAGCTTTGAGAGTTACTTCTCTCACTACATCATCAACAGATTTGACTTCATGATGTCTATGATTACCAAATAAAGCACATTTAGTACAAATTCGAATTTTATCTGTTAAGCATACAATTTCTAACTTTTCAAGATGTTCAGCACACAATTCAATACGTTCCTATGCTAAATTATTTAGATGTAACTAATATTCAGGTTACTCAATAGTTGGTCTCTATTTTACTATCATTTTCATAAGCTAACAATTTTTTGGAAATTCTGAGATATTAGTCTTGCCTTTTGCCAAAATACTATTGTTAAAGAAGAAATAATACTTATCTTCTGGACAGGAGATCTATTAGCCATCAGCATTAGATAACATGTATTGGATACATTGTTGACAGATAGTATGGCCACAATCTGGAAGCATGAGAGGAGTATTGTCGAATTCATTGAATATATTATGACATTATGGACATATAAGTTCTTCCATTTTAATTAAAATAACGATATATCACTGTTAAAGGTATTGTACTAATTTGTTACATCCTTCTTTTTCAGACAACTCTTGGATAAACGACTTGCATTCTTCTAAAGAAAACAATTATTCTAACAATATTGATCCCTTTTTAATCAATATTTATTTTCCATAATATAACAATTTACCAATCCAAACATACAATTTCATTCTATCTTTTGATTACAATGCCAAATCAATTATATTAATGAATGATTCACAATTATACACTTATTGTCTGATTTCAAATAAAAAGGGGAATGAATCTGGAGCATACAATAACTATAAATTAAAATTTTAATATTACTTCATCAAATGGATCTGATGCCTTAGTTAAAAAGTACTTAACTGATTCCATATCCTTTTATAAATTCAAGTATGGCCAATTTTAAGAATATTGATGTTTCAATTTTATTTTACCATCTTATCCATCTTCTATTATATCCTTAATATATTAAGGTAATTCTTAAATATGAATAAATAATTGCAATGTCTCCAATAATTAAAGTTATGTCATTTAATCATTTAATTTCAAAATAGATATTGCAGAATATTAGTATAATTATGTCATTATCTCTTTTTTCTAAGGGAATTCAGATCCTGTTTACATTAATATATTCATACAATAATATGGACTTTCTAATAAATCTATTAATAATATGATCTATTTTAATTATATAAAATAATTACATCTCTAGTAAGAAAATCTTCATATCTTTCAAAATTAGTAAAATCATTTTTCATTCGAGTATTAATTTCACTTAATAATGTTTCAGGTTTTCCAAATAATAATGATAATTATATAGAAAACATATAAGAGTCAAATGAAACTGTTTATGCAGTTAAAATATGAGAATAATATCCATTATAACTCATTATTGATTCTTTTGATATTTTTTCACATTTATCTAATACAAATTTCAAAAAATGAAAGTTTATAGTAGGTAAATCAAAAATAATACGTAGAATATTAGAAAATATATTAGATTATTCAATTTGATCTTAAAATGGAATCAAATTTATAATTTTTGTCAAAGATTCTTTGGATGGTAGATCTGTTACTTAAATTGATATCAAATATCCAATCATTTATTATAATATTGCATTAACATCAAATTATTTCTTTTAAGCCATTCTTTATTGAATTCTCTTATTATGAGTTACACGTAAACATTATAAATATTATTTCATTAATAATGGTATATCACTTACTTTATTTCTAAATATTTTTAATATAAATTATTTTTATAAATAACCCAAAACTTCAACTGCAAGCATAAAATCCATATTCTAAGCTAACCAATCTAACATTTAAACATTTGGATTTTCTTTAACATCTATTGTGTCTTTAGTTTCTAAAATTAATAATAATCCTAAAAAGTGAACAACTACTAATGTTTATTATTTTTCATTATTAATCATTTAAGATAAAACATCTTCATCTCCAAAAAGAGGATAAATCATAACATGTGATGCTATAAGACTAGTTAATATTTTAGCAATAAATTTTGGATTGTTTTATGCAATAACTCTTTCTGTATATAGAAAATATAAATCTAATAAATCTGGTTTAATTAATTCTTATCTCACTTCTTTATATGCAATTGCTTATATTAATAAATGATTAAAAACACTTACATCAGTTGCATAATACATTTCTTCTTTACTTATTTGACTATTCAAAAAGAATTAATTTTTTAATAATATTTATCCTAATTTAATTAAATGATCTTTAGTTGATATTATTTGATAATCTACTAATATAGTTATGAATTTCTTTTATAAAGTAGGTGTTATTAATGAAATGTAACGAATAAGTGCATCAAAAATAAGACATTTACAATTTTGATTAATATTTGGATCTTCTATTTTAGTATTAAAGAAATTATCATCACATTAATGTCCAAAACCAATTTAAGGATCATTTAATTATAATTATCCTAAAAGTGCTATTCCAAATAGATTTGATAACCATGGATATTACTTTAATATTTATTCTATTTAATCTAATAATCCTGCTAAATAGAAATTCATTTATATTAAAGCATGTTTATCTTCTAAATCTAAAAGAGTTTCTTCAATTAATTTTACTAAATTAATAAGAACAAGATAAAAGTAATTAATAAACTTTTATGTATTTTCTGATAATTATGGTTATTCTTATTTAAGTAATCTATGTTTACTTACAATAATATTAAGACCATTCTATACTGCATCAAGTGAATTTCTAGTATTATAAAATATATCACTTACTTTCTTAAATAAAATGATGTATATTCTTAATTAAATAAATGAACTTATTGATTAACTCCAGCAAATTATTTGAAATAGGGATGTCTACTAATTTCATCATTTACTCTGTCAATGTCAAAGAAATTACTGGCTACTTCATTTAATAGATTAATGAAATCCTTTCTGTCTTCTAATTTTTAAGATAACTATGATTATGAATAATCTAACATTTTCTTTGGTGCATTCATAAAAATGATTTTCAATGTATTTCTTGAGTTTTTTTATCTATTCGAACATCTTCTAATTGAGTGATTTGTTGTTTTCTTTGAAAAATAAATATATAGCAGATGCTGCAAATGTTGCTGCAAGACCTCCAAAAAGCTTAACTTTCATATCCATAATTTAATTAAATGAAGACACAAATTAATTAAGAGCTATTAGATCAATATATTGGTATGGGATTTTCTAAAGAATTGATTAATATGGCATGGGAAGAAAGTAATACAGAAGCTGATGTCATTAATACTTTACTTACATTGTCTGACAAAAATAATGCACTATCTAATACACCAACAGTAAATTATATTTGAATTTATCAAATAGAAACAAGATGAAGAAATTTAACTAAATTAAGCATTAATAGATTCTTACAAAACCAATCCTTAAGCAGCTACATCTACTTTTGAAATTGTATCACCTGAATAAAGAAAAAGAAATAATGATGTACCATGTGGTCTTAAGAATGTTGGTAATACATGTTATTTTAATGGATTACTTTAAACATATTTCTTCAATAGTGATTTTGTTAAAATCATTATCAAATTTCAACCACCTGCTTAAATTGAATAAGGTAAATAAGGATAATCCATTTAATTGGTTTAAAATCTTTAACATTTATTCCTTAGTATGATAGGTAGTGATAAAAAATATGTGGATCCATCTGATGTTGTTAAAAGTATTTGTGATGATTTTGGTAATGTATTACCAATTGGTGATTAAAAGGATGTTGGTGAATTCAATCATTATTTCTTAAGTAGAATAGGGGAAGGTCTAGCTTATAATGAACATTAATCTAGCAAAATAGAAGATTAACCTCATGAAGGTTCTTCTTCTATTTTGAGATTGAAATCATCAACTATACATGATGAAGATGTTGTTTCCAAATTATTCTTTTGTAAAGTACATCATTACTTGTAATTTGATCAAGCTGGTGTTCCTCAAAGTAGAGACAGTACTGAACTTTATAATTTTATTCCTATTGATTTGAAAGATGGAAATCTTTATGATGCTTTTGATAATTTTGTAGTCAATTCTATTGAAGATTTTAAAAATGATTTAAGTGAAACTGTTTGTGCAACTAAATATAATTGGATTTAAGGTGCTCCATAAACATTATCATTCTAAATACAAAGAGTTACTTATAGTAAAGAGAAAAGTAATTCATTTTATATATATATAAATTAGATGATCTTATAAAACAAAATGATGAATTTCTTTTTGAAGAAGAAATCTATTTGGATCGTTTTCTTTATGAAAATAGTAAGAGATATTTGGATATTAGAACTTAAAATAGAGAATTGAAAATTAAACAAAAATTAATTAAATAAGAATTATAACAATTGTCAAAATTTGATGATAAATATGATTTATAAGATGTTCTATTGACAACAGTCAAATTTTTAGAAATGTAATCAAAAGATAAACCTAATAATCCAGCCAATTTTGGTCCCTCTGATCAAAAACATACTATTGAATAACTCTTAAAATATTCATAACATGTCTAAAAAAGAAAAGAAGTCTTGTAACAATAATATAATGATTTAGAAGAAAAGATATAAGCTTCTTATAATAATTTTAAGGGAAATAAATATTATTTATAATCCATTCTAATTCATGAAGGAATGGCAAGTAATATATATATAATTATATTTTTAGATTCTGGACATTATTATACTTATATAAAAGATTTCAGATTAAATAAATGGTTTAAATTTAATGATATTCGTGTTACAGAAGAAACAAGAGAAAAAGTATTTCAAGATGCTATTGGTGTAAAACCAGGTATCAATGCTTATTTACTTGTTTATTTAAAGGATGAACTTGTATAAGAAGAAATAAAATATCCAAAAAGATTGTATAAAACAAGCACAGAATAAGATTATTTATAAGATACTTATGGAAGTTTCCTTAATTAAAATCAAATTGAAAGTATTAAAAGGGAAAATCAATTATTTTAAAATGAAATTGAAGATTATAAATAAGCTAGAATAATAGAAAGAATTGCTGAAGCATATCAAACTAGGTTTGAATTTGTAAATGAACAATTTCGTACTATTGTTAATAAAACTTAAAATATCAAATTTAAACCTCTATTTACCTAAAATTTCCCTATATATATTAAATGTAAGGTCACTTAATAATCAAATTAAAATACATAATATGATAATTTAATAAAATGGATTATCTTGGATTCTGCATTACGTGAAGTTTAAGAAAATAAAGAAGGAATATTTGGTGGATAAATAAGTGAAAATGTATTAATAAATATATATATAATATTAGTTTTAAAATAAGATAATAAACAAATTTGTAGCTTAATTCAATGAATTTAAAAGACCAACTTCTAAATTGACTTTATCTGAATAAAATGATTTGAATAAATTTGAATAAGAATATTTACTCTATGTAAATTTAGGATCATGGGCTACAATAATATTAGAACTTTTGGAAAAAAAAGATTTTATTTAAACTCTTTAAGTTTTATAATTTTTGACTAAGAAAGTGAAAAATTTAGAGTAATAAAATTACTTTTTTAAATTTACTAAGAATTTAAAGACACTAGTGCCTATCATATTAATTTGTAAAATGATTCCAAAAGAATCTGAAGTGAATCTTAAACAATTATAGTTATTGTAAGCATATTTGATACATAAACATTTCGAATATGATGATCCAAAGTATTGGTAAACTGAAATTTCAATAATGTTAAATTCTATAATAGAAAATCACAATTAATAGGATGTAAAAGAAATTATAGTGAATTTTGAAGCTGGAACTAAAATTAAAGAAAATATGGATTTGTTAGAATTTGTTTCAGAGGTATTATAATTTCTAAAAATACTAGGAAATTCGAAATTAATAATTAGCATTAAGTTCTTCATATGAGATTTATTTCTGGAGTCCCTATTAAAAGCAAGATATTATATTTGATAAATTGGTTGAAGGAATGAATAAATTAAAAGTGTTATTTGAAGTAAGATTTATAAATAAATGTTTAGCCATATATAAAAATTTAATAGGCATTAAAGGAAGCAATTAAACCTCTTATGAAAGAAGATTTAGAGAAAATGATAAAATGATAAAATTATATATTATATAAATTATAATTCTAATTGTTATATCATAGCATTATAGAGAATATACTCTAAATTCATGTAGTTATTAATCTATAAATATTTTAAACTATTATAGGAATATATGCTATTTATTATAATAATTAAAATCATATTAAATTTAATATTGAAATCAAATATTAAGAAAGTTTAATTTAATATTAAATGCTTCAAATTGATAATAATAAAGATTCCTATTGTAAAAATATTAAATTAAATATCATAATTTTTATATTGTTCTTTACTATTTCTTATATTTTTTAAGTAATTCTCTTAGATAATCTTTTTAAGGTTAATCCATTTTTTCATAAGCATATCTCAATCCCTCACAACTAAAATATTATAGGTTTTTCTCTATAAACTAAATTACTTAATTCAAATCAACCTATGATAGTTCTCTCAATAACCAGCCAGTTCCTAGTTAATTAAATCTTTCTTAATGAATAATATTTTCTTAACAAATATCAAATAACATATTTAGATCACATTTATTTTTATTCACTAAGAATATAAATCCAACACAACTAGATCTTCTCATCCATAAATTATTACATTTTGACCATTCAATCATTAGTTTAGCATTTTATTTGTCTTATACAAAATGTTTTAAAACTCTACTACAATAGATATCTGAAGTTCCCCAATCCTAAATGAAACCTTATAAGAACCACTATTCAGTCTATTTTATTCTTGAAAGATCAAACTGTATTTTCTCAGCTACCATCAAACCAAACCTTTTATCTTCTCCAAATTGCTCTTTCATTAAAGATTCAGCCAAATCATATTTTTCATTATCATTAAGTAGGGAAATTTCTTTTCTAAATTACTTATAAATTGATTCAATTTAAGGTTGAAGTAATCCTCTAAATTGCAGTACATTTTACATATAAGATGTAATTTCATTACCAACTTATGGTTTTGATATATTATTCAATGCTGTTTAAATAGCTAATTTCATTATATAATAAAATTGAGAATAGATATAATTTTATAAATATTTTTTTTAATTTAATTGTGGTATTGTAATAGCATCTTGATATATCGATTTATTTCTTGTTTTTAATTTCTTCTAATTTATTTACATTAAAGCAAATCATTTTCAATATATATGGATTCTCAATTTCCTTAAAAGATTTAATGATTTATAATGATATAAATAAATTGCAATAAAAATCATTAGTGTATTAACGAGATAGCAAAAAAATTGTAGATTTTAATCTATCTTAAAATATTTCAATTAACACTTTTCAAAGTGCTCTATCACTTATCAAGAAATAGTTTACTTCATTATTAGAACAAAAATGCATACATAAAATCTATTTGTTATTTAAATGAATTAAAAAAGATTAAAGAGATGTTATACTTTAGAATCTTAACTTAAACTAAATCATTCTTTACTAATCTTTATCATTCTATCTTTATATAATATGAATAAAAATGGGTTTCATAAAATATTTAATAACACGGCTTTTTTAATCATCTTTTATATTTTTTATCTTGATATCAATTTTGTATCTACTTTTATAATAAATAATGTCATAAATAACTATTTCAATTCATATTGAAAATATCCCTCTTTTTCAAATTTTCTACTTAATATTAATTATAAATAATGAGTGCTAGTACTACAAAAAAGAAGTTGAACATAAAATCTCAGCCTTTTAATATTGAAGAAACTTAAAAGCAACCTCATCCTCATCTTGTACTTCCATCAAAGCCTTATCAACATAAAAATGAAATTCAAGAATATTTCCCTTAAAAGAGTTTTAATCCTTTTGATGACTTGGCTCCTGATTTCGTCAGCAATTAGAAATAACCTGCTTAAGTCCCCATTTAACAGTAAGGACCTAAAGAAAAAAAAAAACTCAGAAATACTCATTATTAATTTTAAGTCGACCCTAATTTAGCAGAAAAGGTACCTTTTTTAAATTAACTTACAAGATTGAATAAAAAAGCAAATAAGAATTGGAATAGCTGAAACAGGAAGAATAAAGAAAAATAGAAGAGGAAAAATTACAATAAGAAGAGCTTAGAAGATAATAAGAGTTAATGAGGCTGGAAGAGTTAAAAAAATAAGAAGAAGAGGAGTGTCTACCTAGACCATACACAAAAGAGTAATTTGATTCAATGTTTTCAAATATGATTGATTTTTAATATTTTGAAAGTGACAATAATTGGATCAAAATTAAAGATAGAAAACATTTTGATTATAAGGAATTTAAAAGGTATGAATAAAGAAAAGAGAGTAAAATCCCTACCTAAAAGAGGGAAAATAAATAAGAAGTTCAATTAGATAGACAACCAGTTTAATAGAATGATTAAAATCCAAGAATACCTTAAAGAACTACAATCTCTATATAAGAATAACTTTAGAGAGATAAATTAAAATAATAAGCTTATTATTGGTCTTAGATTCTTGAAATAACTCCAGAATAAAAGAAAGCAGTCGAAAGAGATCTAAAATATAGGTTGAATCAATTAGCCCCTGATAATGAACTCTAAGTATCAAAATTCATAATAGACCTCATTGAATAAAAGTATGCTTAATTTAATTTTAATTAGTTTAGATTTCATTGATTTTTTAACAGAAAAAATAATAGAAAAAGCTTAAATCGAACCTAAATACAGAGGTTTGTATATCAATTTGTGTTCCAAATTAGCTACTTTGCCTAATTTACAATTAAAGATTTAAGATAAAAATGGGAAGACTAAATAATAATCAAAATTCAAAGCTTCTTTATTGAATAGAGTTTAGAAAATGTTCAATAGTAGAAAAATAATGGATTATGACACATCTAATTTGAAACCAGAAGAGAAGATCTAATTTCACATGATAAGAAAAAGAAAGATTATGGGAAGTATAATAGTTAAATTTATCATTTAGATGTAAGATTTATTGGTGGATTATATTTAAAATCATTATTACCTATACAAGCCTTATCTAGTGTATTATCAGAATTAATAGGAGAATATCTTATTGGTTATGATCCTAATGGAGATACAGCAGATGAATCTTTAGAAGGATTAATTGAACTTATAGATTAAAGTATTTCTTATAATATATAAATTAGTTGGTCAAAGTTTTAATTAAAATGAAAGAATAACTGATGAAGCATTTATTAATAAAATTGGATAGACTTTGAATGGATAGAAAAAATCATTAGATTAAATTGAAGGCTTATTTAAAGATATAAAGAAATAAACTGTTTTAGATTTGATGTAAAAAGTCTTTGAGAAATTGTTGGAGAATTATCACTTTTCTTAAAGAATTAGATTACTCATTGAAAATTTATTAGATAAAATTAAAAAAGGATGGCAAGGTTCATATGCTAAAAAGGAAGAGTTAGCTGAAAGTGCTTAAAAAATTAATGAATTAGAAGAAGAGGATCCTTTAGAACTTTAATTAAGAGAAGCAAGATAAAATTCTGCAAAAAAGGAGAATCTTTCTAATGAGTAAGATTAGAAAATAAGAGCAAAAGATATAACTATGTTATTGAGTAGTTCATTTCAATTTGACCCTGTTGATTAGATGGATAAATTAAGAAATGAATTAAAAAGAATATAAGTTGAAGCCCCTGAATTATTAAATGTCTTCTTTGAGACTTTCTTTTAAAATATGTTAGCTTGTATTCATTTAATATATATTCTTTTTAGTAAAATAAGTAAAATAGAATATTGAGAGAGCTCCATTAGTTTATGATTTATTAGTCATGGAAGAAGCACAGGAAGAAATTGTTACAAAGGCACTATAAGATGTATATCATAATATTTATATAAAGATCTTGGATGAAGATTTAGCCTATAATATAAGTGAATCTAGTAATTCTTGTAAATTAGTTACTGCCATATTGTGCCGTTTTATTGTTGAATTAGATTGGAATGCATTGAAGAAGTTTTATCTTAAGCCTCTTTTTGAAATTGAAGATTTTGATGAATTTTTGATTAAAGTAGGAAATCAATTAATAAGTTAATTTCCAGATTAATCAAATAGAGAGTTGATTGAAAAGTATTTTAATCTGCTCAAACAAGGCTTGAGCACTTAATTAAATTTTGATTGAAATATGTTTCTTTTATATCATTTAAGATTACAATTAATTGATTCATTATAATCATTTATCAATTCAGAATTCAGAAATATTATATGATATCAATCAATTAGACTTATTTTAATATCAATATTATAATAATTATTTTTATAAATGTTTGAAGAACCAATCATGGAATCTATGCTTGATCATAATTAACATCTAACTCTAGATTAGAAGTTGCAAACAATGAACTTTCCTCTTAAAACTCTTTCAGAAGTCAAAGAGAAATACAAATACTAAATTGATTATTCAACATTATAAGAGAGAAAATTTAATCTTAGAAAAACTCGATAGCCTATCATTATATTTTCTTCAGCTGAAATTGAAATACCTCTCCCAAGAACTGAAGTAAGGGTTAAATCAGTGATATCTCCAGAAATTAATTAAAGTCTCCTATTTGTTTCTGTATAGCCTAATAATACTAAAAGTAGAAGCTTAGGTTTCAGAAAAAAGCGCTAATGAATTTAATAACTTAAGAGGCAACATCAACATTTAAATTTCTGATTCTACCTCTTATTATAATTAATTATAAAGTAATTACAATTAATCCCCTACTACTCATATATAACATTCTAATTTGATAAAGATATACAATCTCAAAGGTGTAGTCATTTGCTGCACTATAACAATCTATTTGCCAAAATTTTATGATTTTTCTAATATCAAAATCTCCTAATTAATTATAAAGCTTAAACATATTTATAAATCTTGGTTTACTTTTCTATATAGTAAAAATACATGGAAATTTTAATTATGAGACATGGTATAATTTCAAATTTACTAAATTATTTGATTAAATTACTTAAAAAATAAAAAACATTTTTATATATTAAAATAAAAGAAAAAATTAAACTTATTTGCCAACCAAATATTAGTAATTCTAAATAAAATCTATTTGTTCTTATTTAGCTCTTTATAATTTATTCTTTATATTGAGGAATTCTACAATAAAAACAGTTTAAAATAATATAATATATATGAAGAAAACAACAGTTCTGTTTAGCTTTTAAGATTTAGGATTATTTTATCTAATTCAAAAATTACTCATATTTTATTTATAAATTATATAACTAAATAAAGAAATTTATTCATAAAATCATCCATAATCATATTAGAAATAATATATTTTCAATATTCAACTTCAAAATTGGGATATATGTAAACATTTATGATTATAATTAACTTTCGTTATAATTTTTTTGATCTCAAATATTTAACATGAGTGAAATGTCAAATTTAAGGTATTTAGATTATATTTAATTCCTTAGTCTCCTCATGATTTCAATTAATAATAAATTAAAAGTACAATATTGAATATACCAATATTTGTGAAAATTTAATATTATATCATCGATGATTAAATGAATTATAAGTATAAATAATTATGTAACAAAATTTAATTATTACGTATTAGAAAGAAAATTAAAAAGAAGATATCTTAGCTTTGAATTGATTCATTTTAGTGTGATTCTATTTTATTCAAACTGATGCATTGAAATTTATGATTAATTCAATAATAATATATTTAATTAACCAATGAACAAAGAAGAAGAACCTATTTAAGAACCATTAATTAATGATGGCAATTAATAAACTAAAGGAAAAAGTAACAGGGGAATGTCTCAATTGTCAGCTTTGACTGAACAATCAAAGAATGAGACTCATCTTTATGAAATTCCAGATCTATCTAATGTTACGCAAAATGTTCTTTGTCGTTTAATAGCAGTTTCAGTTGTTTGCATAGTATTTTTGATAGCAGAAGTTTTTATTTTGATTTAAGTTTTAAGGTAGTAGGAGGATTATGGGCATAATCACTAGCCATATTATCTGACGCAGCTCATATGTTTTCTGATATGAGTGGGTTTTTTATATCAATTTTTTCAATTTGGTTGAGTTAACGACCTGCATCTTAGAAAATGTCTTTTGGATATCATCGAGCAGAAGTAATTGGAGCATTGGCAAGTATCGTATTGATTTGGGGTCTGACTATTTTATTGTTATATGAGGCAACAGAAAGAATGATAAACAAGTCTTTGGTAACTGAACCACTTATAATGTTAATTACAGCAGGATTTGGATTATTTTGTAATTTAGTAATGGCAAAAGTATTGCATTCATCACCAACTGGTGGACATGATCATGGAAATATTATGCATTAATGTAGTGGACATCATCATGGTCATGATCATAATCACGAACATAATCATGAACATGAACATGATCATCATGAAGGTGAAAAAAAAAAATAAAAGAAGAAATATCATGTTAAATAAAAACGATCTATGGTTAGTGAGAATGGAGTAAGTATGTTAGTTGTTGAATAAAGTATTGAATCTGANAAAATCATCCATAATCATATTAGAAATAATATATTTTCAATATTCAACTTCAAAATTGGGATATATGTAAACATTTATGATTATAATTAACTTTCGTTATAATTTTTTTGATCTCAAATATTTAACATGAGTGAAATGTCAAATTTAAGGTATTTAGATTATATTTAATTCCTTAGTCTCCTCATGATTTCAATTAATAATAAATTAAAAGTACAATATTGAATATACCAATATTTGTGAAAATTTAATATTATATCATCGATGATTAAATGAATTATAAGTATAAATAATTATGTAACAAAATTTAATTATTACGTATTAGAAAGAAAATTAAAAAGAAGATATCTTAGCTTTGAATTGATTCATTTTAGTGTGATTCTATTTTATTCAAACTGATGCATTGAAATTTATGATTAATTCAATAATAATATATTTAATTAACCAATGAACAAAGAAGAAGAACCTATTTAAGAACCATTAATTAATGATGGCAATTAATAAACTAAAGGAAAAAGTAACAGGGGAATGTCTCAATTGTCAGCTTTGACTGAACAATCAAAGAATGAGACTCATCTTTATGAAATTCCAGATCTATCTAATGTTACGCAAAATGTTCTTTGTCGTTTAATAGCAGTTTCAGTTGTTTGCATAGTATTTTTGATAGCAGAAGTTTTTATTTTGATTTAAGTTTTAAGGTAGTAGGAGGATTATGGGCATAATCACTAGCCATATTATCTGACGCAGCTCATATGTTTTCTGATATGAGTGGGTTTTTTATATCAATTTTTTCAATTTGGTTGAGTTAACGACCTGCATCTTAGAAAATGTCTTTTGGATATCATCGAGCAGAAGTAATTGGAGCATTGGCAAGTATCGTATTGATTTGGGGTCTGACTATTTTATTGTTATATGAGGCAACAGAAAGAATGATAAACAAGTCTTTGGTAACTGAACCACTTATAATGTTAATTACAGCAGGATTTGGATTATTTTGTAATTTAGTAATGGCAAAAGTATTGCATTCATCACCAACTGGTGGACATGATCATGGAAATATTATGCATTAATGTAGTGGACATCATCATGGTCATGATCATAATCACGAACATAATCATGAACATGAACATGATCATCATGAAGGTGAAAAAAAAAAATAAAAGAAGAAATATCATGTTAAATAAAAACGATCTATGGTTAGTGAGAATGGAGTAAGTATGTTAGTTGTTGAATAAAGTATTGAATCTGATTCTAATAACAGCAAGAGTAATAAAACAATTGAAGAAGTCAGTAGTGAAAGTAAATAAACAAGTAATGGTAAATAAAATTATTCTTAATAATAAATTATTTAATAATAAAATTAGAAAGAAATTTTAGATCATAATCACTCTGAAAATTGTGATCATGATCATGATCATTCAATATAAATAGGTTCTGATGAATTTGTAAGTTAAAACAATACTTCAAAAAAGATGGATAATAAAAATAATTCAGATCATAATCATAGTTGTTCACATGATCACCATGATCATAGTGATAGTGATTCTCATGAACATAATCATCATGATCATGATCATGATCATCATCATCATGATAGAGATGAATTGACTAAAAAAAGAAATAAAAAATTGAAAAATCATAATCTTTCAGAAATAAATGAACATGATAATTATAATTTGAAAGCAGCTATGATTCATGTAATAGGAGATATATTACAATCAATAGGAGTATTAATAGCAGCTTTATTAATCTATTTTTTTGGGCAAGAAAAAGATGAAAATCATCAAATTATATTCACTTATTGGTAATATGCTGATCCATTATGCACATATTTATTTAGTATTCTAGTTCTCTTTACAACTTTTGGAGTTGCAAAAGAATGTTTGCGAGTGTTAATGGAAGGTACTCCAACAAGTAATCAATTAGAATAATTATCTAGACTTAATTATAGAAGAGTTCAGAGATAAATTAAATGCAATTCATAGAGTAAGGGAAGTTCACGATCTTCATATTTGGTCTTTATCTGTAGGTAAGCCAGCTATGTCTGCACACATAGTTTGTATAGAGAATCCTGAATATGTATTAAAGAAAGCAACAAAATTATGTAGGAAATTTGGAATCTATCATTCAACCATTTAAATTGAACTCTTAGATAGATAAGGAGCAAATGATTACATTAAATGTAATCATAATTTGCATAAATGATTATTTTTATATTAACACTCCAAATAGAACTCCAAAATTCATTGTACATTTTCTTCTGAAATAATTCCAATAGTCTCTTCTATAGGGATTGAGGCTTTGTTCTAAATAACATAGTTCACTTTTTTTAACATCTTTATGGATATCAAAATTAAGAGTATGAGTATTACAATAAATAGGTAAAAGAATATTTATTCATCTAATTTTATAGTAGTGTTTTTTTCAACAAGAGAATATATATTGCAATATTCAGGTGGATCATTATTTAATTTCTAACATAATTAGATAATCATCTCATTAAATTGTAAATTTGTAATGTCATTATTATTTAAATATACATTTAGAGAACTCTAATTATAGTTTTTATTCATTTCTTAAGCCAATATTTAATTTTCTAATAATGCTTAATCCCCTTTTCCTATAAAACTAGCATTAATGCATTCATCAATCTCTGTAATATTGTAATTTATTTTATTTTTTAAAATATTCTCTGAGCAAAATGTGTAATGTGGATTTTCAACACATTCTTACTAAAATAAATTGATATAACTTAAAAACATATAAATATCCTTTGTAAATAAGCAGTTCTATCTTAATATTTCTGTAAGTACCAATTGACCATTGGCATAAGTGGAAAATTCTAATTGAATACAAAATTGCTTACAACAATATCTACCTCCTCCAAAACAATTTGGTTCAGGTTAAGTATAATTATGTCTTTGTTCACAAGTATAACATGGTAAGATGTGATTCAGAATGTATATGCTTACTTAATTGAATATTTAAGAGAATTACATCCTTTTTCTTCAAATTATTCATAATATTATTCTAGTCTTCCTAAATAATTTAATGATTCCTTGTTAGTTATATCAATTCCAATAGTCAAATTGAGTTAAGCAACACAATATCCTATAAAGATAGATAAGAATAACATAATTGATTACTAAAATTAATATATTAATTCAATTATTAAATTATTATCCCAAAGCAAAAAACCATAGAAGTCCAGCAATTTCATAATCCTTTTCTTTAGCTAATTATAATATTTCATTAGCCATTGTCTTTCCCATATTAACTTTATAAACAATAATATTTTCATCTGATTCCAAATGTTATTTAGGATTAAGATTAACTTCTGAATCCCCATCAATATCTGCAATTACACAAAGTCCATATTCAGTAGATTTCCAAGGATCATTTCTTATACGTACTCCATTATATTGATATTATCCAATTTATGCTGTATATCCTGTTTCCTCTTTAATTTCTCTAAGACCATTCTCTTATATACTGCCTTCAGGATCAACTATACCTGCTGGAAATTCTAGACAAAACTTTCTTATTGGAGGTCTGAAATTAGCAATGACAATCACTTAAGATGGTTTATCTTTATATTTTATAATAGGTATTATATCAACACCTCCTCTATTACCTGGAGGCCTTTCAATCATTTCCCAAACCATTTAGCGTCCATTTACTTGAAAATGAAGAAGTTTGAAATGCAGCCACTTTCCTTCATAGATTAGTTATTCATCAACCTTAGTATTGAAATCCATAGTTATAAAAATATTACGTATTATGTATAGAAAATAAATGTAATGATGCAGCAAATCCAGAAATAAATTAAATATCCAAATATGCAAAAGTTTCTCCAAAAAGTCATTACCAATAATTTGACAAGAGCTTCAATGGCTCATTTTGGTCAATCATTAAAACCACCTGTTAGAGTAGCTATTACAGGTGCTGCTGGTTAAATTGGATATTCTCTAATTTTCAGAGTTGCCAGTGGTGAAATGCTTGGACCAAATTAACCAGTGATTCTTCATTTGATCGATTTACCATTTGCTATGACTGCATTAAATGGTGTAGCAATGGAAATTTAAGATTGTGCTTTTCCATTGGTTTAAGGAATTGTGGCTACAGATAATCAAACTGTAGGATTTAAAGATGTCAATTATGCTCTTTTAGTTGGTGCTAAACCAAGAGGACCAGGAATGGAAAGAGGAGATTTGTTAAAAGACAATGGCAAAATCTTCACTGAAACAGGAAAATACATTAATGTATAAATTTATAATCTATAATAGGATCATGCAAGTAGAGACATCAAAGTAGTAGTTGTTGGTAATCCATGCAATACAAATTGTTTGATCTTAGCTAATTAAATAAAAGATATTCCAAAAGAGAATTTCACTGCTATGACAAGATTAGATCATAATAGAGCACAACATTAATTGGCTGATAAATTAGGTGTTCATTCATCTGATATCAGAAAAATAGCAATATTTGGTAATCATTCTCCAACAATGGTTCCATATATTGATTAAATGACAGCAAAAAGTATATTATAAATTTCATCATAGATCACAAAGCCACAGTTGATTAATAATGGGTAACATAAACATTCATCCCAACTGTACAATAAAGAGGAGCTGAAATCATTAAAGCTAGAAAACTCTCAAGTGCTGCTTCTGCTGGTAATGCAGCTATGAATCATATCACTACTTGGGTCAATGGAACTCCAGAAGGTATTAAAATTCTTTAATAATCTTTAGGTGATTATACTTCTATGGCTATTCCATCTGATGGAAGTTATGGAGTACCAAAGGGATTGATCTTCTCCTTCCCAGTTACAGTTAAGAATGGCAAATATTCTATTGTCTAAGGATTACCTATTTCACCATTCTATCAAGGCTTATTAGATAAGACTATTAAGGAATTAGTAGATGAAAGAAATGCAGTTGACCATTTGCTTAAATGATATATTAATGAAATTATTAGTAAAATAAACATCATTTAAATTTTAGAATATTCATATATTGTTTGTTTAATGTATATAAAGAATAAAGTATAAAATGATATATAATCATTTTTTAGAATTATATAAACATCTTCAAAAAGGAATTCTTTATCATCTACTTTTTTCAATCTAATTCTATAAAGGGATCTTGAGAGAAGATTAAAGCTTTTTATTTCTAAAAAAACGATTGAAACTTTTAAAATGTTAATCATCTTCTATATTATATGGCTAAGAATAATCATTGTCATCTTCAAATACTATCATTTTTTTTGGAAAATATTTCTTGAATAATTATTTACTCGATGATGCATGATTTATAGCAGCTTTAATAACTTCCTCATTCTAAATCTATTATCTATATCCAGGGAATCCTCTTATGTATTATATAATCATACCCATATCTAGCTTTATATAATGATAGAAACTATCCAACTGAGGGTTTTCTTTCTTCAATCACTAATTTTTTCAATCTAAGGTCTTAATTGTTATCCCAAATTTCAAATTCTTCATCTACACTTACCTAACTTTCAGTAACAGAAACAAGTGACTATCTACAATTGATACTACTCTATTTTTATAAGACTTGTCTTGGTTAAATTTAGATGACACTTTTTTAAAATTAGCTTGGCTACTTTACATCTCTATTTGTTAATGATTTACAAGTTAAACTCATTTATAAAGATCTGTATTGATTTGAACTTTATTAGTTTGTTTTAATCGATTTGATACGAAAGTTTTATGAACTTTTCATTAATTTATATAAATAAATATTAACATCTATAAAAGTTCTCATAATTGAAGCCTATATAATTGTATCCTCAATCTCTCCATATATGCTGCATCTAACTTTTTCTCATATTGTTCCAGCAATTTTAATTCCTTATCAAATGATTGTAATTCTTTTAATGGACCTCTCTCACATAATCGTTATCTAATTGGCTCTCGAGATATTTGTCCTAAAAAGGAATTGCTTCTTGGATATCTACAAGCTCCTTCTGTCTTTAATCTATATGAAGATCTATTCTCTTTATTTCTCTTTATACTAGGTAACATTTACTGTTAATTAATTATCTTTATTATATATGGATAAAGTTTATCATAGACAAAAAACTTTTTTATCTATCAATATCATTCAATTTCTTTGAAACATATATAGATTGATAATCAAAAAAACCTAGTGTTTATGATCCTTATATATTTTTGAAAATTACCAATATACATATTAAATACATGTTTTATTTTAGTCAAAAATTCTTTATTGTTATTAATAGATTGATAAAATCATTATTCACATAATATGTTCCAAACCATTTTTATTTTAATCATTTATCTTACTTACAACCTTATTCAATTAAAAATAAGAATTTAACAATTCTTTGAAAACTTTTAACTCAAAATTATAATATTAATACAACTATAGAAATTATCCCAACATATTCAATTTTAAAATGGACTTTACAAAATAACCAACATATATTAATGTACTTATCTAAAAAATTGATGTGTTAAATTATAATGAAGTAAATTTAATGAATCTATTGAAAATTAACAAAAAATACTTCAGAATAGATAGGAATATACAATGAAAAATGAAAATTCTTGGAAAAACTATTATATATATATAAGAAAATCAAACTCCATAGAATTTCTAGACTAAGTCTTTTATTAATTTAGGTTCGAATTTTATTGGAATCTATGCTTTAGGTGTCTATGGTGTTTGATTATCTACATTAGATTCAGAATCCAATCTTAATTAGGATTTCTTTTAATTTGTTAACCATCTTTCGTAGTATTCATTTTTTTTGTTTCCTTTTTATATTTGAATGATAGTATTTGTATCTGCTGATGTATTTCTCTTTCGATTTAATATTGCTTTCTTATGAAACCTATTATTCATAATACCCAAAGTATTGTTCATAACAATTGATTATTATTTTTATTAAACTAAGTTTTTTTTTACTGAATATGAATCTTTCATAATATTTGTTACAAATTTTGAAGACAAAATTAAAAATATAATAGAATCTATATTGCTGAAGATAAAGTTTTGAAACCAAAATTAGTAATATTGATAAAATTTAGAAAAAAAACATTTATTTTAAATTAGTTATTATATTTAAAATAACAGCAAAAACTTCTATTTGATTCAATATTTCAGAGTATAAAGACAAAATCTCCATCAAAGAATATCTGTTCATTGTCTAAGCTATTTTTCTGTTAATGGATTAATGTTTCTGTTTAAGTATTTTTCAAATCTTCTTTTTCAATTTATTCGTTTATTTATTTTATATCTTATATATCTTAAATCTATTAAGACTCTTTTATTTATTTATTCTCTAATTTTATATCTTATCGAGTCTATAAAATTTATTAATTTGTTTAAACACTTTTTAAATCAAAACATTTCTCAGAAACAGAATTTTAACTTTCTAAATTACTTCCCTAAAAGTTAATAGCAGTTTTCATTTGAGATACAATTTATAATAAATTTTATCCTTCTTAGACTCTAGATGATTATTTATTTTGGAATAATTGTTATTGAATAAGATTTGTACTAAATTTGAATTATTTAGAACATAAACTTTAAAAATTATTCTAAAAATTATATTGAATTATTATACTTTAGTTATAGAAAATTAATTACTATTTTGTGAAACAGTAAACTCTTTTAATGTATTCTATTAAATACAAAAAATGCATAAATTAATGTTAAATGATATTTCATCGTCATCCTTTTTTATCATTTTTATAAATTAAAAAGGTTTAGGGCAAAATTTTTAATTGTTATTGTCTTCAAAATTTTAAATTAGAGACATAATCTTTTATTGTGGTTTTTTTTACATTTCCTTTTAAGAAGTTTATTTAGCAATTTATTTGAATTTACTTTATGAATTTTCTAGAAATATTTAATTCTTAAGAAGTTAATTAGCAGAAGGTCTTTCTTAAGGATTTAATGAAAATATCTATTATAAGACATTTAGAAAATTTTTATAGACAACTTCATTTTCATTTAAAAATAGTTCTAAAATAATTATGAATTCTAATATTACAATTTTGATTGAATTTCTTTTTTATTTCTTGAATTGAGAGAATTTTATCATTTATTTACCATGGCTATTTTTTTGTAAGAAGTTCATAAACAATACATCCTGCACTCCAAATATCAGATGCTTCAGAATAATCAGCATATTCAAATGTTTCAGGAGCACTGTAGTTTGATAAAGAATATTAACTTTATATCAAAATATCAGATATCAAGATAGTACCTTCATGATTAACTAAGATATTTGATGTCTTTAGATTTCTAATAGAATTAAAATGTATTAAGTACCTATGCAATTTATTTTATGAATGTAAATAGTCTAGTGCTTTTAATATTGATTGAAATATTGATAAAATAAGTTCTTATGAAAATTTACAATATTTTTAAAGGATAGATTGCAATGATCCATTAGACTCAAAATTAAAGAAGACATTTAAGTAATAAGTTTTCTTATTACTACTATTTTCAAAATTCCAACTAATAATGGATTCTATGTTTTAATGTCTCAAATTGGCAAGCTATTGCAAATTATACTTAATAATCTTAAAATTCTCTTTTTTGTTAAGGAGTATCTTTTTAATGGCAAGTAATTAAATTCTATCTTGAAGATAACCTGAATACATCGATTTGTTTTCAACTAATCTATCACCTAAAACATATTCTTCTTTATTTTTAGACTACTCTCTAAATAGGCTCTTACTTCAAACTATTATTCTTCATTTTCACTATCCTCATTAGAGTCTTGTTCTTCTTCCATTTCATCTTCATCATCATCATCGTCATCTTCTTAAGAAATCATTCTTTTTTTAAGAACTTAAGATCTCAAGGCAACACTTGAATTAATTATAGATTGTTATTCTTGTATATAATCATTATTGTTTTGTTAATTTTGATGTTTGAAATTGTTTTAATTGCTTTATCCACTTCCCATAATAGTAATATTATTTTATAATTAATTTATTATTTATTTTTGTTAAATGTTATTGATAATTTTTATTCTTCAATTTTATTCACAAAAATACTTACATAATTACTTGTCCTCTTTAACACAAATTCTTAATTCTATAATTTAAAGAATGGAAAATAATATAAATTAAAGGGTTAAAGAGGATGATTATAAAAATAATAGAGTATTTGATTGGGAAAAAGAGAAAGATAAAATTAGCATTACATAAAATTTAATAGGAAACACAATTTTATAAAATATAAGTATACTTTATTAGAGAATTGGATATGAAATAGAAAAAATAAAAAGAATATTTATTGATAATGATATCAATTAGGGATATTTTAGAGATCATAGTAAATTCTATTATCATAGTAATACAGAATGGTTCTAGCATACTAGCTCCAGTAAATTTTGATCTTGCTTACTGGTATTGATTATGATCAATTATTAGTAAAGAAGAGATCATAAATATTGATTTTGATTTTGATACTCAGATTTCTAATTCATAAACATATTAAGAGAATAAGAATTATGATAAATTTGATTTAGAATAATGGCTATTTTATTAAGATTAAGAAAGAATTGGTTTAGAATTAGCTATAGGAGGAATGGATATGATTTTAGCAATTCATATGTTTTAGGAGAAATAGAAAACAAATATTGAAGAGTTCTTTGAGATATTATTAAGAGATTAGATGAGGATTGGATATTTAGAAGGAATGCAATTAAAAGTGAATTCAAGTTTATTTTATTAAAGAATGGATCAAATACAAGTAATAATTAAGGAAGCATTAACTATGACTCAAGATATTATCTCTTGAGAATGATAATAGTATATTTATATATTAAAATATGATTTTTTAAGATATATATTTTTTCAACCAAATCCATATCCTTCGAATCCAATAGTAAATGCTATATCTAATTTCTATTTGAGTTCAGCAAAACTTTTGTAAAGAGGCACTTCTATGGACTTGAAACATGTATGACTTAATGGCAACTTTCTATCTGAGAGGCCTGACTCAAATCTGACATTAATCAAATAAGAACTTTGATCAAAAGGAATAGAGGATGAACCTATTTAATTGTTATTTTAAATACCTGTTATGAATTTCAACATATTCTTTAATGTCTCAGGAGATGCTTGACTAACATAAGTCTCAAAGTATGATTTATGTTATGGTTTTCCTCCAGTAAAATTGAATTTCTGTAGAAGAATTTCTGACTTGATCTCTAACAATCCTTAAGTCAATAATGACATTTCTCCAGGCATTAACCATTTTTAACATACCTTAATTTTATTTATAATATGATACTGATATGTCTAATACTGATGAAAATCCTTCTATAAAAGCTTTATATATTTTATCAAACTGTTTATAAATAACATATTCTGCAGTTTTATTAAGATATAATTCTAAATTTTTCTTAGTTACATTAGTTTGTGATCCTTTGATAATCAATTCTGCTTCAGTATTACCTGTAGAATATGTGAATACAAGACAAACAGATTCTAGATCTTCTTCACTAAGTGTCTTTAATTTCTCATAATTATTATAAGTATCCTTATCCCAGATGAGACTTAAATCTGTAAATACAATTTTTTCATCAAATACTACCTTCCAGAAAGGTGCTATGATATCAATTCCTATAAGATAAGAATTACATATGGCATTAGCAATTAACTTAATTTAGAAGAAATAATTACTTTTCCAAATAATAGTGCATATCGTTCTTTATTCTTTTGTTTATTGAATTTTGGATGTAAAAAGTATTTGCTTTGATTAGAAGAAACCGGAGAGAAAAATTTATAATTCTCATCTTTAAGTGTATTACCAATCATATCATAAAATTCTCTCTTTAATCCACCTGCATCAATACCTGGTTCATTATTAAATTTAATGCTAAATTGATAATTGAGTTTTTTTTCAGCTAATTCCAATAAATCTTCCAAAAAATTAACTCTACTAATATTCAAATTAAAACTTGTTGGTTTCCATACTTAATTAATATCTTAATGGAATCTTTATCTTCTTTTTTCTAATCCTAAACCAGAAAGTTTCCATATTTAACCTAAATATAATAATTATATATTACTTTTCTTTAATTAATTATTTATGAAAAATTCAATTGCAGTTGTATCTTCTAAAACTAAAATTTCAATAGGATCAAATATAATATGAGCATTTAAACAACCAAATTTTGTTAGATTATTGAAAGTCAAATTTAATTTTGATTTATCACCTGATACTTATTTGATATTGCAATTAGATTCAGAGAATATTTGATTTTCAATTTCACTATAACAATTATCAAATTTATCTTTCAAATAAAATGAGATTTATATTTTTTCAGAGAAAGGTATTACTTCTAAATTATCTTATATTTCTATAGTTGATTTTTCTAAATCTGGTAAATTAGCTAATACAATAAATCTACCATCAATTTTAACATTGTCTATAAATAAATGATATATTCCTTTAAAAGTTGGAGTCCAAATTATACTCAATCCTTCCTCTACTCTTTCAGTATCTGGTACATATTAAATTTAATAGAATATAGAATGAACAAAAGTAACTTTCTCAAAAGTAAATTATTCAACAACATTACAATTTGAATCTCTAAATTCAATATAATCCTTTCTCTATATACCTGCTCTTGTAGCTACAGCTATATCTTAATTACTAATAATATTAATTGTATTTCCACTCTACAATTCTTTAGAATGAGTTGTAGATTCCACTTACTAATAGATATTGTTTTCTTTATTATTTTTCTTTACTTCTTTTTAAAGTATTTTCATCATCTATTTATTACCTTTACCATATGTTGCATGATCATCTTTTTCATGTTCTACTTATATAATTTTTGAACCATGTGAAACTAAAACATGAATTGTCTTTTCTAAATCTTAAACACTTTGAATCTAATACTCAAAATGTAATTATTTTGAAAATTAATAATTTTTTTAAGATACAGTTATTGGTGAATAAGAATAAATAGTAATTTTTAATCGAGATTCACTTCTCATTGTTACAAGCATGAAATTATTACTTAAAAATAATCCTGTTGCCATTAAACTTTCTTATTCTGAATTCTTATATATTAATTGATTAAGTGTATATTTTTTTTGTTCTAATTTTCCTTAACTAACTAAGATCTTCACTTTTTATATTTATTAATCCAATGCAAGTTAAGGATGAATGGGATGTAATAGAAATTGTATTTCCTCTCCTACTTAAAATTAGATTTATTTTTGATTATTATATTTAGTAAGCAAAGGATGTTGAAAACTTTTGAAATAGAATAATTTGATATAAATACCATTTATTATTGGTATTAATATCAATTCTTTAAATTCTAATGGATCTGCTTATTCTTAATTTTTTATTACTATATTCATATCTATTATTGATAACAATTCTATTTAATCACATTAATTTAGACCTGAAAATATTTCTTTAGGAATTAATTTTAATGGTTTTTAGAGTATTTATTGACCAGAATAAGTGACATTTTATTCTAACTTGTTTGTTTAATTGATTTATTTTCTGTTAAAATAATCTAATATGAAATTTGAAAAACTAAAATCAAAGTATTTACAATAATTAATAATTATCATATCATCTACAAATTAGTAAAATGATTATTTATTATGTGTAATTATTTCATCAGAATGATATATACTAATCACTTTGATTTGATTTTCTTTATCCATAATACATAAAAGTTTATGCAAATATTAAACTATTAAAATAATATCAACAAATATTTTTCTATATTCAATATCAGGTAATTTATTATAATTAATTTATATTTGATTATCATTTGATATTTATGGCTCTAAATGATGATCTTTAAAGTTTATAATCAGATTGTTAAAGAAATTTGTAACTTCATCAATTTCTGGACAAATAATATAAGTTTCTCCTATTAAATTGTATATTTAAAGTTTTTTATTATTAATTTTAATTAAAGTTTCACCTTATTGTTTAAAAGGAACAAAAATAATCTCAACTTAAGCAATCAAATTTTTAATAATGTCAATTTTAATTTATGAAATTGATTAAACTCTAAAAAACATTTATAAAGAACTATTAATAGAACTTTGATTTTAATTTTAAATAAATTGTTCATAACCTTTTATGAAACTTAATATACCTGAATTTTATGCTATTATTAAGTCAGACACTTTATTTTAAAAATGATCAAGTTCATCATCAAATATTAAATATACCTCACTAAATTCTTCATGTTATTTTAAAAAATTATTTAGTTTCCCTTATAATTTATAACTCTTTAAATTTGATTCAAAATAGCATGCTGTATTTATAGGTTATGTTGGTACAGGATCTAATACAAATTTATCTTCATTTATTCTAACAAAAACAGTATTTGGTTGTATAACTGATTATTATTTTTTTAAAGAATTTATTGAAATAAAATCAAAGTTGATTTAATCTACAAAAGTTGGTGTCATTTATGTTACAGTAATATCACTATAAGATGATGCTAAACCTACTCCAAATAAACTATCTAATCTATCCTATTTAATATTTTCATCTACTTCATTTTATATCTCAATCATAGTCTTTATGAAATTTTTCTCATTGCAAATAAATAAATCTTACTCAAAATCAGTTATAAATAAATTCAAAATACAATTATTAAATAATGGATCATTAGGCCAATTAGATTAAAATAATACAATAGAATGAAGATCCTCTAAATTAATAGACAATTAATTTTATACATTTGTACCTCTTAGGTATACTTATTACAATCTAACAATCTCTTATTAACTTTTAGCTTCATTTTCTGTTAAATTATGAAATATTAAACATCCTGGTTTTGTATTGCATACTAATTATCCATATGTTAAATTTAATTTAGAATTATCATAATGACATACTGCACAAATATCACCTAATTTACAATTACTAATATAAAATGAAATAGTCAATTAAAAACCAAATCTAAAATATAATTTTTAGGTTATTTATTTATTTAAGTTACAAACTTTCTCTAATACAAAACCTCCTTTAGATTTAAATAATTATCTAGTATTTGAATTCAAAATTTCATTTAAATTCTTATTATATTTAATAGAATTCAAAAGACAATGAAATCTAATATAAAACATAGAGTTAAATTTTTCAGTAATGAATTAATTTACCAAATAATCATATAAATCTCTTGTAAAATAGTTATAAAGTTAATTTAAGATATACCAAATACTCTCAAATTCTTTTAATCTAATTTCATTATTTTTTATAGACATAGCTCTTAAAATCTCTCCTGAAAATATATATATTAATTAGGAATGATCCACTGATAATGTTACTGTTTTATTTATGATTTAACTTATTTTATTAGAAAAATTAAGTAAACATCTATCAACTTCTAATTTATTAAAAATAAACTATACAAGTTAATCAGAACTAAAAATCTAATTAAAAAAATCATAAATATTTAGAATATTATTGTAATACAATTATATTCTAGTATCTGGTAAAATTAGATTATTTTTTACTTATATCATTTATTAATTATTTGATTCTATTTTAACATTTAATCTTATAATTAATATCTAATTTTAAAGTAAATATGTAGTATTCCCAAATAAAAATGTTTTATCAAAAATATTATTTGTATCTACAAATTAACAATTCTATTAAGACAAATCAGATATTTCATTAAATTCAACATAAACACCTCTTATTACCTTTAATACTTATTAAGCTTATTCTAAATTGTGATAGATTAATGTATTGAAAATCATTATCAAACTATTCCATTCCAATAATGCATCTATTAATGAATATATTTCATCATTTAAACATTTTTAATTCTGCAAATCAATTAATTTACTTATAAAAACTTCTAAAAATGAAGTTGCATTAATTCTCCATATCAATTTCTTATTATCTTTTTTGTCAATTTAAGAGTAAGTTCTTACTTTTTCAATAAAATTAAAAAGTTTATTAAAAATGAATTAAATATTATAGGTTGTAAATAGACATTTTGAAAACTTGATTGAATTATTCATAATATAGAATGGAAAATCAACAATCCATTGATCTTATTTTGTTTATCCTTCAATCAAATTACCTAAATATTCATTATATTTATAAAGATCTTAAACTACAATTGATATTATTTTTCTACAATTATATTATTAAATGAATTCACTTTAACTTAGTTTAATTAAATTTAATTTAACATTTGGTTATTAGAATTAATAGAATTCTGAAAAAATAATTTCCTTTTGATTTTACTTTTTATGTCTCTATCTCACTTAATATGTGTTATCAGGTAAAAGTTCTAACATGAATTAAAAATCCTCTCTTAATTTCTATCTTTAACTTGTGGAAGCTTATTTTGATAAACTTAAGGCTCCAAAAGATTATCCAGTTTATGAAGATTGTTACCTTTATAATACTGGTTATTAAACAGAAATTTATTATGTCAATTCAGGTTATCTTATTTATTCATGTTGATGAGGTGCAAATAAATCATCAATTTCATATTATCCACATTTTACTTAAGCTTTTGTCAAATCTAATATTTAATCTATACAATTTTGATAAGATAAATTCTCAAAATCAAATGAACTCAAAATACTTAAATCAAATTTATTTAAATTAATCATTTTCTTATTTACAATACTAAACTATAATATATTTTCCATCAATACAGGTTATTCATCTAATTATTTTTAGTGTGTTTATGATTTTAGATATTCTAAAATTTTATCAATTTTATTTTAATTTAAATAGAATTAATTGTTTTCAAATGTCAAATAAATTTAAAAACTCTCTTAATACATTTTAATTTCTCCATCACCAAAATAAATTTAAAATTTATCCTTACTTTATTTTTCATACTTTTTTTCCTTTAAATAACCTTACCATTAACATTATGCCTTAAAATTATCAACAATAGCTTCAATTTATTTTATTTATATAATGCTTTTTAAAATTGAAATTTCAAGAAGATTTTCTTCCTAATTTAGACTTTCAAAAAAGTTATCCTTCTCAATATTTAAAGTGACTTAAGAGAAATCTTTCAAAAATTGTAAGGTATTATTTGAAAATTTTAGTTATGATATACTTTATTAATTTAATTGTTATTTTAATAAATCGTAAGTTCTTTAAAATAATAGAGTTGATATACATTACTACTTTAATAGATTAGGATTATAGTTGTCTTATTTTATGCTTTTTAATAACATTAATATATATGCAACAGATGGCTTCATATATTCTAATGGTATAGGATGTTCCTCTTCTTATTCTATTACTTCATGTTCCATTGGTACACCATTTTATGGAATTCTTAAATAATCGGTGTACATTTTTGAATGATAATTTAAAAAATTGTCTAATTCAGGAGTATCTTTTAATTTAGCATATAAAATCACTGCTATTTCTAAAGTAACTTCTATTGTTTATATCACTTTTAGAAGTAATAGAGGATTTATTTGACAAAGTTCAATAATCAAATTATTATGAGATATTTAGTATTGGAGACAATTTTTTAATATATTTTGAAGTAAATTTTGATCTAAATTTTAGATCTAATTTTTTGTTTTATATTCAACAATTAATTAGATTAACATATTTTCTGGATATTTGTGTTTTTCCAAACATTCCCATTTATTATCACTTAATGCAAAAGATAACATTTTATTTTTAAGATTAATCTGAGCTTATAAATTAAATATTGAATTAAGACAAGCTTATTCAAATAAAATTAATTCATTTAATTATTTATCTTTAATGTAAAGACTATTTGATTAATTAAATTTGGATTTCTATTTTATAAGAGAATTATTACTAAACTATTTATTCTTCTTTTTCTTTTTCTTTTTCTTTTTCTTATTTTCCTCTTCTTCTTTATTTTTATTTTATTCTTTTCCTTTTTACTTAACCCTATCAAATTAAATCCAATATAATTCTTATTATGCCAATTATAAATGGTCAAAATATTTTTTATAAAATTATTATTCTTTTGAATTTTCTTCTAAATTTTAAGGAGGAGTTTAAAATTTCAAAATATATGGTGAAGTTATAAGTTATAAATCATCTTAAGTTATGATTCCATCCAAATAATTTAAAATAAAATAACATTTATTTATTAAAGCAATTTAATAGATCTTATATTCAGTTAAATTTGAAGTTAATTATAATTGATTTTTAATTATATCATTAGTTTTTTATTTACCTATCAAATTTGTTAAATATACAAGAAAACATTCTTTAAAAACCTTTTCCATTTTTTTATAAAATACATAATAAAGAATAGGTATGTTATTGAATGATAATAATTTTTCATAAGCTTATACTTTTCCTTTAACAAATGAATTGAAATATTTAATAATGTTATTTTCACATTGTTAAATTATTAAAATTTAAAATATATTATTTGCTTATCCACATTTAGCTGGTTCTGCATGAAGATTCAATGCATAAATAATTGAATTATAATTATTACTCATTATTGCAGCAACTAAATGATTTTATGAAAATTATTATTATTTTGTTATATGATCATGTCTACCTTTTCTAAGAAATACTTAATTCTTAGTTAATTCAGCTGAAGTGTATTTTAAATTATAAAATGTTGTTTTAATATTTTCAGAATCATTATGATTATTAAAGATTTCTAAAGGATATGAATTATTTTTTAATATCTCTACTTATTTAGTTACATAAAACAATGTTGTATTATTGAATCTTATATTTTCTAATTCACTTAAATTTTTTTACAAGAACTTTATACATCTCATATTTTCATGCTATTAATTTAAAATCAAATTAGCAGTTTCATTTGATGACTCATTTTTAAGACTCAATAATATTTCTAAGAAAAATTATTTCTAAAATTATGTAAATCTTTAAGGAAATTCAAATTCTATTTCTGCTTATTTTAAATTAGCATTAGCATTATATAAATCAATATAACCTTATGCTCTTGTTGATAAAAAATTATTAGGAAATCTATTCTGTTGAAATACTTATAATAATGTTTTTATAATGTCTTGAAATTTCTCAATTTTTTTATTTTTAGGATATAATAAGTTTGAATAATATTCATAATTTGCTATAATTTCTTTAGATTTAATTTTTTTAGGATTAAATTATTTTTATACTATTTCAATACATTTTAGATAATCTGTTTTTTAACCACCTGAATTCATAAATAAAACTGATCTATCTTATGTTTAATATCCAACACATTAATTTTATGTATAATTTAATTATTATTATATTTTATGTACTTTTTTAACATACATTCTTTTAAGAAGATTTATATTATTGATTCTACAAAAATCTTCAATAATCTTTTATGCTTCTTATTTTAATTCTACATTAGTCTTTTTATTTCTCAACTTTTTAAATTTTAATTCATTAGGTTGAATATCAAAAAATTGAATTCTATTTCTTTTATTAACACTTTAATTTCCATTTTCATCTACTTCCTCTGCTTCATCTTAATTATCAAATTTGATAGATAATTATTCCTCTAAAAAGTACTTTACCATTTAAAAATATGCTTAACTATATGTTTCAAAACTGAAATCTCCTTAACTAAGTATAAATTATAATTTTTCATATAAACCATTTTCTAGAAATGATTATATATGTTTAATTTTTTATTCCATTGTCAAAGGTATCTATTTATAAAATTCTTAATATTGAGATAAAGTAAAGACAATATAATATGGTTTAGATAAAGCCTTATAATAAGTTTCTAAATTTTCTGGACATTTTAAAGGTGTTTTATATATTTAATTATCAAGATCTATTTAATTATTTTCACAATAATATAATAATTAATTCAATGTTTTATTTGATTAATTCTTTCTTAAAACTTATCCATAAAGTAAATAAATTTTATTTTTTTGTATCTATATTTAATTCAAATATTTAAGAGCCAAATTTTCTTAGTGTGAAAATAAAGACACAAACAATCTTTCAATTAAATTAATTGTAGATTCCTCTTTATTTTCAATCTTAATTACTATATCTAAAATAAATTTTATTATATTAGAATTCTTAGGTAATGATTTGGTACAATGTTAAATGATAAATTCAACCTATTGAATTTGACTAGTTAATAGAATATCTTTGATTATTGCTTGCAATAATTCTTAATCTTATATTTAATATATTAAGACAATTAAAGATTACTAATCAATAGTCATATATATAGATTATTTAGTATTTTAGTCTAACTTTTGCCAATTTTAAAGTGAAATTAATGGTAGAATATTTGAAAAATTATACTTCTATGTATCTTAAATCTATTCATTTTAAGGAATCTTCAATTCTAATAATTTTGATAACATTTAATTAAATTTTTTCACATTCTAATTATCCTATGTATAGGTTTACCTTTTACCATCAATTTCAAATAAAAATTATTGTTAGGCTAATCTAGCTATTAGATTATATAAACTATATTAAAATTAAACACTTAAATATTCAATATTGTTAAAGGCTTCCTCTTCTATCATTTTTTATAGATAAAATTTTATTTAAGTCTTTGCATATGAATAGCTTGAAATATAACCTTATAATTCTTAATTAAATTTATTTGATCGAGCTAAAGCATCTCCAAAATACATTTTATCTATAATTTAATTTCTAATAACCTTTTGTTTATTACTTAATTTATCTTAATTAATATTATTAGGAATTGTAGAATTGAAAATTTTTGCTGTGATTCCATAAATTTACCAATCAAATGCTTATTCATAATGTTCTACTTTTAAATCATGAAAAGTAACATATTTTTTAATATCTTTTTCAACTAATATTTCTGGATGAAAATTGATTTTATCTTTCATAGACCAAAATTTATTAAGAAATAGAAATGGCTTCTATTTTGTCATTTCTATAAAGGTTTTATAGGATTCTAATTGTTAATTAAATATTAAAAGATTGTTATGAGTTAAATATGCTCTAAAATATAATATTTAATCTACTTCCTTATTATTATTATCTTGTTAAATAATCTATTAAATGATTTATTTTTTTGATAAATATTCTTATAGATCAAGATGAATTAATGTTTAAAAATTGATAGTATAATGTTTCTCATCTTCTTTTGGTAATTATAAATCATTTAATCTAATATCAAAAAAGTGTTTTTTATTCTTAAGTGTAACTAATTTAAGTTTAGCTCTAATTTAAATTGAATCTAATATTTTCTTAAGCAAATGATCTTTAGAATGCAATTATTTCAATTCAAAAGCTGCAAGTAACACTTCATATTTAGTATTTTAATCTATATCAAATAATAATTATGCAGTCAAACAACCTTCTAATAATTTTTAATCCTTTAATTAAATTAATATTGAATATATTGTTTAATGTTCTATTTATTTAAAATCTGTATTTCCAAATATTTAAGTTATTAATAATTTTGGATTTTAATTAATTTATTCTATTACTATAGAATCAATCATATCAAATACTGTCTAATATGGATATTATTTTTATTCTTTTTTTAAACTTATCAATTATGCTAACAATTATGCTTTTAGGGAAAATCCATTAGGAATCTCAACATCTATATTTTAATTTGAATTAATTAATTAAATCACTTAAATAATATTTTATTTCACTTATTCTTAATGTCCATTTCTTAATAAAATATTCATAAATGTCTATTATGTGGTACCTATTTCATAAGGAAAATAGCTTGTATAAATATTAAAATTATTAATCCAATCAAATTTTATTTTTTAATCTTTTTTTATTACTTATTTTACTAATTGAATATAGTGTAAATAAACATAATCATATTAAGTATTTATTTTTTTCTATGGATATTATTTTATTAAATTTCTACCTTTTTTAAAAAAACTAAAGAACTTCTCTTATAAATTAGGATTTAATTTATTTTTTTTAAGATCTTTAGTTCTCTATTTTTTTATTTGATGTGAATTAACAATAGCTTAGATATGCAATTTGTTGAAATCAAATTCTTTTTTAATAAATTGACTTAAAAACTCACAAACTGTGTTTAAGACTACTTTATGTGAATCCATATAAGAAATCAAAGGAATTTAATCATTATATGGTTATAAAAGTAATTATTCTAATAATTATTCTTACTATCCACATTATTATAATTGGGATAAGATATTTATAATTAAAGCTTCATTCTCTTCTTGAATGTTCTTATTCATAGAAATACAATGTACAATATTCTTACCTTATTATGTTGTATATTTAATAGCTTATTTAAGTTGAGAAGGATATTCTAATATATATTCTAATATTATGTTAATTGGAGCCTTTTCCATAAAAATCATAAAAGGAGTAATACCAGAAATATCAGGCACTTAATAATAATTATTAGAGTATTATATAAATAATTTCCATTCTTTATTTATGGCTATTTAATGAAATATAGTGAATTTTAGATGTTTCAATTCTATTTTACTAGAATTTACTTAATTACTATCTCCTTTTGGTATAGATTTTGGTATTGATAAATTAGTAAAATTATAATTAATTTTTGCATTACAATATGCTTATTCAAGAGTTGAATTGATTGAGAAATGTTTAAGTAATTTAACTATTATACCTAATAATTTAATATGTAAAGGATTTCTTAAATTGAATTCAGAGTCAAAATTTTAAAATCTATTAAAAAGTATAACTGCTCCTTTATTAATTATTAATTAAGTAATTTGATTGGAATTTTAGATTGCTTTAATAAAATTAATAGATTATTAAACTTAGTTATCATTTTTTCTTAATGGTTTAATTTTATTTATAATTCTTATTGCAACATAATAGAGATCATCATTTATAGGAAATTAATGCTCTAATAATAGATGGGTAATAATTTCGAAAGTTTGTATATGAATTAATATAAGTTCAAGCATAGTGATTCCTAAACAACCTTTTAAAAATAGGATTTCAATTAATTATTTATCATAACTTTTTGATATATCCTAAAAAAATATTAAAATATGTTACATTCAATTCTTCTAATGTAAGTGAATTTGAAAAAGTTTTCTATTCAATTTCATTTATAATTTATATGTCAGTTTCAGAATTATAATGAAGTGATTCAACATACTCCTTTCCATAATTTATTAATTTCTGTAATTTTTCATTCCTGGGTAATTTTGGTTTTTAAGGTTCTATAGGTTATTAATTTTTTTCAAATTGCATATCGTCAAAATTGTCTTTTTTCTTAGGTTTAGGATATTTACAAGGTGGAGGTATATCATTTTTAGTTTAGACCATTCTTTTTCTTTTATCTTATTCTTCAGACCTATCCTATTAATTAACTTCAATATTTTGAATATCTTCTTATTATATTTAAGGATGATTAATTTATATAGGCTTTTTATTCCTATTATCAGGTTCTTGAATATTATTAGCTGCACTCACACAACAACCCATTTTTAATTAAATATAAAGTTTTTAATATAAATTTTTAAATGCTAGTAATATTTATATGATGAGGAATTCTGATTATATGATCTTGTTATTTTTAATAATAAATATTGTATATAATAGATTCTTCATTATTAAAAACATTTAAAATTGATGTTAAATTTGAAAATTGAACTTATTTAAGTAATGATTATTACATTAGAGATTATGTAATACTTATGATTAAAATATAAAGTCTTAAAGAATTGTAATTCACCATTGATTTTAATAAAATACTTTGACAAATTAAGTTTAATAAACGAATTGGTTACTTATAGTATTAAAAAATAAATATATATGATTTCCCATGATGATACTAATAATAAACAATTATCTTAACCAATAGAAACCTTTCGTAGATTAATGCTGCCTCATAAAAGTGATGTAGGTTTAGGTTTATAGAGTTGGACAAAACATCCCAATACTACTAAAAATTTATAGAGAAAACTCTACATAACCAATAAACCTGAGGTAAATAGAAATCAAGAGAATTAAAATACTTCATCTAGTTTTGAAAAAAACATAGCTGATGAACTTTTAAAACATGAAGTATGTGATTGGTAATTCTTTATGCAAAAGGATTAAGAGATAATACAAAAAATTAATACTTCAGATGAATTTCCTTAAGAACCAACATACAAGGCAAAAACGTTAGAATCAACAACTAGAAATTCTTAATTGTAAAAAGGAAATGAAAGATATCTCTATTTTCAAAGAATGAAACAAGGAAAGTAAATTATTATATTTATTAGTAGCAAACTTCTACCAAATTTAAGTACCTAAGACTTTCTAAGTTCTGTTAGAAATTCTAATAAACTCAATGAGTTTGCTAAAGTTTATAAATAATAACCTTAGAATCTCTATTTAAGTTTAAATCTTTCATAACCTTAAAGAGTTCCAAAAACCTTTGGATTGATACAAAATACTTAATAATTAGTATCTGTAAATACTAATAGATGTTTAAGATCTCGTGAGGATTGTAGAGCATTTTCTTTTGCAATGCAAACTTAATAAAGCAAAAGTATAACTAGTTTATAAATGAATCATAATATTTTTGATCCTTTGTAACTAAGAGATATGCTTTTAAGTTTTCCAACAACTTTAAAAGATTTAGAATTGATTGATTGTAAATTACACTATTAACATATGGATGTATTAATGAGTTATATTAATAAAAATTAAATTAGCAAAATCAATTTAGAAAAGAATAACATAAGAGATTAAGGATGTAAAATAATTGTTAAATATTTAATGAATAATAATACTCTACAACATTTAAATTTGAATAATAATCAAATTACAGAATCTGCATGTATGAGTATATCAAATTTATTAAAATAAACTTAAAGATTATTAGAATTATATCTTGGATACAATCATCTAAATTCAAGTGCTGGAAATACTATTTGGAAAGCTATGTATAAGAATACAAGCATTAAAATATTAGATTTATCTCATAATAATATTGCTTCACTTGATTGTGCTTCATCAATAGCTAAAGCAATAGCTAGACCTTATAATGAATTACTTCATGTTGATCTATCATATAATAAATTTACTTATTTATAAGCTTAAGTTATAGCTGATGCATTAATTAAAAATGAAACTATATATGGATTTCATTTTGAAGGAAATTAAACAGAATTAGTAGTCAATTAAAATGGATTCTTAATTAATAATATTTAATAAAAAAAGATTTTAAATGATAAATTAACATTGCTTTATAAATAAAAATAATATTTTAAATTATTGGATCAACCTAAATAGGATATATAAACTGTTACCAAGTAATATGAAGAATTTGTTATGCCATATAGTAGATAAAGAAAAATTAGATCAACAAAATTAAATGTTTAAAAAGTTAATTAAATAAATAAATTAGATACATGTTGGATTTGTGAAGGATGGTAAGAAATTAAATTTGAATGGACTGCTTATAAATCAGGAAGTTTATATAATGAACCTATATTTATTCATTTTGATTTTGAAGATTACAAACCTCTTTTAATGACTCATTTAAATCATGAATTTTTTTTAGTTAAAATGTGTCCACCCAATTAAAATATCCATTATTTTTTTACTAATCCAATTTTAGGAGTTTAATAACCAGCACTTGATTAACCAATTATATAACTTGAAATTCCTTTATCTTCTATACCATTTCTATATAATGATGAAATTTTAGTAGATGGAAATATAATTGAATCATTAAATGTGCTTAAAACATTTAATAAATAACAATTATTTGATAAATATATGCCATTAGTATAATGTAAACCTAGAGAACCTTTAGCTAAATTTGATTTCTCTCCCTATCTAAATATCAAAAAACATGATTGGTCAGTAGAAAGTTCAATATTTAGAAATTTCTAACCAGATACTCCTTAATTAATTGATTAATGTTTTGAGTTTGACTTTTAGAATTCAAAAGTTACAAGATTAGTAAAGGAAAATGAAGTTGGAGAAGTAAAAGAATGTTTAAGAGATTTATATAGAAATTTATTTCATGTTTATAAATATCATGCTTCAGGATCTTTAAATACACCAATACCTTGTATAATGATACAAGATTTTATTGATTTTTTAGTCTAGACTTCATTAATGGATGGAATGAAAACAAATGATATTGATATTAGTTTTACTTCCACAAGTGCAGCAAAAGATGTAGCATTTCCTTAAGCATATGAAAAAGGTATAGTTAGATGTTAATTATTGGAAATCATGATTAGATTATGCAATGATAAATATATAAGATCAGGAATATATACATCAATGGTAGATTCCATTAATGCTATCAAATAATAATGTTAAGAATATTTTAGTAAATTTGATTAATCTTAATAATGGAGAAAAACAAGATTATGGAGTTAAAAATGTGATATATTATTAAATGATAGACTTGCTATGCTCAAATCATTATATAAATATTGTTGTAAATTAAGTAAAAAACCATAATAATTTAAATTTGAATATGTATCATTTTCAGATTTTAAAGATTTCATATCTGAATGTAAATTGATATGTGATGAATTGAGTGAAAGGGAATGTTATTTAGTATATCTACAATCAATGGTAACATAAAAAGATGAATTATACTCTTCAAAACATTATTAAATGAATTTTCATGAATTTATTGAAGCATGTAGTAGATTAGCTGAAAAATTATCTATAATAAGAGGAGACAAACCAATTGATATAGATGATAGAAGAGCTAAAGATTTACATACAAAATTAGATGGTTTCTTGTTATATGTATATTTAAATATTGGAAATCAAATGAAAACTATTCTTTCTTAAAATGATCCAGATATTAAAGGAGTTGATAAATGCATGATAAATGATTTTAAATCATTAAAGTAAAAATTGGAAGATTCATTTACTGATGGAGATGAACCTCCATATGATCCAAAGGTTGAATTACCTCATCTTTCAAGTTAAATTACAAATTTATTGGGAAATACATTTGGAGGCAAAAAATAAACTCTTAGATAACAAATAAAACAATAGAAAAAAGAAGAGTAAAAGTTTGCTCTTATTAATTTTGTTTAATACTTTAAGAGCATATAATAAATAAATAAAGACTAAGATGACTGATCTTACTTAATCATATAAATGAATATTATGTATAAAAATAACAATTAATCTTATAAATATCAAATATTATTTCCAATCGAACTGCTCAACCTTTCTATTAGAATTTGCTATATGCATATTTGAACTTTATCTCCTTATTTTACACAATCTAAATATCATCTTCTACTTTATTTAAGGTGTGCAGATTTTCAAATGGAAGAGAATAGATTCCTGATGATATGTATATTGATTGCATTTGATTGAGAAAATCCTTTCCTTTTGTCAATTTTCTTTAATAAACTAAAAATATATATTTATACTTAATACCTGTATTATATATTTTAGTAGCAACTGGAAAATAGTTTTAAAGAGCATAAACATTTTTAGCCATACTTGTTAATGCATAATATTTATCATGTATATCAAGTTCTTAAAATTCAATAGTAGAAAATATTTGATTATTTGACCATAATGATAATACCTTTGATTATCCTTCTATATAATTTTCCCATTCCTATTCTAATTTCTCAATTAATTCTTTATCAAATTACTCAATATACTAAATGAAATAGATTCTGCATTTTTCAGCATTCTGATCTTTAAGTTTAATTCTCTTTAATCCTTCTAAAATAGACATACTATTTTATATAGTTGTTCTTTCTCTTTAATTTAAATAACAACAAAATATTGACCAAGCTCTTGTTAATGTGTCCTCATCAGTTTTATAAGCCTATGTCAAATATCTTAAAATAACTGATAATTTTCTCAATAAGAGTAGATGTTTACTATGATTTTCTAAATAATTCGAGATAATAAAAAAAGAATGATCAACGCATTCACAACCTGTCCATCTAATTCTAAAAGGAAATTTTTTAATTCCAATTCCAATATCATCTCCAAAAGTCCATTAAGGTTTCTTTAATTTTCTTTTGGCTTTTTCTTTTAACTACATTTCCTATTCTATTTCAGATCTCATTTAACCTTAATAACATTATTCTATAATAATGTTAATTTTTGTTTTTAAACAATATTTTTCTTCATTCAACAATTTATTCACTCCATATTTATTATAGAGTTTTATTCCTTGTTCATCTGCAGCTTATGCTACTTATTTATATTTATTTCTAAGTAACTCTAATTCTTCATTTTACTTTATAATTTTTATGTTGATAATTTTTATGAAACTTATATTGAATTTTAATAAACTTATATTATGTCTAGAAGTTTGATTCTTCTCTTTAACATTTACTGTCATGCTAACAACCTTTTCCAGAACTACTTTTAACTATTCAATAATGGTTGGGATTATTTTTATAATTCCTTCTAGTGCTTTAAGATAATCATTCAAAACCTCCCCAAACCATTATAATTTTAAATCGCCACTTAAACCTAAGTTATAGTTCAAATATTTTCCTATACAAATAGTCTTTTTAGAATACCTTCATTTTCAAATTTGTAAAATACTCCATTCTAGCCACTCTATCCAAGGTTACATATTGAAACATATCTAGTCCAAAATCCAAATGCATCTATTAATGTCTGATTACCTGTTAATGATACCTATAATATGGATTTATAAATGTACTTTTGTAATGCGTAATAAAATGAGTCTATTTCCTTCAACTTTCTTATATAGTTGTTAGACTTCATTTATTAAATTGTTTGCAACCAAAAACAATTGAGTCAATTCTATAGATTAAGTTCCTAGTTTAAGTAATTGAAAATCATTAAATGCCAATGTGACAGTATCACTTGAAGTAGTACACCCCATATTTTAATATTATAAATGCTCTCTAAATTATTTAATGTACTAAAAATCACCATTTAATCATTTATACACTCTAATATTGATGTCAGATCAAATTAGGATGACCTGACGAATAAACTGTCAATAAATTGAAGAAAATGATTAAATCAATATTTTATCAATTAAAATTTATACTCTCAATAGAATAACCTTTCTTAATAATTATTACTACAACAAATTTAAAGTAGAGTCAATTAAAATTTATTACAATTATTCAATTTAATAACTCAAATTCAAATTAAAAGTAAAACTACGTAAAATATATCTTCATTATACTTCATTTAAGAAAATGAAACCGTCATATATTATAAATATATAATATATATATTTAAATATTATTTTGATTACTTACCCAATTTACACTTATAAAAAATGGAATCTTTCAAAATTCAACTTTAAATGATCAATCATAAATTTCCTGAATTTAATTATCTTCTTTTTAACATTCAAAATTTGATATATTCTCAACAATAAATAAAGACATAACAATTATATAATAAGTGTAAATTACATTGCAACGATGAATTCTAATCTAAATTCAATTAGATTAGCATTTATAATTTGAATATTTACATTTTTATACATTTTTATGAATTTCCTAATTTAAATTTTTTATAATTATCAAAAGAACTAAAAATTATAAATTAAAACTTGTATTTCTGATTATATTACAATAATGTTAAATTATAGTAAACATTCATTATATTTAGAAATCTTAATGATTAAGATTATTAAAAATAATTATAGAAAATAATTGATAATCTAATATATATGTATATACTTTAAAAACTATAAAAACATGAGGAAATCATATTTATTACTTATTTCTTTATGCAGATATTTACTTTTAAGTTTCAGCAAAGTTTTTAATTTTTTTGACTTTTTAAACAACTTTTTCTTTTTTAATTTTCTTTTTTTAAATCTCTTAATATTCTTTATTATATTTGCTCTATTATTCAATTTATTTTGGTTGATATCTATATCCTGCTTTAGGGTTCTTAACATCAAAATCTACTTAAACTTATCTTCCATGTACTTTTTTACCATTCATCTACAGAGCTTTTATAACTGATTAATGATCTTCAAAATCTATATAAGCAAAGCCTTTAAAATTCTTAGTTACAGTATTATAAACCATTCTAACATTTGCTACCTTACCACATGGTCTAAAGGAGTCTCCTATTTGATCAGCATTTAAATCATAAGACAGATTTTTCACAAAAATTGTACGACATTCAGGAGGTGGAACCCCTGTTTTTTGAGGTTAGGTTCCTTTGGCCTCTTTAACATCAATATACCTGCCTCCCAATTAAGAACCGTTAAGTGCTAATGCTTTTTATATTGCATCAGAATCATTAAATGTAATATGACCATAACCTAGAAGTCTGTTTGAATCCTAATATCTTGGCAATTTAATTGATCTAAATTAGATGATATGACTTACAGGATTTCCCCACAATCTTCAAAAAGTGCTTAAACATCGTTTTCTGAAGCAGTGTATGGTAAGCCACTAATAAAGACTTAATACATTAATATTAATATAAAATTTATGTTATTTAATATAGTTGCCAATGACTCAGAAAAATTGTATGAAAATGAGAACCCAACTTATGATGAGATCATACGTTTTATAAAACAGCAAATGAATATAATTAATCCTTTATTAACATATATAGATGATGATGGGAAATCATATTATGTAAATTGTACAAATGACATTAATGAAATAAAAAAGAAATTGGCTATTATTAAGAAAGTGAATTTGTATATAACATTGTAATCTTGGACTTGTGAATTTTGTACATATGAAGAAAATACTGAAGAGAAATGTGAAGTTTGTGGATAAATTAAAAAATGAATTATCTCAATTATCTATTTAAATGGTAACTACATAATAGAAATATTATATCCCATATGCTTCTTATCTGATCTCTACTCTAGAAAATTCATTTATTTCTTAAAATGAACTTACGTATTTCATAGAAGTAAATTTATATGGTTTTATTAAAATGATTTTTAGATAATAATTGGATTAACATTTTAAAAAAAAAAAAATTAATCTTAATAATCATTATTAAAAGGCTGTAAAAATTTATTTTATGTTCTACCCATTTTTTTTTAATTAATTAGCTTCTCAAAGTAATAATAAAGTATTAAAATGGATTGTAGGATTACTTATTTAAATAAATCAATTTTTTATGTCTATCTAAAATATTAGACAAAAAATATTATCAATATTAAAATAAGAAAGTTTAGTTATACTTTATAATATGACTTAAAAGGTAAATATAGTTAAATATTATTTTGAATTAGAAAAGCAATTATTTTTGAATTCATTTAAATATAAATTAACGAGCAGATAATAATTATTATAAATAATTTAGATTTTAATATAAAGACGAGAGATAACAACTCAAGGTAACTTAAAATATAATTTTTAATTTTATAATAAATGTATCAAATAAGTAATTATTTTTTAATTTAATCCATTGCTTAAATTATTGCAAGAATTTCTTTCTCTTTGCTTAATCTAAATAAAAAATTGAGCAGTTTAAGAAAAATTAAGGTTATTCATTCTTTAATAGTAATAGATATTAAAACTATTATTCATAAAAAATTATAAGTAATGGTATAAAAGGGTATCGAATTTTCTGTGACAAAAAATGGCTATAAATAAAAACTAGTAGGTATATGTTTAAGTTTTAAAATATTTTTAGACTTTACCTATTAATATTATAAACATTATTCACTATTTATTTGTCAATTTTTATTTTTCTAAAAACTACTTAAACAATCTGTTTATTAAATAATTTCCATTTTATAGTTGTTAAATTTAATTAGTAAATTTTAAAACTTAAATGAAAGATCACAAAATTACAATTAACATTATATTGTTATTTTCTAAAACAATATAATATTTATATTAATATTATGGCATTATTTTTTAGAAAAATTTTATTCCTAAATTTAAAAAATAATGTAATTGAATATTTAATGACTCAAAAGTTTAAGAATTTAAAAAGTAAGAGAATAAATTGTTAATGAGAATGATACAATATAATTAAATATACTATAAAAATATGAATATTATGAATTTGGGCAATCCATATATCATTGGATAGCATAAGAATGGTAAAGTCTTATATGGGGAGAAGATTAATTTATATCGATCCAGATTTTTGGAGGTATATAGAGAAGACTAAGTATTTAGTTATTATGGAGTTGAATTGACATTAGTCATATAAATTATATGGGGATCGTTAGGTATATTTGAGACAAATTTATTATAATGATTATTTAATTATCATGATTTGCAAAGTTCAAAGTTTTGAGTCATATCCTAATGATTAAATTGACGTCTAGTATACAATAGCTTTATTTGATTGTTATTCCTTATTTTAAACTTGTCTATATGTTGGATTATCGAATCTTATTAATGATTATTTTAATTATTGCAATAGGTATACCAAATTCTAGATATACCCATAGCTGTAGCTTAAACTCCAGAAACTTTTGTAAAAATCTTGGTAGATAAAATTTTTGGTTCAGCCCTAGATTTATTTGATGTGTTTATAGGTATTATCTAATGTTTAAATGAATCCTTCAATAAAAATTGATTGACTTTACTTTGTACATTAAATCATATGTATATATATATATATATAATTACTTGGATTATTATTATATCAACATAACCTTGATCATTTAGACCAATTAATTAATATTGATTATAGATAATAATAATTAAATTGTGTTGTAAAATTAATTGACATACATAATATAATGATCTATTATCATTCCTTTAAAAAACTTTCACAATTCAATTCTACAATTGTAATTTACAAAATTTATGATGGCCAGCATCAATATCAACACAATTAATATAGAATAACAGAGTTTCTGTTTACGTTGCAAATAACTGACTGCAAATGGAACTATTCTTTAAATTTAGAATTTAAATGATTCTATCTACACTCAACTTCAAGAAAACAGTTGGCGTAAAACAGGTTAATAATTTTATCATTCCAATCCAAAAAGTTGTTGCCAATAAATAGTTTGTAAAATACCTGTTTTTTAATATAATTCACCAAAAAGATGTTTAAAAGCATTGAAGTAATATATTTACAATATTCTTAGAAACTTAACTTAAGAATATTTCGATGTTGAACTAATTAAACAATCTATATATAATAATTTATTACAATACGTTGATTTGTCTCGTCCTTGTCGAGAAACGTTATAGACAAGATTAGCATTCTAACATTTTTTACTAGTATTATCATAACGTTTGGATTATACTTCTTTAAATAAATTTGGGTTTAAGGAAAATTCACATGAGGAACTTAAGAAACATGTATAATAATTGAATAATGAATTACATATGAATGTAAAAGTGGATAAAAAAAATTATTTACATTTCAATTGGCCCAGTGATTTTATTGCTTTATTAAGAAAGTCTAAAAGGAGTAGTTTAATTGTTATAGTTAAAGAAGCAACTTATGATTAAGAAGCTCATTAATTATTCATGGATAATTATTTTTAAGTTTCAAAGTAGAATTATTAGAAAATGTATTGTGATTCCTAATATCAGATGATTAAATATTATGCTAATTCTTAATTGACAGGTGTTAGTTTTGTTGAATTGAGATAAAATTCATTACATAGATTGAGTTTTCATTATAATAAAGAAATAAAAGAGATAAATAGAATAGCTATAGATTATGAAATAAAATGGGCATAATAATTAAATTTATAGAATTATTATTATATTAAAAAAAGTAGGAGTATAGAAAATAAAAATTAAGTTATTAATGAAATGATTGATAACAATTTTCAAATTTTTAGAGGATAAAAAATGATTTAGATAAAATAGTTAAGATCTGTTTATTAAAAATATCTTATTGAATTGCTTACTAAAATGAACTCGATTATGGGTCCATAATTATTTAAACTGTTTATATATAAATATGATTGATTATATATAAAAAAATCTATCAAGATAATTTAGACTTGAACTTTTCCATTTTTGTAATTTTTAATTTTGATTTTATTTCATTTTTTTCTTAAACTGTAAATTTTTTACTTGGACTAGATATAACTTACTTAATCAAATTGAATACTTCCTTACTATGATTAGGAAATTTGACTTAAGAACGATTGGTCATTTCTGTAAAATTGGTTGTTCGAGTTATCTTTGAGATTTATAGATTGCTTTTTGGTTCTGTTCTCATACGCATATTAATTAAAGTTTTAGCAAAATCATCATGTTCATTTTATTTATCATCAGATCTTAAATAGTCTAATATTTCTTTTTTTTAACTTTATAATTATTGTGTTTAAAAATATCTATTTCTTTTTTTAGCTGAATCTTCAATTTATTTTTCTTATTATTATATATCTAATTATTATTTTTAATATTTAATTTTTTCATTATAAAATCTAAGAGAATGATTACTTTTATTAATTAAATCAGGAAGAGAATTTGTAATATTATTTTAATTATTATTTAAAGTATGACTCTATATTTTAGATGGATAATATTTATTTTTCATATATATTAAAGAACATTCTCTTAAAATATTATCAATATTATAAGACATCTATTTTTCTTTTGTAAGTTTATGTTGAATAGACTTTAATAATTCGAGAGCAAAAAGGATATGTGCTTTTAATTTATATGTTTATGCATTAAGATTCCAAAAATGAGAAGTGGGATTATTAATTTCAAATAAACATAACACTTCAAATTATTTATTTATTATTTTTATAATGTCATTACTACTTGCTGATATGATAAGTTATGTTTTAGTAGAAAATAATACTTCAAATGGATCAATTTACATATATGATAATTATATTACACTTTCTGAATGTATTGAAACACTTAAAGTAGGTGATTAATTTGGAATATCAAAATGTTAATCATAAAATTATCCTGCCATATTTTTAACTGCACTCAATCTAGTCATTCCTGTTCTAAATTTTTATTTAATTTTCTAATTAGGAGATCGTTATAATTATATTAAATGTTGACTCATATTAATATCTTTAACTAAATAAGAATTAATTATTCTATAATTATCAATAAAATGTTCTTAAATATTATTATGATAAATAACTCTATATGGATTATAATTAGGTTTAGTATTAATTGGATCTTATTGTTAAATTTTTATTTCAGATATATCATATTTTAACATATATCCATTATTCAATCCAACTATTAAATCTAAATCATCTATCAACATTTAAGTAGCATAATTTCTTTCATTTATACTTGTTAAAAGTAAAAGACCACTTTCTACATTTAAAATAGATTCTATTGCACATACATAATGATCATTTTTAGATGTTATAGATATAAAATATAATTATGCTTAATTTGTACCTACAATAAAGTATTATTTATTATTAGATATTACAATACTAGTAGCAATAGCTTATTCTTCTAATTAAATTTATATAACAACTGAATAATATTCAAGATTCCATATAGTAATAAAGTCATCATTACTTGTAATCAATAATCCATGAGATAGATTAAATGTACATATATTTACTTAAGAATGATGCATTAATTATCTAAGAGCTCTTTTATCTTTAGCATTAACATTATCTTTACGTACATTTAAATGTTATAACGGTAAACATTTAAGTGAAGAATCAATATTAAATATATGTAGTAAATTAGATGTTTCATCATATGAAATTTTAATGATTTCTTCATTAAATAATTAATCCCATTATTAAACTATCTCTCCATTTTTTATTAATACTTTCATTACATGTCCTTCAGATGTTCCTAATATCATATAATTATTATGTTCTATTAAACAGACTGCAGTTATCTCATCCTTAAAATCTTATAATATATATTCAATTTTTCCATTTATACAATTCTATATTCTCACATCTGTCCTTGTTACAATAATATTTCTTTAATTCCATTAATCATAAATCAATTCAATTAATTTTGTATTTTTAGGTGTGTCATCATGTTATTCAAATCTTAAAGCTTATAATCTTGTTGTTATAAGACATAAACATTTATTATAATAAAATAATTATTTAGACATTAATTTAGTTTACAATTTAATATGTTAATGAATTTATTAAGATCTAATATCCCATAATATTATTGTATTTTTACAATCAATACTAACCAATAATGATGTATTTTCTAATAATTCAATACAACTTATAGTTTATAAATGTCCTTTTAATTAACATTTCAAATTTTAATCATTATATTTTGTATGTAATTAATAACAACATATTTAACTATCTAAACCTATTGTAAATATTAATTAAAATGTTCTTGAATACTTTACATTAGTTATTATGTTATGAAGAGTTGAAAATCTAAATAAGAATTTCTATTCAAACATATCAAAACAATTAATTATATTTGGATTAGATATCACCAATAACATTTAAAGATGATCTATTTCACATATCTCTGTTATTGAATTTATTTATTAAGTAATACAAGTATAATTAGCAGTTTCTAAATTCCATATCATTATTTAATTTTATTTATTTACACTTATCCATTAATCTTATAAATGAAGATATCTTAATTTTGAAATCTCTACATTATTCTCTACTTTATAATCAAATTAATATCCATCACTCTAATCCCAAAATACTATTGTTAAATCACGCATCACACATCCTAGTCTTTCATTACCATAACTAATAAATTGTATATAATTGCCTTCATCATTCTTTTTCAGATTAATAAACTTTTGAAACTCAAAACCCACAAATAAACTTATCCTCTCTTGAAATTACATTAAAAGAAATAATTCATTCTAATGAGTAATTGCCTATATTATTTATGTCTTACTGTTAGTATCAATTGTTTTTAGATCATTTTCTAACCTCCTAAGCATATCCTAATTCAACCCCAGTATTTCTGGTGGTGATATTTCTGAAGCTATTAGTTAACGTTTTTTTGTTCTTATAAGATGTTTAGGAAGAAACTTCTTATTAAAATGAATATCTAATTATTCTGCACTTGAAATCAAATAGTCTGTGATATGCTTTAATTATACAGAACATTATATTTATGATCGTACATCTTGATAAAATTATAATAATCTTGTTATTGTAATTAATCCATCTAAACCACTCTCTTCCATTCGTTACACATAAAATGTTACAAAACTTTGTAAATCAATTACTTAATTTTAATTGTCATCTACTATTTAAGCCAAATCAAATAAATAATGTTATACTACACTACTTATATCAAATTCATCCATCCTCTCAGCAACAACATTTAATAATTAGTCTATATTCATTTTATATATATATATATTAAATTATAACATCTCAAAATTATACATATACTTCACTCATAATTTATTGAATAATCAACTAAACAATGTCATACTATTTTAATAATGAATTTACTTTTCATATTGTTAATTTCTATACTAAAATAAAAATTCATATAAAAATATAATTATCAAATAATTGACAAAGAAAATACTCTTTCTTTTTTCCCATAATATCCCTTATTTTTTAATTAGTTAGAAAGATAAATTAAATTTTTTTTATTTAACTATCAAATCAGTTCTTAAATTAATGAATTATTTGATAATCTTATTATCCTTATATATATATATTGTATATATTTATTTTCAATTAATTCAATCTTCCTTTATATCTATATATAAAATATTTTTATTATTTATAACATAAATCTTGTTGAGATTTAAAATTAAACATCATTTTGTGAATTTTAGTTATAAATAATTTCATTATACTCACATATCTCAATACAATTTCTAAAATACTTAATTAATTGAAGAAAATGAATTAGATTAGATTGAATAGATAGTTATTGTAACTATATTTTGTATATTTTTCTGAATGTTTTGGAAATTGAGGTAAAAGAATTTGATAATTTATGAGTTAATGAGTTCTTATTTAGTTTAATTTTAAATATGAGTGAAACTAAGGTATGTTAATGCTGGTAAGTATTTGACTTATAATTGAGTTTGGAAGAAGTTTTGGCTACTAATTATTTGCTTCATTCTCTCTATTGTGAACGTAACATTACTAAATGCAATATATGTGATCAAAGAATAGATATAAATGAATAGGATGCTCATATGGAGACACATTAAAAAGTATAGATATGTATATATGATTAGACTGAATGCATATATTGCTCTAAATAGTTTGAAAAAAGACTTATAGAAATGCATAAGAATAATTGTCCCAATAAACCAGAGAAGTGTGGATTTTGTGATTTAATGATTAATATGGCAGAGATGCCAAGACATTAAGCAAATTGTGGTTCTAGAACAGAATAATGTTAAATTTGCAAAAAGCATATACAAAAAAGAGGTAAATTATAAGTTGATGTTTTAGAGTTCAATTTACATATTAGTATTTGTGGATAAGATTAATAACAATCATAGAAAAGAAATAGATTAAAACGTATTACAAGTGAACCTACTTCTGAACAATCTTCGAATGATTCATCTGTATAAGAAATAAAGTAGATTACCAAAAGAAAACCATAGAAATAAAATAAATAAAGATCGAAACAAAAAGAAGATATATCGAAAAAATATAATGATGATGATGATGAAGATTTCTAAAAAGCTTTATAAATGAGTCTGAATTAAAAATGAATTAATAAAACTCAACTTTATGTATATGTCTAAACCTATAAGAGAATATCAATCTTTCTCTTATCCAATTCTGGAATCATATTAATGCAAAAAATGAGTAGCGTATTGAAATTCTGTTCTTTTTCTTCAGACATAAAATAATCTAAATTGACTATGAGAAAAATTTATTGTTATAAATCTATATCCCAATCATATCTTAATAGAATCCAGAACCATTAATGTTCCATTAATTATAATGATTTCAATTATAAATATATAGATATCCCAATTATAGATTATTATTAAATAAGGATGAGTATTTATTAAAAGAACTATTTATAAAAATAATCAGCTACTAATCAATAATACACTAAGATAAAATTCTTCAACTTACATACAATCATTACTAGAGCTACTTTTATTAGAAATTAGAAATTCTTTAAGTATTCATATTCGTATATTCATAGAATCAGACTACACACTTCTGGTGAATTTTGAATAATCGAAATTGTATAAAAATATAACTTTGTCTTAAAAATTATCCAAATATAAATAAAAAAATATATTAAATTTTAAACATGTATAAAATAAGAAACTTTTTTAAGAATCACTTAACTAGCATAATCATTTAGAATTAATCAAAAATTGACATAATCTTAATATTTATTTATGAATTTTATAAATAGAGTTTTAGAATCAAAATCTCATCGATTATTACTACATATTTTTATTTATTAAAAAATCTTCAAGAGTTTAGAAAGTGGCTTAATCCTTAAAAAAATGAAAAATTAACAAATCGAAATTAATTGTTTTGATCATTAATTCTTTAGAAAGATCTCTTAATTTAAACTTAAAATCTAGCAGTTATAAATAAAAATTATAGTCAAAACTCCTATTACTATTTTGAATGAATATTGTAATTAAAATTGCTTTAAAATTATTAAAATTGGTAATAAGTGTTATTTAAGTTAATAAATATAAAATTTTATATCTCTATAACATTGTGGGAATATGGGATATACTTAGGCTTATTTTGATTTAAAAAAGTTTGTTGAAAATTGTTTTATCAAATAGAAACATATTGCAACAAATGATAACATCAAACTTTGATTGAAATTAATAGGAAATTATATATAAATCTATATTTGAGGATGAATAAAGGATATCAATCTTTATGGTATTTTAAATTGCTGATGTATTAAGTAAACATAGATAATTATGATTAAACAAGAAATACACTATGATAAATATGAGTATATAATCTAAATCAATTTCTGTTGAATATTTCTACACAATATCAATATATTTTTTCAAGTATTCTATTTTATTTTATAAACAAACATCAATTACTAAATAATAAGAAATTGCTTTCACTACAATTTTTATTTTTATTTATATATTAACATCATGATAATTGTGAAAAAATAAGTTAATAAAGTAATCTAAAATTAGAATTATTATGTGTGATTTTTAATAAAAATATATTATTTATGAGGAACTAAGTATTTATTTACAATATGAAAGATTTAATTTGTATATTTTATTATTTGGGGAAATTTTAAAGCTTTATTTAAAATTTCTTAGACTATGAATATGTAATAATTAGCCATAAAAAAGTTTGAGAAATTAAAAAATAACTTATTCTATATTCTAGTAATTAATATAATATAATTCAGCAATTAAGATGTAAGAATTTTATTTAAAAACGAGAATTTTTAAGAATAATGAATCTGAATATATTAAGTTAAATGATATATGATGAAAGAATAATATATCAATATATTGATTACTCTTTAAATTAGACTCGTTTTGATGGTTTATCTTTACAATTATTTGAACTACAAGCAGAATCAGAATAACATTCATGTGATCGTGCACTTAATATTCCTTTCATTACATCATTTTAAAAGTGAATTGATTCATCAATCACTATTTTAGGTTCAAGATAAACAATAACATGTTATTATTTTGGAGATAAGGGTGGAGGAGATATTAAACCATCTCCATCTTAATATTGATACAATTAACAATGTTATTAGATCAAATCTCCAAATTGTCCAATTTAAATTGAATCCCCTAAAGATTTGATTCCACTTTCTTAAAGAATAGGATTTAGAATTTCTTTTGAAGATTGAGTGATATTTGAAGTTTGAGAACAGCATTAATTGCCCATAAAAATAAAAATTATTCATTTCACAATCAATTTTTTTCATTTATATGTAAAAATAGAAATAATAATTATATTATGAAATTATCGAATAATAATTAAAAATTGAAATAAATATCAAATAACTTGAAGAAATATATATTAAATATATGCATTTATGAAAAAATAGTATTCTAAAATTCATTAAAAAAGAAAAAAGAATATAGTAATACCTGCAAATTAATATTATTTATTATAAATTAATTTTAACTCTTATAATTGTTAAGTATTTTTAAATTTTTTATTAAGTAGGAGAAAAATGAAGGAAATAAATTATTAATTTAACAAACTAAGATTAAATGTATAAATTAATTATATATAACTAAATCACTTCTTTGATTTAAGTACTTTCTCATAAGTAGTTTAGGATTCCTTTTTAAGAAAAGGCATAGATTTCTTTCGAGATGCTTTGACAGTTGGACTTGAAAATTAAGATATTGGTCGAATTACACTTTTTGAATAAATAGATATATATATATACCTTATATCTGCATTAAATATCTATTGTCCTAAATCAAGGGCTTAACTCTTAGATGCTTTGACTCTATTAGCATTTCTATTAGATGAAAGACAATTTTCCTTATTTTCATTGTCTATACTAAAATCAAAATTGATAGGTGTTGGTTGAATGGAAATATTAAAATTATGATAGCCTAACTTTTTTTGAGTAGTTTTCTTGCGACATTCTTCACAAACTAATTTAAGCTTTTCATCAATTAGTTTATTAACGAGTTTCTTGAGAGCCAATTGATCCATTAACGTAATTATTAATTAAAAAAATTAATTATAACAATCTCATGAGTCATAGCTCTATGGAGTAAAGGGTATGTGAAATTAATTTATTTTTAGAATGGATAATTGTTAGTAATGACAATATAAATAGATGATAAACGTAGTGGTAGAATAGATGTATTTGAAGGAGATGATCCTGAAATACTGGCAAGAGATTTTTGCATTAAATATAACTTAAATTAAAGAGTGGCACCATTACTTATAGATAATATTCAAAAACAAATTTAGATAGCTTAAAAAGAACGCATAAATATGGTTCAATATGTAAGTAATTGGAGTCTAACTTTTTATTTAGTTATCTCAAAAGAAGTAGAATCAAAGACAAACTGAGTAATTTAATGAAATACAAAATTAGTAATAAGGCTCTACTCCAATTATTGCATAATCTCAATAATCCCCAATGAAATAAGAAAGCATGAGTTAAACTGTATATGACAGACTATATCAAGATGCTCATAATAAAAAGTTAAAAAAACAATTACAATTATCTGAAAACAAATCTAGCAGTTAAATTATGAAATCTTAAGAATCAGAAGTTAATTATGGTTTAATTCTATATTAAAAAGGAATTCAAAAAAAAGAAGAGAAATTACAAAAAGCAGAAAGTGCAAGAAAAGATATACAAAAATCTTAACTTTAAGAATGTACTCACAAACCTTAAATTAATTCTCTTTCATCTAAAATAGCTTAACGTTCTCCTAAACCAGTTGGTGAACATTTAAATGAATTAGCAAAAATAATATAAGAAAAAAGAGAAAATGCTTAAAATTTTAAAATGGAAATGGAATAATAAAGTTGTTCTTTTCATCCTTAAATTAATAGAGTGTAATATATTCTAATTATATTATTATAAGTTCCTCTTCAATAGTTGATGAGAAAAAGAAATAATCTTAAATAGCAATACCTCATTATGAATCATTATATTAAGATATGGATGTGAAATAACAAAAATTAAATGAATTAGATAGAAATTATTTTGCTTAAAAACATACATTTCATCCTAAAATTGATTAAATATCTGAATAATTAGTTTAAGGTTTAAGTTTTGAAGAAAGAAGATAAAAATTTAGAAATAAATCAAAAGAAAGAAATTCAAGTGCAGATGAAGGAAATATGTTTAGACCAAGAACAGGTAGACCACCTGAATAAAGACCAGAAAATTTATTTGATAATCTATATAAAGATGCATAATTATTAGCATAAAAAAGAGCAGCTGTTTTATCTTTTAGTAGGGAAAAAATTATGAATTAATCTAGAGTTAGAGCCAGTTAGAAATCTGAATTCTTAACACAATAAGCTATTATAAATTCTCTTGCCAATATTTTTGATTAGATTGATACTGATAATGATGGTGAAATTGATGCTATTAGAATAAATCTAGGAAATCTTAATTAAACTGTTATTTAAATACTTTAACCTTTAATTTCTGAGATGGAAGAAGGTAGACATGTACTTACTAAAAGTGAATTCATTGAATCAGCTATGAGATTAGTATATACTCTTTCAAATAAAGAAAAACATGATTTATTAAAAAAACCAAACTCAAAAAAATCTGATATTCCTATTTATACTTTTAATGTGTAACATTTTCATTAATTTTTAGCCATCAATCAATTCAAGACCTTAAAAAAATTCTAGATCAAAAAATAGATGAAAGCTTCCAGTAATTTATTTGTTTGAAATTATTGAATTACATAAATTATAATTCTCTAACTATTTTTTTTAATTATGTTGTTGTGCTATCAATCAATTAACAAATTTTAACTAAATATTAAAAATTATTATTATTATTTATTAATAGTTATTATAATTGATGATATAATTATACAATCAGACATATTATTTTATTATAAATTTAATTATTCTAAAAACAAATATCTAAACTTTTCTTTTGATTAAGATGATTAATTAGATCAGTTCTTTTGTAACATTCTAATTTTTACTATAAAACTATTGAAAAGTATCCAATATTTAATTATATCAATAAATATTTTAATTAACATTTTGAAAGCAATATGAATTCCTTAAATATAGAGAAGAATAAATTTATGAAGAGAGCAATAGAACGTAAATCTTAAAGAGAGATTAATCTAACTCCATCCATTGTTCTATCAGACAAAGAAATTGAAATCGATGACTTCGATTCTCCAACTACCTTAAATTTATAAATACCAATCTTTAGTCCAACTAAAATGATTTTTTCTCTACCTAAGTCTACAGGTACAATCAAATGATTATATCTCCTACATATCTTATATTAATTAATTCAAAATTTAACCAAGATAAACTATTTTTTTTTATGTGTAAATAAGTATTCTCTACAATACTGATCCATTGAGAATGATAGTATTTTTTATAGAATCGAATCAAAGATTTAGATAAATAAAGCCGATAAATCATTAATAAAATTTCAGAATTTTTAAACAAAGAATTCATAAAAGTTAACTTAAAATTATATAAAATTATAAACTTTAATAGTGATTAAAATAAAGTACATTAATAGAATCAATATTTAATTAGTCAGTTCATTATTTTTGACAATTTGATGAGTTATATATATACTAATGTTTCTTTTTCTAAAGGTATCTTTAAGTTATTCTCTAATTCATTTTCTATACCTTAAGTTAAAAATCTGGCTATCTGTTACTCATAAAATGATAACTTAATAATATTATTTATTTTTACTTAATGATTCATTATTAATTATCTTTATTATTAATCTTTTGAAATAGCCACCAATTCTGCTAAAAGGGTAGCAATTTATTCAAAAGCTTATCTATTTTATTTTACTTATAATTCCAATCTTTTTATGTGAGTTTAATATTTTTAAAAAGAAGGTATAATATAACCTTTTGGATTTGGTTTCATAGTTTTTAGATTGTCTTTTATTTATTATTCATAATATGCATTAATTTTTGAGATTCGATTTTAATGTTTGAATAAAATTGGCATTGTTGAAATGTAATCTTTCAATAATAATTATATCCCATATTTGAAAACTATAAATAATCCTTCCAAATCATTATGGATTTATAATCTTTCAGCCAAATCAATCCAATATGATAAAGCTTCTTATCTTTTGTATTTACATGGATTTTTCACAACAGAATATATAATATATTATGAAAGGGTGTTGATTCTTTTAAAATACTAATTTAAATTATTATTTTACCTATTTAAGTCCTCCTTTAATAACAACATTTCTAATTTGCAAATCAGCATAAAAGGCTTAATTAATAATACTTAATATTTTTGCTACTTCTTCAGGATGCCAAGGAAATACTTCATTTTCTTTTAGGACAGGAAGAGGCTTAGAATTTTAACTCATTCCTACTCCTAAATATGGTTTTGATTATTATTAATCTTCAAATTTTAATTTAGTAATAGTATATATGTTTTATTCAATAAATGCAATAAAGATTTTATCATTCTTTAACTCATTAAAACGATATTAAAAAATTAGATTGAAAAATAATGGAATAGAATTTTAACATGTAACATAGTTTATCATATCCATTTAATTTTCATTTTGAATCCATTTCCATATGAGAAATAAAGAAAAGGTGAATAAAGTTGTAAAGTAATCAATAGTTAATACAATGCTTTTTTTTATATTGCAATCTTCATTTTAAATTTCTTTTTCTATCAATTAATTGAAAGCACAGTCTTTGAAAAAGGTATCCAAAACAATACATTTTTATATAAAATGTTCCAACCAATCTTCTTAAGATTTGAAGACAAAACTAAATAATTACTAAGCAGCTTCAGACAAGATATCTATATCTAAAATTAAAGTGTCTTTTTTGTACCTAAACATTTTGAATAATTATGTTGCATACATTCATCTGGTAGAGTTCTAGAAGATTGCAAACTAGATGAAGAGCAAGCAGAATTGCATTAATGATTTCTTCTTATATCCATAAAAGAGTCAGTGCCATCAGAAAATTGTGAATAAAAACTAGCAGCTATTCTCTATGTTTAAACATCACATGTTTTTGCTTTTATTATTTCACTCTCTTCATTTTCAGGGCAAAAGAATAATTAATTTTATTCTTACATTTTTTTTATATATGAGAGTTTTATTAATAGAAATAAAAATAAATTTCCACTTCATTTAAAAACAATTTACCTTAAATATTGAAATGAATTTTTATTATTACTAAATAAAATCATACTATACTTATTTATAAATTAATTTAAAAGAAGAGATTAATATATTAACATTTCTATAAATAATAAAATCAAAATTTGACTTTCTTTCTACATATATCGATCTACTTGGAATGGATTTCAGTTTTATCGCTAACACTGTCATCATTTCGAATTTAATTTTATATTATTTCATCTTTATGTCTTATAATATCTTGTAATTTCGCAATCTCCTAATAGCTTTTTTGTATCTGGCTTTAAATACTCTAATTGTAATGCTTTTGCTTATTAGGCTTTTTAATGTTACTCTTTAAAAGTTCATTCTCTTATCGTAAAAGCTTCACTTGGGTTTCTGCAATCTCCAATTAATTTTTGATGCTTTCAACTTTCTTTTCTAAAGCAAACATTTCATTTATGGTTTCTCTGCAATGATCACAATGTTCCATTAATTAAAAATTTATATAAATATTATTAAATTAATTAAAAGGAATTTTGTAATAATAAATTTAGAAAACAAAAATACTATATCTATAATAATAATAATAATAATAATTGCATTTAATTATATACAATAAATATTGTTTAATGATTATTTTTTATAGTGTTTCAAACCTCATTTTTTGAATTGATTAAACATTAATATTATTAAAATTTAAATAATCCCTCCTAAATTATGTAATTAAGAAGTGGTGTACTTAAGAAGCCCCCTACAAGAAATTATATCTCAGGTTATTAAATATTCTATGCATCAAAATTACCTGAGTTGAAAAAGGAGGGCAAATTTCAAGTTGGAGATGCAGGTCATAAAATTTCAGAAATGTGGAGAGGTTTAGATGATGATGAAAGGTAAAAATTTGAGGATTAGTTTCATGAAATGGAATCCAAATATAAAGAAGACTTAATATTATATTATGGAGGGAACACACAAGACATTAAAAAATATAAAGCATTAATGGAAATTCCAGAGAAACCTAGAAAACCTGCTTCTGCATGTTTAGTTTATATTGCAGAACATAGAAAGGATTTCAGCAATGAAAATCCTGATATGAATATGGCAAAAGTAACAAAGATTTTGGCAGACAAATATAATGTTCTTTAAACTAAAGATAAAAAAAAATATGAGGATGACTTTTAAAGGAAATTAGAATAGTATCATAAAGAAATAGAGATTTGGTAAAAGTAATAATTAATATTTAATATTTTAGAAAATTTGCTGAAAAATAAGAATAATTTGATAAATTGATTGAAGAAAAATTTAAACGATCTGCATCAAAATAAGATTTAGAATATTAAGAATTACCACCATATAAAAGAGGACCTAAAAAAATGAAGGATGATGATGAAACAGCTGGAGTAAAGGTAGAAGTTAAAGAAAAAGAAATGAAGAAGGATGAAAAAAAAAATGAAAGAAAAGAAGATAAAAAAGATGATAAGAAAGATGATAAAAAAGATGAAAAAGATAAGTATATATATATAATCAATAATAATATAGTAAAAAAAATACAAAAAATACCAAAGATGAAGGTAAAATTGTATAAAATAAAGGAGAATCAAAGAAATAGATGGAAAAAGATTAAAAAGATGGATAAATGAGAAAAAAATCTGCTTAAAGAAGATGTTGAGAATTTTACTGAAATATTTTTTAATAAATTTTCTGTTAAAAAATATAAAATTTAAAGAAAGACTTCTAGAAATGTATTTTAGAAAAATATCAAATAATATTAAATAAATATATATATATATTCATAATACACGAAGGCCCTGTAGACAACTCTTAGTAAGAAGTTCAATAATTTCTTTTTCTTATTCTTCTGGTAATGAAGGCAATTTTTCAAATTAAAATGCTATTAGATTATGTATGTTCAAATGATTGTTTTTAATAATGCTTGTAGCAATCAATGGTCTAAATTAGTATTTAATCACTTGAGTGGCTGCTTTAATAATTAATTTGCAAAACATATAATAATATTTATAATTTCATATTCATTCTATTTATAATAGCATATCTTCTACTTAATATTTTTTTTGATAAAATTCCAATCCATTTCCTTTAATTAATTCAAAATCAAGTCCTACAGTAAATTCAACTGGTCCATGAACTAATTATATGGCCATTTCAAATTCTTCATTATTTTATAAAAACCAGTAATGAAGCTAATATAAAAATATTAATAATAATACTCTATATTTTTTATCATCCACATAACTAATCTTATTAGCAAATTTGTCCATATTTTCAATGAGTTTCACAAATATTTGATTAGGTTCAAATGGTAAAATTACATCTGTTTATTTAAATCGTTTTAACTCTCTTTTTATTGTTAAATCAATATTAATGTCTTCTTCTCCTCTTTTGAAATTTCCAATTCCAACAGTTACTAAATTAAAAATTGGACACATACATTATTAATTTTAGTTAGCTGCTTATCTTTTTTATTTTTCAAGCAATTTCTACAAATTTTCTTTATCTTATTATGCTTGAATTTTTAATTTACGTGCATTAAGCAATTTAACAACTATTTCATTGCTAATAGTGGCTCCTTAATACCAAGAAGTACTAATAATTTCAGAAAGAGTTGGTCTTTATAATGGATCAAAAGCAAGCATAGAATTAATGAGAGTCTTAAGTTCATTAGAGAATCTTGGAATACCAGATTTCTCTTTATAAGCCCAAAATTAATCAAATCGATTTGTACAAATAAGATTATACAATTAATCTTTAGCATTTGCTTATTTAAATGGTAATTGAGCAGTCATCATTAGATATAAAATAATACCAGCAGCAAATATATCAACACTTTATCCAACATATTTTTATCTAACTAATATTTCTGGAGCCATATAACTAATAGTGCCTTTAAAAGATGCCAATACTCCATCTCCTTAATTTCCTCCAACAAATGTAGCAAATCCTAAATCAGATACTTTAAGTTGTCCATCTTTAAATAAAATATTTTCTGGCTTTAAATCTCTATGAGCAAGACCTTAACCATGTAAATATGATAAAACATCAATAAGTTAATGAAAGAATGTACGAGCAGTTTCTTCTTTGAATGGTCCAGTTTATGATAAGTATTCATACAATTCTCCATCTTTCATATAATCATAAACTAAACAAGATTTTATTTCTTTTTTTCCACTTCTTTTAGTGTATTCTTCATTCACATGAAAATTTAATAGTTTAATCAAATTTTTATGATTTAATCCTCTATGAATTTACATTTCTTTTTCAATTTCTTTTGAAAATTAAACAAATTTCAATGCTACTTATTTATCTTCATCTAAACCTAATTTAACTCTAAGAAATAAAATTCTTAATTACTTTCCTTAAGCTCCTTTGCCAAGAGTTTATTTGACTGTGTAATGAGCATATTTTGCAAATGATTTTTCAATCTCCATTTTTATTTTATAAAAGAAAATATTTAATAATAATAATAATAATAAAATATTTACTATAATTATTATCAAATTCTCTAATGATATTAATTTAGTTCATAATATGGATTTTCTTCTGCTTCTATTTCAAATCCAGCAACTTCAATATAAGATTTATGATTTAGCAATAGATAAGAACTAAATATAATATATTATAAGTACACTGATATTAAACAAATAAAAATTCCTAAAAGGCTAAGCATATCAAATTAATGTCCTATTTATAATGCAGCACCACTCATATTTATAAGCATGAAAATAGCCAAATTCATTGATGGATATCCAATTTAAAAACCATGAAGAAATAATGTACAACATAATGGAAATAATACTCCATTAATTATGGAATAGGTTACTAATTCAACATTAAAAGTTCCAAATTTATGAATTGGATAATACAATCCTAATATTGTTATAGTGTAGATCATAACATATTGGGTTATTGTGTGTGTTCTTACTTTCTTGACTTTTTTTAAATTATGACCTATTATTACCATTGATGCTGCTCCAATCCATCCAAATAGTATTCCCAAAAATTAAAAAGTCCATTCAAATGTACAAAGTATTGCTCCAACAGATATACCCTAAAATTATTTATTGAAATCATACAATAAAACATATTAATTCTTTCTTTTAATACATTTCACCTAAAAGATGTGTCTCATTTATTGCTTATGCAATCCATCCTTTGATTAGAATGATTGAATAAAATGGCATAACATTATATTTATAACTAAGTAATGCACTTAAAACCAAAACTGCAAATCCTAAGCCAATTAAATGAATCTCTTGACTTACATAGACTTACTGTTAAGAGCATAATTTTATTAAGCAATAATTAATCACTATACTACAACATAAAGTGATAGTGACATATTGAAATGGTTCAGCCTTCCTGAATTGAAATATAATTCATACCCCAATAACAATTCTCCAAATATGATATTATTTCCCAAGTAAATCACAAAAATAATGGAGTAAAATATCGGAGCCAAAGTCTTTAGTTTATTGTCAATATGAAAAATAGTAATCATATATAAATCAACTTCTTAATTCATATATATTATATAATAATAATTCAAAATTTTATATAATTTTTTTCTTAACCTAAATGGACTCTAATTCTCAATCTATCATATTAATTAAATTCTTCTAACATATTCAATATACCGGCAACTTCCCATAAATTTATTTAGTGTACGATTATATATTAGTAATACCTCCCTTTTTTTTAAACATAATATGATATTATTCTCAGCAATTTTAATTAAAAGCATTTAAATAAATAATTATTCTACGAGAAATATATAAATCTAAAAATATTAAATTAATAAATAAAGAGGATAAACTTATATTCTCTTCTTCTTATTAAAATTTATAATCAATTATTTATCTTTTCAGTTTTATTATTGATGATCTCATATGAAGCAATGAATTAAATTAATTTTCCATAATCTTTACCTTTATCAATATAAATGAATTAAATTGCCATTACATCCACACTCAATTATGTAACCAAGAAGTTATTAATTTATACAATTCTGCTTAAATCTCATGATTCCAATGTCCATTTGTATTCTAACCTATTCTTTTCAATAGTCCATCAGCACAATCTTTCTAATTTTGTATGTGTTCTTGCAGCTAAAATTATTTTTAATTCTTTCTATAATAATTTTATGGCTAATTATTTTCATATTCCATCTGATGTTCTTGTAATGAATACCCAAGACCCATTTCCATATATTTTGTTAAATTAGTACTTTATCATATTAATTTCAATATTAAATATAAAACTTTTGTGCACTTTAGTAAACCAAATAATCCTAAAATATAAGGTAACGTTTATAACTTTGGGTAATCCTTTATAAAATCTGAAATCATAAATAAATATATCAAATTTTTTAGGTAAAATAAGTTTTATATAAAATTGAATTTTTGGTTTCTTAGAAAACTCAGAAAATTATTATATAAATAGAAAATTGATCAATATTAAATTATGTCAAATTTTTTTTATAATCCATCTGATAAATATATCCGTCTATAACCTTACAAACAAAGTGAAGTTCCATTCACGACTAAATGTGAGAAAAAATCCTTTCATTAGAAAAGAAAATTTCTTTATAGAATATTGATAGAAATAAGCAAGTTAACTGAAAATAGAGGCATTCTGTAATTAAATACTCAGACTTTAACTAAAAAAGTTGTTTTTTTTTAAAATGTTGATGAATTTTTCGAGTAGATACTATCCTCTACCTTCTAAAAGTATATAGTAGATGCTGTTATTGAATTATCATAAAAAATTAAATACTCACCTACTATTACAGATGACGATAAAAAAGAATTTATAAAAGGCTTAAAAATTTCGGAGGCATAAACAATGAGTAGTTTATGTAAATAAAAAAAAAAAAAGGCTTAAAATAAATTACGAGGTATTTTAGAACAATAAGTGAATAATGAAACTCAAAATAATTTAAATGACATTGAAAATCAAATATAAGAAAGCATTACAAATATCATAGAAAATTNTACCTCCCTTTTTTTTAAACATAATATGATATTATTCTCAGCAATTTTAATTAAAAGCATTTAAATAAATAATTATTCTACGAGAAATATATAAATCTAAAAATATTAAATTAATAAATAAAGAGGATAAACTTATATTCTCTTCTTCTTATTAAAATTTATAATCAATTATTTATCTTTTCAGTTTTATTATTGATGATCTCATATGAAGCAATGAATTAAATTAATTTTCCATAATCTTTACCTTTATCAATATAAATGAATTAAATTGCCATTACATCCACACTCAATTATGTAACCAAGAAGTTATTAATTTATACAATTCTGCTTAAATCTCATGATTCCAATGTCCATTTGTATTCTAACCTATTCTTTTCAATAGTCCATCAGCACAATCTTTCTAATTTTGTATGTGTTCTTGCAGCTAAAATTATTTTTAATTCTTTCTATAATAATTTTATGGCTAATTATTTTCATATTCCATCTGATGTTCTTGTAATGAATACCCAAGACCCATTTCCATATATTTTGTTAAATTAGTACTTTATCATATTAATTTCAATATTAAATATAAAACTTTTGTGCACTTTAGTAAACCAAATAATCCTAAAATATAAGGTAACGTTTATAACTTTGGGTAATCCTTTATAAAATCTGAAATCATAAATAAATATATCAAATTTTTTAGGTAAAATAAGTTTTATATAAAATTGAATTTTTGGTTTCTTAGAAAACTCAGAAAATTATTATATAAATAGAAAATTGATCAATATTAAATTATGTCAAATTTTTTTTATAATCCATCTGATAAATATATCCGTCTATAACCTTACAAACAAAGTGAAGTTCCATTCACGACTAAATGTGAGAAAAAATCCTTTCATTAGAAAAGAAAATTTCTTTATAGAATATTGATAGAAATAAGCAAGTTAACTGAAAATAGAGGCATTCTGTAATTAAATACTCAGACTTTAACTAAAAAAGTTGTTTTTTTTTAAAATGTTGATGAATTTTTCGAGTAGATACTATCCTCTACCTTCTAAAAGTATATAGTAGATGCTGTTATTGAATTATCATAAAAAATTAAATACTCACCTACTATTACAGATGACGATAAAAAAGAATTTATAAAAGGCTTAAAAATTTCGGAGGCATAAACAATGAGTAGTTTATGTAAATAAAAAAAAAAAAAGGCTTAAAATAAATTACGAGGTATTTTAGAACAATAAGTGAATAATGAAACTCAAAATAATTTAAATGACATTGAAAATCAAATATAAGAAAGCATTACAAATATCATAGAAAATTTATAGGAAATTTTTACTAAGGAGCAATGAGTAGTGATCTTTAAATAATTATAATATTTAAATTATTCATAGCATTCTACTTTGTGATTCATATAATGTTATTCTTTAATTTCAGTAATAAGAACTCTGACGCCATAAATGAGATCATTGAATTGCAAATATCATTTAATTAATCTAACAAAATTAATTTTTTTATTATATGCTATCAGAAACAAGTAAGGAAGTATAAAAAGATTAAAATGTTGTACCACAATTAAATCAAACTCCAAGTAGCACATATTTTGTTTACAATTGTTACATTCCAGTAGTATAAGATTATATGAGTCAGCCTCCTCCTTTATAGGTTAGGAACTCAAGTAAGAATGCAAAGTTAATTATTAAGGTGAGTCTTTTCCTCAATTAATAAAAAACAATGATAGTATTCAATTGTCTCATTTGGCTCCTGGTGTTTCAATTCCAAGTTTTTAATTTGGGGGGCCATCTGCTCCTTTTGTATCACCAGATGATGTTATGAGAAATGTGTAGCCTACACAGAATCATTTTGCATCATTTATCTTGAATGAATAATTGAAGACACAGAATCAACCAACTAAAAATAGAATAATTGAAGGAACTTAAACTCTTTGTGATATAGAAATTGTATTAATATCGCGATATTTTGACATGAAAGCTCATGTAATGTAATTAATATTACAGAAAGGTATTTTGTCCTCCAAATAACAAGTATACTCTTAAAGAAGACACAAATATATCTAATGCTGAATGGTTAAAAGATCGTATGTTATTTCGCTATAAAAAACCTGTATGATATTGAATTTATTTAATTAGATTAAGGAGTCGTTTTCAGATATGATTGATTAATTGGAGAAAGAAGGAGAAATGAATTTTAAAAATATGGTTCATCCAGTAAAATTTGCTTAAGGAGGATTTGATAATATAGAGAGATAAGTGCCTAAATCAGTGAAAAGTGAGAAGCCATTTTCAGTTTTTATATTTGAAATACAACAATTAATTTCCTAGTTCCTATTCACTAAGTATTGAATTTATGAAAATATACTAAATTTTATATGTATCATTAAATTTAAGATCTACATGTTGGACAAGTAATATGTAACAACACCCATTTTATGAGTCATTCCTTATGAAAAATATGAGTACAAATGGCATTCCAATCCTACTAATTATTGATCTTATAATAATTCTTCTCTGCAAATTACAACATCTTCATAATCTTCTAAATTAATCAATTTATCAGGAAATAATTACAATTTCCTAATGATTTCTCGATGGTTCCTCTCTTCTAATTATTTTTGTTCTATTTACAAATCTCTACTCAATAAATTTTTATAAGGATTTTTGATCAACATCATTTAAATCATAAAATCTCATATAAAATCTAGATTCAAATGATTCTAGATCATTTAGTTGAACTCTATTTGAATACTTCTTGATAGCATAATAGATGTAAATCAATAAATAAATAATGAAGCAAATAGTATCATTAATCAAGTAAACTTCAATTTTATAAATTGATTTATCAACATATTTGAAATAGTATTTGAGATTGAACATCAAAAAAACTATTTACAAGCAAATGATGATAAATATAATGTTTTCACAATATATTATATACGGGTATATCTGTATATTTCTACATTTATCAAATCGAATTTCTCCTAAAATTTGAATTCCTTTAAGAATTCATATACTCTCTTTTCATAAGTAAGACCCAATAAATAAAAATTTTTTTTTGGGACATTTTTAAATCCAAATAAATTGTAATATATAATAACAAAATCAGCAAATGTGAAATCATTAACATAATTTAATACCTAACAATTAAGGATCAAATACACAACTCAAACTAATTATAGTGGTTAGAACCAAAAAATTGAAGTTGCTATAATTAGGTATCTCATTTTAATTAAGCTGCTATTATGAATTTAATATAATTTTCTTATAAATCTTCTATTAGTCCATAACGATTAGTGCTAACACATTATTAGTATTAATTGAACCTTTGTTGTACCTCATAACAACATTTTTACTCTGTATTCATTTATTATAATTAAATTTTTTTTAATGATCAGAATCCTTGCAAAATTATCTTCTTAAGTACTTCTAATTTATATTTTCCATGATCTTTATTAAACTTCCTTTTTGAAATATATTATAATGTATTTACATCAATCATAGAATTAAAAACTTAATAACAAGCTTAATCCTTTAATATAATATTATTAATTCTTTAAATGTCAATATTCATATTTACTAACTTAATCAAAAATTGCTAAATAATCAATATCATCTATAATTTTTATTACTAAAGCTTAAATGAACATACTATTTAAGTATCTATCAATTTATAATGATATATAAATGAAAATGAATTTTAAATAATTTAAGTATTTATAAAAAGAGTTTAATTTTATCAGCATTATTTATTCTTAATACTAATAATATTTAATTCTGAATTCATATTTGAGTATAACAATATTATTATATAATTGTATAATTTCAAATTAGAAATAATAATTATATATATACAATAGATGTTCTAGTTCTAATTCAATTTCTTAATTAATAATTATTAATAATAAGTAATAATATGGATTAGATATAAAAATGATACTTTTTATTTTTTATTAATCACTTATAATCATTTTGGGAAATCTTTTTAATATATTCCTCTTGATTATTCAATTTCTTTGATATTATTGACATTAAAGTAAATATTCATAATATTATGATATTATCCAAAGTCTAAGCCAAATCTAGTCTAAGCAGAATCAATTTGACAATAGATCATAATGTCTGCTAATGTTAATTAGTCACCTACACTAAATCTACCTCTTGTTCTAGATATACTTTTCTCTAGATTGCTAATACCCAACATGTTCCAATGAGTCCATTAATCCTTCCATTCCAATTTCTTCTCTGTATGTGAATTAATATATTGTTATATGCCCAAATGTTAAAATGGCTGAATTGATGAATTGATGTATTCAGCTATAGCCCTATAAAGGATAAACTAAAAATATATACCTAACTTGAGTCCTTTAAATCTTATCTTTAGGTAAGATTGGTTTTTCAGGATGTACTTCTTCTAAGTATTCTGCTATAGCTAAACTTTCAATTAAAGCTTGTCCTTCTGGAGTGATCAATGCTGGAATTATTTGACGAGGATGTATTTTTTTATATTCTTCTGACAACTACTCTTTTTTAAGGAAATTGACTGAAACTTAAGTGTATGGTAACTTCTTATAATTGAGAATGCTCCTTATACGCTATGTACAGGATGACATAGCAAATCCATAAAGTGTATAAGACATAAATTAATTAATGAGTTTATCTGATCTGTTGGTAGATTATGGTGAGAGTAGTCATTCTTAATTCGGTAAGTCTCTAAATAATCTATTAGAAGATCAAACAAAAAAGTAATTTACTGGACCTGCGAAATTTGCTACAAAAATAGATCCACTCTAAGAAGGAGATTATACTATAAAACCACCATCAATGACTAGTTTTCATAAAGTAACCGATAACATTAATCCTTCATTATCACCAAATTCAGGAATGATTTAGTTTTCTCCAAAGACTTCTATAATAGAGGAGAAAAATTTAATGAATCCTTAAAACAAGGAACAAATCAAAGAGATTGGTTAGACAACTGCAATGACATAGAAAGAAGGCATGAATAATTTCATTAAACTTGTATTGGCTAAAAGCTACTTCAACCGTTTTGTTGAGAATATGCTTTAAAAATCTTATGTTAAGAAATTGTCACATTTCAACATTTATTAAAATACAATGTTGGATGATCTAAGATATATTGATTCAAAACACAAGATCCATAAGAATCTGATTAGTAAGATTTGTAAGAAGCTTAGATTTGTACCAATCTTTGATTAAAGCAGCTATTTAGTTATAGGATGGCAATTGTTACACATATTGACAATAATCATAATATTTTTTTGGACTCCATTCAATATCTCTTTTGGAATAACATTTGATTAAGTAGTATTTGGTACATTGACAGTTAGAGAAGTAGAATTCTATTTTCTATTTTCTATTGTCGTAGATGCATTCATTGTTATAAATACTTCTTATATTGAAAAAGGAATCATCATCAAACAGAGAGGCAAAATCTTTATTAATTATGTTAATACATAAGGAATTTATGATTTAGTAAATGATATCTTATAATCAAGTGTTCATTTGCATCAATGTTAGTTGCCCAATAATTTAATGTAGATAGTTCAAATGAAAAAATAGGATGGTAATTGATTCCTTACACAATTTATTATTGTAGTAGATAATTTAAATTACAAGCCCGAGTACACAAACTAGAGGAGTATTAATTAATATAATTATATAGATTTTTTAACTTTTCAGGATGGGTATAAGATCTCATAGAATTAATTAAACTCTTATTTATGGTAGTTTATGTTGGTCATCTCTTTGCTTGTTTATGGCATGGAGTGGCTTTCTATTAGATAGGATTCAGAAAGACTTGGTTAGAAACCTATGATGTTGCTACTTAAGATATTTTTACAAAATATAATTATGCATTTTATTGGTCTGTTTAAACAATGATTACAGTTGGATATGGAGATTTAACACCTTAGAATAATTATGAGAGATTATGTGCCAATATGAGTATGTTTTTAGCATGTGGTGTATTTGCCTTTTCATTTAATAGTATTGGTTTAATGTTAAGTAATCTAAATTCTAGATAAGTACTTTATAAACGTAGTACCAATCTATTGAATTCTTTTTTAACTAAAAATTAAATTAAAATTGAATTGCAATCCAGAATCAGAAATTATTATGATTACATTTTTCAAGAAGAATAGGAAATAAATGATGAAGAAGTTTCATAAATTACAACTAAGTTATCCAGTTCTCTTTAAGAAGAATTAAATTTTGAAATTAGATTTAATGTAATGAAAACAAACAAAGTTTTAACTAAATTCTCTTAGAAAACATTAAGACAACTTTCTTTACTTATTGAGGAAGTAAGATATTCCCCTGAGGATTAAATTTTACTTTAAGGAACTTAAGATGATTGTTCTCTATATATAATTACTAAAGGAACAGTATCTGTGTTATTTCAAGATGAACCTTAAGGTAGAAACACTAGAGTGCTTTCTTATTTAGAGAAAGGAGAATCCTTTGGTGAATATTCATTTTTTACAGGACTCAATAGATGTGCATCAGCAAAAAGTATAGGTTTTTCAAGAGCTTACAAAATCCCTAGATAATCTTTATTAACTGTTTTATAAACAAATTAAATTGATTTAGTATTAATAAAATATATTTTAGGAACGTTTTTGTGAAGTGAGAGATTCAATATTATTAGGAGAAAATTATTAGCCTGCAAAATTAAGTTGTTATTCGTGCAAAAAGTTTAATCATTTAATTAAAGATTGTCCAGTTCTTCATTATGTACCTGACAAAGAAAGAGTAATTAAAAAGGAGTACTTTCCTTTTTGTTAAGAAAGAAATTTAACATACAAGAGAAAAAGGACTGATCGCAATTATTATGCTACTTTGTTAGAGATGAAAAAGACAATTGCATATATAAGAGACTTTTAGACAAGAGAAAATTAAGCAGATAATATTACAATTATGGATGAAGATTTAGATGTTTCTTATGAAGAAAATGATGGTTCACCTAATGAATAAGATTATTGTAAATTTATGATTATTATATTAATTAGCTTCTCTTTCCAAAAGTTACTCCAAAATATCAAGACAATAATCTTAAAATAGATCTTATTCTTAATATGATAATAATAACAATAATAATACTAAAAATCTATAACCTATATAAGAAAGTGATGATTCAGCAGATAGTCCTAGTCCAAATAAAAGAAGAAATATGTAGATTAAATAAACACTCTAAACTGCTGGATTTGGAGCATAAGATTCCTTTTAAAATAAAATAAGAAATGATGATTAGGATTAAAATCTTACTAGTTTTGGAAATGCCACTCCTTCAATAAAGGATGAAAATAGATATACTATAAAAAATGATTCACTTGTTTTACCAAATTAAATAGATATTTAAGGAAGAATGAATAAAAAAAGAATTACTTTAGTTAGAAAATAAAAGAGAGAAGAATCTTATAAACCATTTTCATCCTAAACTAAATTAGATATTAATTAAGAGAGAGAAAAATCATTACCAAAAAAATCAAAAATTAAAGATCCTTTAATTGATATACCAGTTATTCCTTCTATTTAATCAGTAGATCATAAAAGAGATTCAATTGATAGAAAGGATGATAGAAGAGATTAAAAAAGGAGAACTACTAAAACAAAAACAAATAGAAGTAGAACTGCTAAAACACATAAAACAACTAAATTAGTTCAAGAAACTCCAACTTAAGAAATTTCAATTCCAGTTTTTGAAAGATAGGCTATGTCTATGGAATTAGAAGATTTTGAAGTATTAAAGAACTTTTCTCATTATTTCAGTTGGAATAATGCCAAAGTTGTTGTTGCAAGAACAATGAAGATTTTATTAAAGAATCTTGAAAAAAGAAGATATAATGTTCTTTAATTTTCATTTTATACATTCAATTCATTAGCAATTACTAAAATATCAAGAATAAAAAGAAAACTTAAATTAATGTAATTAATATATATTTACATTATTTTAGAGAAGATCCACCTTTAGAAAAAAAGTCTGTTCATCCACTAAACAAGACAATCAAAGGAAGAAGAACAAGTAAAAGAAGTACATAAGCTGATGATATAACTGGATTGTTTTAGAAGAAACCTCAATTTGGAACTCAAATATAAGTATTATAAGGAATTTCACTTTCGAGATTTAGTCGAAATGATTTAGACATTAGATGAATTAATATATATAATCTCAAATATAATTAAAACATAATATGATATAATATATATGTTGATTATTTGAGTAATTGAAGATAGAATCTAATAAGGATTATATTTACTAAAAAGTTCTATATGATAATCAAACAACACGGATTTTTCTTTATGATTTAGAATATATTATAATTTAGATGTATTGAAAAATTAAAATAATAATTTATATTAAACAATTTCGGATTAATACTAATGGAAGAAGTATGAAAATAATATATAGATAGGATTTGCATTTTAAGATTTAAATGTAAGAGATGCCAACAGCTCCTCCTAAACCATTAATATAAACATCAACAGATGAACCAACCAAATTGTCTGTAGCCTCAAATTCAGAATCACTTCCTCTTTAAACATCAAATTATGATTTAAATCGTGCATCTCATCCTAAGGCATGCATTTTTACATGTCTATTCAAAGCACTTGCATTAATATTCTATCTTATATTTGGTGAAAGCATTTGGTCATTCATATTGGTGATTATTTTTTCAGCATTTGACTTTTGGACAGTTAAGAATATAACTGGAAGGTATTTATATTATTATTAAATGTAGATTATTAGTTGGTTTAAAATGGGAGAATATCATTATGGAAGATGGAACTTCTAAATGGGAATTCTACTCTATTCCAAATAAATAAGTAAATGCAGTTGATAAAACATTTTTTTGGACTGCCCAATTAGGATTTACTTTGGCTTGGGCAGTGTTTACTTTTTCAAATATGGTATCATTTACATTAATGAAAGTATTTAAAAATTGTTAATTTAGTTTGTGATAGATGTAATAGGATTATCATTATGTTGGACAAATCTATTTGGATACTATAAATGTAATGGAGATCATAAAAAGAAAATGAAAGATTTGTAAGGTGACATAACAAGCAAAGTAGTTACTTAATTTGTGGGTTAAATGATGTCTAAATGAAAATAATTATATGTATAATTATAAATAATAATTGTTTTGGAAATGGATACATATACAATTATGATAGTAGCCTTGATATTAGGATTTGGTTATTTCATATATAATGTGATAGCTTGCCATATGAAAAAATAAGATTATTCTGAATTAGATGATGAAGAAGTAAACCATTTATGAAGTATACATAAAATCATTCGTTTTTTACTTTTTTTTCAATGAAATCGCTTAAATCACTATCCTCTTCATCTTCACTATTAGATTCTTCTTCTTCATTGCTATCATCAGAACAAAGAGCAGATTCTTCATCTTCTTGACTCACCTCTTCTTGTTCCATATTAATTTAAGTTTCAATTTCAAGTTGTTTTTTCTCTTATTTAGGTTTAATATATATCTATCCATATTAATCTTTTTCATCTAAAATTTTAAGATTAGGCAATATTTCAAAAGCATATTTTCTAACTTCAGAATCCTTACAATAATGAATAAATAATATACTGGTTTATTAATTCCATTCATAATATTGAGAACCTCTAGTTTTTTCAAAGATTTAAGAGAATCTAAATCTGTAAGGTCTCTTAAAAAATTCCCTCCAGCAATTAATATTTCAAGATTAGGAAATGCTTTTACAATTTATTACAAAGTTTTTGAAGTAGTAAAATTGTCTAGATACTCAAGTTGAGTAACAGAATTCATTTATTATAAATTTTCAAGTGATCTAATACCGCATTAATTTAAACTAAGGATCTCTAGATTAGTAAATTTATGTATTTCTTATACAAATTCATCTGGTAATTTATTGAGCTAAAGATTATTAAATCTAAGTTGTTTAATTTCAGAGTAAGTTTGGGTTCCAATTTATTTTTTCAATTTTTACTACCAACTCATTAAATTAATAAGGGAAAATTTATTGTTGCAATATTTATGTATATTGAAAATTTCAAAATTTGCCTTAGTTTGAAATCAAACTAAGAATTTCATCTCCACAAGTTTCATCATATCTTTATTCTTATTTTATAGCATTTAATGCTTAAATAAGTTGAGTTATTTAATATTATGTAAGATTGAGTTCTTATATTTACTCATCTGTCATTTACATAAGCTTTTTCTCTTATATTTTGAAACCTTAGAGAATTTTATAAATATACTCTCCCTAAAATTGATTTAAATAAAATACTTCATTTAATTTCAAAATTTCTTCATAGAGTTTTTTCGAATAAGTAAGATAAGAATTTGTTTGAACATTATTTTAAACCTTCATTGTTTAATTGTTACCTATAAATTGTTTTTAATCTGGAGTAACAGGAGCAGTACGAGGTTTTTTTTGAGATTAGAATTATTATTAAATATTGTGTTTTTTCTTTTATGTCTTGGAACCATCTGAAAAATCAGAACCTCTTCTAGATTAAGTATCTGAAGTTTTAGTATTTGTAATAGATTATTAACAAAATGGTTATCCAATTTCCATTTTCTCTCTACTCAAATAATCTTGAGGAATATAATTGGGTATTATAGGTCCTAAATAATTTGATTTATTTTTATATGGTTATCTTTTAGCTTCCACATGAATATTAGGTTCTTCAATAATCCAAGAGTTTTCTCCAATTTACTTACGCACCCTTAAATAATCAATATATTATTTACCTTTTGTCCTAATCAGAATGAAAGAAAGCACATTCTCCTTATCTTTTGATGCAATTCTACTATGTACAAGGTTTAGTCTTATAGATTAATGGATGGTATTCATACTCCTTCCATCCATGACAATATTTACAAGCTTCTTAATCTGGACATCCACCCTTATCATAATTTAAAATTTGATTTGTTTTATTCCAATGAGGACATTCTTTTGGTTATAATATTTTTGGATCTCTTCTAAAATCTTAAGCATTATGAGCATAAACACAAGATGCCCTATCATGACTATTAATATTTATATATATAATAAATATACTTGACTGTATGAGGACACCATACTGTTTTATATTAATACATCCAAAAATTTTTATCTTAAACCATACCATCCAATTTTACTGGAATGATTAACTCTTATTCAGAATGAGCAAATGAACAATATACTCCATATTCACAATCCTTTAAATGAGTGCAATATTTTGTTTTATATCTATTTGGATGATAGACTTGTTCAACTTTATTATGAGACCATTAACACTAATCTCCTCTTGGGCATTTATTAGCTTATGGACACAATTAGCATCTATAAATTAAAAAAAATAAATGTTATTCCTTTTTTACTAGTATGAATGCTATTTAATATCACGTCTTCGATCGGATTCATCATGAAAAAAAGGGCAAAACTTTTTTTGATCTATTTAATGTTAACTCTCACACTTAAGAGTTTTAAATTAGTGATGATTGATGTGTACCCTTATTTGACAATTTGGATTATAAGCATCCAAATTTGTAAGAGATGATTCATGAGATCGGACTCTTCTGCTACCAAGCATTCGTTAATAATCTATTTATTATAATAAATTATGGACCCCTCATCATCATAAACATATATAAAGTAACATCCATAAGACAATTCAAAATCTAATGAAAATAAAGATGGCTCTTAAACTCAAATCAAATCTTAAACCAATTTTAGAAATGGATAAGAAAAAAACGATATTGGATAATTTAAAGACAGTGAACTATAAACTATAGAGTTTATTGCTGATAATATTAAATATCAATTAGATCCAAGGTATATGTTATGGTCTACTGAATTATTAAAACAAGATAAACCTTAAGATCAAAATGCTTACAATTATTAACAAGAAAATCAATCAATTAAGAAGAAATCTCATAAATTTATGGATCTAAAGAAACTTTATGAACACAATAAATCCACAATTGAAGGTCTAAATAAAGAACTTAATGATCTTGAATTAGCTAGACAAAAGACTTCATAAAGACTTTATGAAGTAAAATAAGAAAAAGAAAGAATGCGTAAGATTTTTAAAGTTGAAAGAACAAAAACTGAAAACTTAAAAGGGTGCAAAGAGAGATTGGATAAACTAAAAAAAGAATTAGGTTTTTGATTATTTATGCTATTTCTTTTAATATCAATTGCTCTAGCTTAATAACTTGAGTATTTTACCGATGCCAACTTTTAAAAACGAACTCTCATATCCAAACACTATGTAGTCAATGATTGGATCATCGGATTTTGTGATCAGGAATGTCCTAATGAAACAATTTCTATAATAAATTCTTTTCCAGATTCATACTAAAAAGGGCTTGTGAATCTTTCAACCAATCAATGGATTAAAGATAATATTGCTCATAAAGGTATTTGGATTTATTATATGAATAACACTATGTGTGAGTATAAGAATGGAAATTGTGATTAATATTTTCAGGTCCCTTAAAAATATAACATCCCAAAAGTTAATTTCTTTGAGCCTAGAATGGTAATTCTATTTAGAATATATTTTAGATTGTCATTTAAATAGGATGTGTTATTTTAGTAATATTTTACATAATGGCATTCTTTGATTTAAAAAAGAGATTTTGGGATACAAAAAAAAAAGTAAAATCATCATGAAAGTATTTTAATACATATTTTAAATGTTCATGATCATTCATATATTCTTTTCATTTTTTAATTATTTACTTATAACATACATCTTAATTAAATAGAGTTATTTGAATTATTGAATAATATTATCAATTCTAAAATATAGAATAAATAATGATCATTAATTTTTTGCTCTTTGCAATAGATTATTTAATTTGTTTAATCTTTCATCAATACTATGCAAATCTTCACAACTTTATTCCATTTTACTAGAAGGAGTAGTTATTATTGTATTTTCTTTATTTCTTTCTCTTAAATCCTTTAATCTTTTTAAAAGTCTTTATTCTTCTGGATCTTCTAACTTTTTTGATTCATTAGTTATATTAACTTTTTATTTTTTGAATAAATTAGAATTTGATGATTTCAATTTTTAAGATGTTTTACGAGAAGAGTTTGATCTTGCAGATGGACTTTGATCAATTCTTTTTGAATTTGATTTACGTCTAAAAGAGGATTCTGTATCACTATCGAAACTCTCTTTTCTAATCTAAATAAATAAAAAATTAATTATACTCTAATAGGAGTTGTTTTCTCAACACTTTTCTTTTTAGATAATACTTTATTAATACTACTTGAAACCTTGAATTAATTAGAGGATTTAGAAGTTGAAGGAGATCTTGAAATATTAGATTATAATTTTGTTTTAGATCTTGTTAAAGTTTATTATAATTCTTATTCTAAAGATGAAATCCTTTATTTATTTTTTTTATCTTAATTTTTTAATTAATGATTTTCATCTATTATTTATTAAAGACAATCTTCTAATTCAATAACTTTTTTAGTTATTTCTTAATTGGTATTTTCACTTTACAAATATTTTGATCTCAATTCAATATATTCCTATTTATTCACTGTTGTTGTAGATTATTAATGTACTATGTTTTTAAGTTCTAAAATGTCTCTATCTTTTTATTCTAATAGATTTTTAAAAAATTCAATTTCTTTATTCTATTCATTTATTACTTCCAAAGGATTAACTTCATTTTTCTTTGATTCTAATAATGTTGATAATTATTTTGCTTATTATTCATTCTCCTTTCTTAATCTTATTATTGTATTTTTCATTTATTAAATGTTTGGCTGTTCATTAAAATTAAGAGGTAATGGATAATGAACTTTATCAAATTCAACAATATAACTAAGAATCAAATAACGTTTATTATTTGGGATTAGACCTTATTATTATTAATTTTATTTTGGTCTTTTGTTTTTGATTTGTTCCAGATCTTAAAATGTCAGAATATCAATATAGACAGAATCTGTTTGATTTTTAATTGCAGATTACAACATCTTTATAAATGTTGGATATTTTTTATAATTCCCTGTTTTTGATGTTATTTCCTCAATATATGATGCTTGAAAATTTGCAATCCAAGAATCACCTGATTATTTTGATTCTACATCTATAGTTAACATTTCAGTATTAGCATTAATATTTATGATGTATGTGATATCATGAAAATTTCTTTCCACATTTATATCAAGGAGATCTTCCATTTGAAATTATAATTCAGTTAAATAAATTAATCAGATTTTTAAATTCATTAAATAAATTATGCTTCTGAACAATTGATATTTCATTATTCAATAATATTCAAAGATATATATCCAATATAATGTTTTAATATCTATATATATATTCTATAATAAAAAATAGATTATTTTCGCATACTATTAAAATATTTGATTTAGATTTTTACAATTAATCCATTCTTTAATTAAGAAAAGGTATACTTGATGCTAATTTAGAACTATCTTATATTCTATTATATTTCAGGTATGAGATTTGAAAATAAATGATATTATTAAGTTGTATGTTGTATGTTATTAAATTCTTCCAAATTTAAAAATTATATACTTATGGTAATTTAAATTAAAATTTTTTATTTGCAATAAAATGATTTTATTATTATTGGTTATTGCACAATAAATAGACAAGAATTAAATGATGTTCATAAAAGTGTCAGCTAGTTCCTTTTTAAAATTTATTAAATTTAAAATTTTCATCTTTAACATGAAATATCATAATTTTATCTTATTACATTCAATAATCAACCATATTTAAATTATAATAAATTACAATTTAATGGCATTAAATAATTATGATATGAAAATATAAATGATATGTAAATAATTAATTCATGCTAACCTAATCTAAATTTTGGAAGTATAGAAGATGTAATAGAAATTGATAAAACAATGAATAATGTAAAATAAAAATGAACTTAATTAATAAATATATTAAATGTTTTCTTTTAAAATGAATTGAAAAGTATATTACAATATGAATTATAATTAAATATAATGTAAATGCTCTTCTATTAGATTATTGAATATTTATATTGATTTTAATGAATAGACTGTTTTTGATTATAATAAAATTATCATCTTTTTATTTTATTTTTTGTTTTCATTTTTTAGAAATTAGTTTAGAATAATAATATAATTAAATATTTAAAAATTAAAAAAAAAAAAAAGAACCGCCCTCCAAGGGGGTCGAACCCTTGACATTTGGCTTAAAAGGCCAACGCTCTGACCAACTGAGCTAGGAGGGCTAGCTTGATAGTTATTGTTAATGAATTTAATAAATAGACAGGTATGGATCATTAAAACTTTAATTCATTATCAAATGATAATTCTCTGTAACTGTAATTCAAAGATCGACTGCTAAGACGACAACTATTAATTTTTTTGATCATTGAATTTTGAGTTTATAAGAGGGCTAATAGTATATTTGACAATAATTACTATTTAAAAATTATTCTTGCATTTATGACAATATTTTCATATTTTCTTTAATATGATCTAACATGTGAGAATGTTATTTATTTTCATATGTTAATGCTAATTCTTGTAAAGAGTGATGAATTTAACGAAGAGTATGGGTCCATTGTTCTTCTGATTATTTTTCTTCAAAAGATTTCCAAATAATGAAGAGAGTTACAACAGTAAAATAAATGAATATAAAAATAATTTCCATAAAATTATTTATTATTAAATAATGTCATTTGTTTGTTGAATTGATTTAAAAAATTTTAATGTTGAGTGCTTCTGATATCTATCTTGCCATATTGTAGAGGAAATGAATATGTATTAAAAAACTTATTATAGCAGCAAATTAAATTAAACATCCTTCATCAATAATGGTTTTTCCAAATATTTATCCAGAAATTGTATTTAGTAATATGATTATATAGATGTAAATTGAATTTAAATATTCTGGTAAGTTTTAATTACTGACATGATTAAGAGCAACAACCCCAACTGCTTTTGACATAGTGAATCCAACAGTATACATATAGGCTCTTACATGATCTTAAATTACATTAGTCTGTGTAAACAAAATGCTATACAGAATTACAGTATTAAAAAAGAAGAAATATCTTAGTTACTTTAATAAGGAAGCTATAGATGTAAACTTTTTGATCTTTAGAAAACTAATATGTTAAAATATATATATTTTACACTGCAGGCATAGTTATAATAACTGATATAATGAACATAAGCATAACAAATTGGTTGATTTGATAATTAAAGAACCATGGCAATTTTTACAACCACATGTCGCATCCTAATTAAGTGTTGATCAATACCATAGTAGGCAGTTGCTGCAAAGACTACAGCCACACTAATTGTACCTTCTGCAGCAGCATTGATTATTGGCAAATTCATTTCATGTGTATAATATTCTTCATGTGCAATTATATAGANAAAAAAAAAAAAAAGAACCGCCCTCCAAGGGGGTCGAACCCTTGACATTTGGCTTAAAAGGCCAACGCTCTGACCAACTGAGCTAGGAGGGCTAGCTTGATAGTTATTGTTAATGAATTTAATAAATAGACAGGTATGGATCATTAAAACTTTAATTCATTATCAAATGATAATTCTCTGTAACTGTAATTCAAAGATCGACTGCTAAGACGACAACTATTAATTTTTTTGATCATTGAATTTTGAGTTTATAAGAGGGCTAATAGTATATTTGACAATAATTACTATTTAAAAATTATTCTTGCATTTATGACAATATTTTCATATTTTCTTTAATATGATCTAACATGTGAGAATGTTATTTATTTTCATATGTTAATGCTAATTCTTGTAAAGAGTGATGAATTTAACGAAGAGTATGGGTCCATTGTTCTTCTGATTATTTTTCTTCAAAAGATTTCCAAATAATGAAGAGAGTTACAACAGTAAAATAAATGAATATAAAAATAATTTCCATAAAATTATTTATTATTAAATAATGTCATTTGTTTGTTGAATTGATTTAAAAAATTTTAATGTTGAGTGCTTCTGATATCTATCTTGCCATATTGTAGAGGAAATGAATATGTATTAAAAAACTTATTATAGCAGCAAATTAAATTAAACATCCTTCATCAATAATGGTTTTTCCAAATATTTATCCAGAAATTGTATTTAGTAATATGATTATATAGATGTAAATTGAATTTAAATATTCTGGTAAGTTTTAATTACTGACATGATTAAGAGCAACAACCCCAACTGCTTTTGACATAGTGAATCCAACAGTATACATATAGGCTCTTACATGATCTTAAATTACATTAGTCTGTGTAAACAAAATGCTATACAGAATTACAGTATTAAAAAAGAAGAAATATCTTAGTTACTTTAATAAGGAAGCTATAGATGTAAACTTTTTGATCTTTAGAAAACTAATATGTTAAAATATATATATTTTACACTGCAGGCATAGTTATAATAACTGATATAATGAACATAAGCATAACAAATTGGTTGATTTGATAATTAAAGAACCATGGCAATTTTTACAACCACATGTCGCATCCTAATTAAGTGTTGATCAATACCATAGTAGGCAGTTGCTGCAAAGACTACAGCCACACTAATTGTACCTTCTGCAGCAGCATTGATTATTGGCAAATTCATTTCATGTGTATAATATTCTTCATGTGCAATTATATAGAATGGTACAGAGGGAATTATGTAAAGGATGACAGAGAAAATTGTATTGCCAAATTACATTGCAGTAGTCATACTTGTGCCTATTAAAAGAACATAAAAGCAAGATCAATACCCTATAATAAGATGATCATAGAATCAAAATTGTGATCCAAAATCATTCCAAGAGGTGAGGAATTTTCTTATAAACATTTATTTTATTTTTACTTGTTCTCCTTGCTTGCTTTCCATCCAAATTGTCAAAATTCTTCTTAAAATACATATATTACCATATATAACATATGCAATAAAGCTGTTAGCCACAGCAACCAATTTGGTATGAATCCCGCAAAGTTGTCACCCATCACAAAAAAGAAAAGTATATGTGGTAAGATAATGCATGCCAGTCCCATTAATGTTAATACATTAGGTCTAATAATAAAGGTTGATTCAAATTCAAATACGCAACATTCATAGGTACAAATCTTAGACAAAATTCAGCCAGAGGTGAGAGTATGTAATTGTATAAGAGTGACTGATCTGTGCCCTTATAGCGATAACTCTTCAAGTAATGTAAATGATTTGGAGCAATAAAGTCGTAGTTGAGGTATTTCATAAATTAAAATTATTTATTTTAACTTGTTCACACATCCATACAATCATTTGAATTTTCTTCATTATCCTTTGTGTATATTTTCACTCTCCATTTAAATAATAATACTAAATAGATTAAAAGAGAGATAGAAAATCAAAAATTTATTACCAAAAAAATGAAAATTTGATTGTTTTATTAATTTTTTAATATATGATTGTATAAATTAATTCATTAATATTAATTTATGTCAAGCACTTATTTGGAATAGGTGAGAGCAGCATTTTCTTAGATTGAAGTTATTGAAAAGACAATAGTATTTTGTATGCAAAGCAAATAAGTGATTCCAAATTAGTCTGTTTTGTTGGATCATAGAATCCATAACTTAATTTAAATGGCACAAAAAACAGCAGCTGATGCATTGATATTGATTGATGGTGCTGATGGTTGGAAGAAAGAAGAAATGAATTACTTATAAGGAGTTGGAGGATCAGGAGATGTATGGGAAAACTTCTATGAAAGATTCAAAGAAATAAAAGATTATCATAAAAGAGTAACTAATGTTTAAACTATGCAAAATAAAGTATAATATATTAAATAAATATATTAATAGGTTGAATTTTACTATGAATAAGCATTTGCACCACCATTCAAAGAACCTTATTTTTCTGGAGAAGAACATCATGGTAGATTTCTTGATATGCATGCTAGCTATAAGGAATTTTTGAATCTTAAAAAGTTAAAGGAAAGTAACAAGATCAAAATTGGAGATTATTTGTGGTATTTGCAAAATTTTTAAAATTTTCATGACATTCCACTCTATATTAAAGAAAAAGAAGGAAGTAAATATAAAAGATACCTTATCAATATGTTAGAATATATGCGTAGTTTTTATTAAAGAGTAGATCATTAATTTATTTTAGGTAAATCCATTATAAGATGTTAGCAAAATTGAATAAAAAATAGATATTGATTTTTAAACTTAATGGGAAAATGGTTAAGTAAAAGGTTGGGAACATAGAAAAGAAGAAACTGAAGAAATTAGAGGACATCCTCATTATTGTGAAGCATGTTAAAAGAAATTCTAAAATGAAAATACATTTGTCAATCATTTTGATGGTAAAAAACATAAAGCATTGGCTAAATTAAAAGAAAAATAAATAGAATAAGTTATTTAATCTATCAATTAAGAAGAATAACCAAAAGAAGATAATGAAGGATAAAAGAAAAAAAAGATGGCTTATTTAGAAGTGGCTATTTTATAATATAAGGATACTTTACAATAATAATTAAATGATACAATGAATTTAGTAAGAAAGAAATAAAGTAGAAGATATGAAGAAAATGAAGATGATGAAGCTGTTCCTGTTTAAGATTAATAATTAGGTTTATATTGATAATTATAAAATATAGATTAACCTGAAGAAGCTAGTAGTGAAGATGAAAGTCCTATATATAATCCAAAGAATTTACCATTAGGATGGGATGGAAGACCTATTCCTTATTGGTTATATAAATTACATGGTTTGGGTGTTGAATATAAATGTGAAATATGTGGTAATACATCATATTGGGGAAGAAAAGCATTTGAAGATCATTTTCAAGGATGGAGACATTCTTATGGTATGAGGTATTCTATTTTATTTATATTAAAGATGTTTGAGAATACCAAATACTTTACATTTTAAAGAAATCACTAAAATTTAAGATGCCATCAGTTTGTACAAAAAAATATAACAGGATCAAGAAAGAAGCAAATTTAGACCAGAATATGAAGAGGAATATGAAGATACTGATGGAAATTTGCTTAATAAAAAAACTTATTATGATTTAAAAAAATAGGGATTGTTGTGAAAATATAAGCAGTGATATAAGTTAACATATAAAAAAATATTTCTGGTTTTAATGAATCAGTGGAAATTTGTTCGTAATGCTGTTGGATTGTTTGGTTCTGCAGTTCATGAAGGATAAACAAAAACAGGAACAGAATTGGCACCAAGAGCACTAAGAGAAGGTGGTCTTATTTCAGCCTTATATAATTTGGGCTGGGAAATTAATGATATGGGAGATATCTAAGGTAAAAATTACAGACTTCACAATACCAAAAGCCAATCGTTTCGTAATAGTCTATAATTAGGTGTTATCAATGGAGAAATTAACAAAAGATCATATGATATTGCTAAACAAGATAAGTTTATGTTAAATATAGGAGGAGATCATAGTGTAGCTAGTGGATCAATCCATGGTTTATTATAACATTATGGAGATGATTTAAGAGTTGTATGGGTTGATGCTCATGCTGATTGCAATTATGAACTTGGACCAAATAGAAACTATCACGGTATGCCATTAGCTCATTTATATGGTTCCATTTAAGAACCAGTTAAAGGTTTTGAATGGTTAAAACACAGATTGGATCCAAAAAATATAACATACATTGGTATAAGAGATATAGATCCAATGGAAAGAGAATTTATACGTGATTAGAAAATAGTATATTATGGAATGGATGAAATAATAGAATTGGGAATAGGATAAGTGATGAATAGAATTCTTAAGCAATTTGAAGGAAAACCTATTCATGTCAGTTTCGATGTTGATTCAATAGATCCTGAATTTGCACATGGAACAGGTACACTTGTTGATGGAGGAATCTCATATAGAGAAGCTCATTATTTACTTAGAAAATTGGCATCATCATAATAATTAGTAGGAATGGATTTGGTTGAAGTAAATCCTTAATTAGAAAAGACACCTGAATTTAGAGAAGAGTTTTTCGGTGATTTTTAATAAGTATAATAAATAACTATAATTAGATTGGTAGAATACAAGGAACATAAACTGTGGCTTTAGGAATTGAACTAATAGCTTCTGCATTAGGTAGAACACTTGTCTTATGATTATTGTATGTATATAAAGTTAATATAAGTAAGACTTTAAATTTTATTTATGAAATTTATCAATATAAAATTATTATTTATTAATTATAATTAATAAAATATCTTTCATTTAAATATATTCTTGCATAATTAGAATTCTAACAAAATGATATATTATAATTATATCACTTAATTAATACATAAGAATAAATCTGTTTATTTTTATTTATAATATGAAAAACATAATAAATTTCATAATTTCTAGTTTTATTACATTGTTTATAGTGTAAAATTTCTATATTTAATTAAATAGATTTAGCAACTACCTTCAAAACAATTAATTGTCAATCTATAAAGGAATATTTTAAGAAATTTTTTATATCCAAAAATTATAAAAATTTATGTATAAAAAGTCAAATAATATTGATAGATTAAAGAATATCTTGACATATATAATTACAAATATACAAACTTATTCAATAGAGAAAAATATAGTTTATAATAAAATTAAAATTGAATTACATTCATCATATTCTAAACCGACCAATCATAAGACAGAATTATTTATTTTTATAATGTTAATTAGACTTGTAATAAATTCAAAAATAAATTAAGAAATAAATAATGGCTAGAACTAAGTAAACTGCAAGAAAGAGCACTGCTGGTAACAAAAAGCCCACAAAACATTTGGCTACCAAGGCTGCAAGAAAGACTGCACCAGCTGTTGGAGCTACAGGAGGTTTGAAAAAACCACATAAATTCAGACCAGGAACTGTTGCCCTTAGAGAAATCAGAAAATACTAAAAATCAACAGAGCTCTTAATTAGAAAACTTCCATTCTAAAGATTAGTCAGAGAGATTGCACATGAATTCTAAAAGGAACTTAGATTCTAAAGTTCAGCTGTTTTAGCACTTTAAGAGGCTGCAGAAGCTTATCTTGTTGGATTATTTGAAGATACAAACTTATGTGCAATTCATGCTAGAAGAGTCACAATTATGTCAAGAGATATCCAATTAGCCAGAAGAATCAGAGGAGAAAGATTCTGATCAATTAATATTAAATTCAATTAAAATTGATAAACTCTTAAATTTTGTAAAATTATTTAGTATAAATAACAATAAGATAATTCTGAACAATCATTTAATATATACAATTTTTAATTTTCTATTTATGTATTGTAATTCTTATCAAAATAGCAAATTCAAATTTTTATTAATAATAAATGAATATTAAAAACTCATTTAATTTTTGAATATATTTACTTTTTCTTAACTACTTTTTAAGTTTGACTTTATGGTTTAGTACTTTTTTTAGAGACAGAGGATTATGCCCTTGCTGATTTTCTATTTGATTAAGGTGTATCAAGTATTTTTGATTAATTCATTGGTTAAAGATTCTCTTTTGATGAAATATTTAATTTAGATGGTTTCAATATAGACTTTTAAGCAGGGGGAAGTTATTCAAAGCTTTAACTTATTGATGTAGGCATAGGAGGTTTACAATCAGATTTATGTATTGAAGATCGATTTAATTTTTCAATCGATTTTCTATCTGTATCACAATTTTTAGTTTCTTTTCTTTCAGATCTCTCTGATTTTAGTGTATTTTACATGGATTATTATTTACCACTCAATAAATTCATATATTTTTCTTCGATTTTACTTTTTTCTACTTACAATTTTGCATTCCTTTCCTCTAACTAATATATTTATTCACTTAAGACTCTAGTTCTTTCTTCAACAAGTTGATGTACATCTTATTATGAATTTTATTGTCTATTTTCTAATAATTAAATATTTTTGTCAATTAATTCTTATTTTTCCTATTGGATATAAATATTATTTTATACTTATTCTAATTGTAATACAAGATTATATAATTTCATATTTTTTTCCTTATATACTTTTTTTAATTCTTCCAATTCTTCATTAAATGAATTTATTTTGTTTTTTAATTAATTATTTTCAACATCATAATATTCCTTTTATGATTTTAATTATTTTGCATGTGCTTATTTAATTAATTCTAACTCTTCTGAATTTGTTTAATGTGTTTATTCATTTTTCTCATATTTCTCTAATTTCTCTTTTAATTCTTAATTCTCAATCCTCAATTTTATAATTCTATCAGCTTCACTTGGTTACACAAGAATTGGTGGTTTACTATCTACATTTAATTATAATTCTTTAGGTCCACTTTCATCATGAACAGATGATTTTCTAATTTTTTCTAATGAAGTATAAGAATCCCTCTTTGTTTTAAAGTGTTTTTCCTCACTTTAGCATTCTTAAGTAATTTTTTTTCTAAACTATTCAAATTATTCCCAATGATTTGAACTATTATCAAGTGATTAGTCTAAATTCATAGCAGTTAATAAATTTTGAAATATATATTAATTAAAATTATTATCTGTTTAAAATAAATATATAACAATGAGATCCTAAATGATTGAATTTAGAATCCTAAATATCATGTTAATATATATATATTAATCATTATTTAAATAAAATAAAAACACTTAGAATTTCCAAATATATTTGTATATTAATAACTTTTTTATTTTATATGACAAATAATAATTAGAATTTTACAATCTAAAACATTCCTGAACATATCAATTAATTAGTAAATTTTAAAAAATGGAGACGAGTAGGATCAAATTTAAAAGGAGCAATAATGATTGGAATAATTGAACATTGTATTTATAATAATGAAATTGGTATATTGAAAGATATGACATCATTAACATAATATAATAGCAATGATAAAGCATAGAAATTTAAAATTATCATTAATAATGCTCTAAAGAAATTATAAGGCAATTAAATAATTGATTTCATCATAGAAAACCTAATATAATAAAAGGATATATATAATATTTAAACATAACAATTTCTTGATGAATATTTAAAGTAAAAATTCCACCATCCTCTATCAGATGATGATTTAATATAAGACTTTTAGAAAATCTTCAAAATTAAATTGATTATTGCAAAATTTCCACTTCCAAAAAATGAAAATTATTTACCTATCAATTCAAAAGATAATAATAGTATCATTATATTTAATTTGGATAATAAATATTACATTATTTAAAAAGATTAAGCTTCCTAAACTCAAAAATGTAGATGTTGTTAAAATACAAATCCAAAAGAATTACAAAAAATACAATGTAATCATTTAATTTGTCTTATTTGTTTAAAGAAATCATTTTCTGAAAATTAAATTAAATTGTAATTAATAAAATTGTCCTTCATAGATTACCTTGTAATAGTTTGAATAAATAATGAAAAATTATGAAGATAATTCTATAATACAAACATTATAATAGACAAAAATCACAAATTATGAGTGTTGTATTATTTGTAAAACAAAAACAAGTTTAGAATTTTTATTTAGACCTCAAGAATGTTCTCATCAATTTTGTATGTAATGTTTACAAGAGAAATTAAAAAATAATTAAAAAAATGATTTTAGTTGTCCAATTAATGGTTGCAATAGTAAATTTAATTAAAAAGAATTACCATCAAGTATTTCTAATAAATTAATATATTCTTAAGTAATATAAAAATAAACAGAAATTATACGAAAATCTGAAATTTAAGAAAAATCATCTTAATAATCTATTATTTCTAGCAATGCAAAATAAAATGATAAGAATCTAAATAACTAATGTCATTATTGTTTTAAATAATATACAGATAATTTGATATACAAGATTAAATGTAGTCATTTTATATGTAAATCTTGTTTTATGTAAATTGAAAATAAAAATATAGATTAATTCAAATGTTAAGTATCAAAATGTAATGAAATTATTAAATTTAAAGAATTAAATCAATATTTTAATATGAATTAAAGTTAAAACTCATAATAAAAATGTGGTAATTGTTATTCAATCTGTTAAAAATCAGAATCATTTTGTAATACAAATTGTCATCATATTATATGTTTAAAATGTGTTAATAATATTTATAAATCATAAAGAACTCCAAAATGTCTTAAATGTAATATAGTTATAGATGAAGAAAAATTAGATGAATTTTATCTGTAAATTTAAATTAAATCTACTGAAGATATATCTTAAATAAAGAGCTTTGATCCAGAATTTTAAGAGGATTGTACATTTTGTCATTCTCCTTTTACAGATTACAATACTTAATAAAATTTAAATTGTCCAAATCATGCAATAGGTGCATGTTGCATAATCTTTCCATTAGATTGTCCATAATGTTAGATGAATTCATTGATTGTTGAAAAATGTATTGAAATTGTTATAAATTAGAAAAATTGCAATTTTTTTTATTTTATAATGATTCAGACTTTATTAAATATCAAACATAAGGTAAATTCAAATGATATATTTATTATTATAATATAATAACAATTAAATTTATAAATTGATAGTAATGATGATGTATATATTATTTATTTAAATTTTGAATTGATTATCATTATTCATAGAATTTAAATTAATATTTCAAGAGAATATTATTATTATAATTATGATCATATTTCAAATAAATATGAAATATATAATCAAGCACACTATTAAGATTTAATTATAAATTATTTCAAGAGGTGCTCTTTCTGTTAACTTTTTAGTTGTACATTAAAGTGTTTGCACTGCATCTGAGAGATCTGGATATTCAGGTAGATCTGATGCAGATATAATATATATTGAATATGTTTAATTTGGTTCTAGATTTGATAAATTAAATGAACTAGCAATTGTAAAGTTTGTAATATGAATATTAGTAGATGGAATTTATACATTTATATTATTTAATCCTTTGAATATTTGAAATGGAGTTGAAATTTCACTTTAGGATGCAACAGCAAAGATATAACCATAATTACTTAATTAGACTTAGATTTCACAATCATAAAGATATGAATTACTTAATGTAGATGATTATATAGTAGGTATTTCAGCTATTGCTTAATTGATTGCAGAAATGGATAAAAATGGTAAATACATATTCATTAATCTTTTAAATTATGCATCTGATGTAATTCTACTTATCAAATCTTTTGGTACTGGATATGTGTCGGTATCATTAAATGGAATGATATACAATTATAAAGAAGTTGTAGCCAAAAGTCTAGTTGGTGTTTAATACTAAATTTTTTATTATATCTTCCAACTAGGTAAACTAAGTATGAAAGCTATATGATTCATTATAGTAACAATTTAGGCTTGATTAGCTTAAAAAGGTAGAAAACAATTGAATTAAGCAATTTTACTTCTATTTTTGGTAGTGAAATTAAGACTAAATAAATCTGATGTAATTCCTTCTTGATTTTTCAATACAAGATAGAAAGAATAATCAGTTTATGCAAATAAATCTAAAGTTATACTTGATTTAGCTAATATATTTAAATATCCATATTTAGATTAAGATGACATATAAAGTGGAGGACCTAAACTTAATAATTCTGATATTTCAGGTATGGTTGTTCTATTTAAACAATACATATAATAGGCTTCAGAGATTTAATTAATTTCAATTGCAATAGTAGCTGAATACTATTTTATATCTTCAACTGAAAATTTAGATAACTTTGGTTTGAGATTAGTGGCATCTATATATCTGACTATTTATTAGGATGGTATAGTATATAATGGATTATCATTAGAATAAAAGATGAGACGATCATCTTCTGTTAAAATATCTAATTAAGTTTATCTAATTAATTCAGTATAATTTTAATAAACTCTAAAAGTTTACGAATTAATTCCTAATTAGAATGTTAATTTAATGGATGACCCTGATTATTAACCAGCTACAAAGTAGAAAGTATTGTCATTATTTTTAATTGTAACATTAGTTGTATCATATGGAGCATATATTGTAGATATTGTCATAGTAAGAGAATTACCTCCATTTGGAATAGGATATAAGGCAGTAATTTAAAAATTAAGAGATTAAGAAATAACAATCACTTTTGATTTTTTTATTGGAGTGTAAATAGGATTATCCTTTTCACCATATGTCTTCCAATAAATATAATATATGCCAGTTTATAAAGTTGAAGGAATTTAAACTCTAAAAGTAGTTGACATTTTAGTATACGAGAATATAATATCTTTTGGTGTGACTTAGAAATCTCCAGTTTATGTATGTTTAAAAGTTAGATTTAATGCCATTGGATATTCAACTAAAAATAATAAATCTGGAGATTCAGATCCTTGAGGTACTATAATGTCTTAATCATTGTTAATATAGATTAATGGTCCTGAATATTGAAATTCAAATTCAAATGGATCCAAATTAGGATATGATTATTCTATTACTTATCTATCATCTTTTGATTGCATAACAAATTATTTAATTGAAACTTCTGATAATGGATTTTCAACATAGACATTTAATTGTAATGGCCCATTTATTTGATCAGCATATGCTTTTAAAATATTACTAGAGAATGTGCATTTAGAAAAACTACATATAGCATTTTAATCAGAAATTTCATAATCTTCTGGAAAATCCATTTCTAAATAGCCATTAATTGGTATTTTGTTGTATAATATCATATCATACACATATTTAGATTACCATCTTGAATATTAATTGGCTAATTGTATATTTACAAGATACAACCAACCAGGTGGTGTTAACATCTCTAATACACCAACACTTCCATTATAATGTGTATATCTTCCACTTTATCTTATACCAACTCTAAATTCTCCTGTATTAGAATTCTCATCTGTATTTGGATTCATTACATTTTATATCTCAACTAAGATAGAATTATATTATGTTGAATATTACGATTCTGGAAGAGAGAGAATTCTATTATTTACACTCAAATCAGTTTTAATTGTATTCACAAATGCTTTCAAATTATCTCCTAATCTCTTATCATAAGTATTAGGAAAAGTGATAACAATTGAACCATTAACAGAATCACTAGTTTCAGTAGATATATTAAATTTATATTTTGCTCTAATACCTTGATTTTATGGTTAAAAGGACATTTAATTAATCACTAATGATTTAGGCTTACTATAATAAGTAATTGTACGATTAAGCAATGTACTTTCATCAGTACTATCTATCAATACTCCATCATAATAGGATTTAATAATAAATCCATCACTTATTAGATCTGGTGGATTTCTTATATTATTTATCATAAATTTAATAGTACCACTTTCATACATTTTATTTAAAACTATTATAAATGATGATCCATCTAATAAACAACTTTGAAATGAATCAACACCTCCTTCAACATCACAATCTGCTAGATTTGGAGGATATGGTAGATCATCAAAATTAGAACTAGGAAATGTAATATGTATTTCAGCTCCAATCAATAAACTATTTTCAGGTTAAAATTCAATTGTATATGTTGCAATCTCATTTATATTTAATGGTATTGCAAACAATTATAAAATATTTATAGTTCCTTATGAAAATACATTTGTATAAAAATAAGAAACTAAAATTATTAAAATATAATTATACAAAAATTCTATCTTTAATTAAGCATTCTTCCATCAATATAAATGTATGCTGACCATCCATCACTTTCATTATCAGGAGGACTAGTAGGTGTTTTAATACCCAAACATATTATTTAAAATATAGTCTTAGCAGGAATTTAAGTTAATTCTATTTCATCTGGATCAAATCCATTACAAGTTGGAGTTGGATTACTGGCTCTTAAAGCAAATTCATTTGGAAATTAAACTCTCATTGTTGCTCCTGCTGGTATATCATTATTAACACTGAATTCAAACTTAAATATTTATCCAGGATATCCTCTTCCAGTTTAATATTATGTAATTGTAGCAGAATTAAAATCATTTGCATTTGGAGCTGGAAAATAAGTGGCTCCACTTCCTTAAACAACAGCCTTTGATGTTTCCATATTTGATGTAAATACAACCCAATGTACATATCCAAAAGCTGTTGATGTTGTTGGCCATTTCAAATTAGATAATGTTATAATACTAGTTGTAGATGCACCTGAAGTCAAAGGTATTTCTACCCAATCTATCTTCCTAAATTTATTGCATGTCATATCGGTAGTATCAACAGTACATTTAGTTGTATCTTACAGAAATCCATTTTCATATCCTGGTAATTAAATTCTAATTACTGATCCAACTGGAACTGCTCCTGTAAATCCTGGTTAAAAAACAAGATTAAATAATTGATTTACTGCTTATGCTGATGTTGAAAAACTTGAAGTCAATGTTAATTCAGTTAGAGGTACTATTGTAGTCATAGTTATTGATATTGTAGCATAATCATAAATAATCCTATTGCTATATTGACGAATTCCACTAAATATTGTTAAAATAATTGGACTTAATTCTGGATTACAAATTCCTGTTACTTTTATATTTATTGCTGTGTTTTCGCTTATTTCCTTAAAATTCTTTAATCTTATTTCAGGTAAAGTACTTGAACTACCTTAATAAATTTCACAATCAATTGAATATTATTCTAAAGGAACTAGATCAGTCAAACAAAATAAAGTAGAAATTCCTAAATCATTATCCCAAGTTAATAAAGGACCAAACTCAATCCAAATTTCACCATGTGGAGTAGGTGGCTCTAATGTAGGATATGTTGGAGGTGAAGGATTATCAGTACCTTCATCAGTACCTTCATCAGGAGCACCTTCATCAGGAGCACCCTCATCAGGAGCACCCTCATCAGGAGCACCCTCATCTGTAGTACCTTCATCAGTTGTACCTTCATCTGTACCTTCATCTACTCCCTCATCTTCTATAATAAGATTTGGTGGAATTTTCACACTAGGAGTAAACTTAATTTATAAGGTTGCATATAAATTCACTGTACTTGTAGATAACTTAAATATTTAAATATATATTTACTCCTTAACCATACCAAATAAATTATGCTCCACTATCCAATTTTGGATTTATTATAATTTTAACACTTCCAGATTCAATATCTACATTAGAAGAATCAAAAGTATCATAAATTAAAAATTAATTTAATGCATATGGAGGTGCCTTTAGAATTCCATTAATATCAACTGTTTTAATTCCTGAAATTGTGACAGGGAAGGTCATTGTTAAAGTGGAATTAGTAAGTTCACAAAGTGAAGATGATGTTCCTCCCAATTAACATTAATTAGTTGTAGGGGTTGTAACCTAATATTACCATTATGGTCCAAAATTAATAACAATTTTATTTGCTACATTTTTTATACTGTTGATAGTAAATTACAAATTTGTAGCAGAATTTGCATATGGGCTAGTGAGTGTAGCTGTTACTGGAGTATATGTAGTTACTTCTATAATATTGACAGTTAAATTAGTGCATTATTCAATGATATTCGTTTTATCATATGTAGTTTGAACAATAAATGATTGACTCAAACCAGCAATTTATGGATTGACTACTCTGAATACTATTTCAATATCACTATATTAAGGTATCTAATATATAAATTATTTATACTTCATAAAATTCTGTAATTATAAATTAATACAAAGTTGATGATATCTTTAATGTATCACTCACAATACCAGAAGTTACAAATATGTAATCATATCCATTAGCCAGTTAAAAATTCAATGGTAATTTGACTATTATACTACCAGTCTTGGGTACAGCATTTTTTATTTTAAAATTAAGTTTATAATCAGAAATTATAGTTGTTTTTTTGGATCCTGGTGTTATTGTTATGTTAATGAATTGACTAGGTTAAATGTATAGACCATCAACAGCTGATCTCCAAGAATAAGCCATTTTTGTATTCTTTCTATAAGCTACTATTCTAAAACTCTCAGTAGTCTAAGAATAGGATGGATTTTTAAAGTTGATTTAAATACCAAATGTAAATAATGCAGGAACACTAGAGAATCCAGTTACAATAATTCCATTTTCACATTTAATTTCACCACTTAGGGTTATTGAATTAAATGGAATTAATTTACATGTAGTCAAATCACTAGTCAAAGGACTAGTAATTTATAAATAAAATCCTTAAGGTAAGTCAATTGGTGGTTTGATATAAAAATTATATAAGGCTATTTCATTAACAATATTTGTGCTATTCTCATCTATTTTAATTATCATGGAATTCAAATCAAGTGCATAATCAGCTATACCTACAGTTCCAAAAATCAAGTTTTCATCGAAAACATTCTATCCAAGTTTGGACCTAACAATGAAATTTCCTGTTCCGCCTTTTCTTTCAGGGTTCTTTACATTATTGATTTTGACAGTAATGGTCTCATTGATTAGAATGTCATTTTCCATATAAAAGCGTACTAAGTATCCACTAATTGAGCAAACATGTGAGCAGGTATCATCTAAAACTAGATCTATGCCCAATCCAGAGAGATATTAAGATGGGAAGATGATTTATAATTCACCTCCAACAGGAATAGCTGATTCTGGAATCATTTTGAAAGTGTAATCAGCATATTCATATCGATTTGAAATTGATAATGTAATGGCATCAGAGGTTGGCCATAAAGTACCGCAAAGGATGTTTTATATTTGTAGTAAAATAAAAAGCATATTAAAATAATTTATGAATAACTTTTATATATGATATTTGAATATCTCACCCAAGGTTATTTAGGAACTATATTACTTAAATTTATAAGATGTATTCAATAAAACTGTTATGTGACTTTTAACATTTATAAGGATTCCAAATGTAATGAATAAATAGCTAAATTCAAGAGTCAGAAAGTATGAAAAAATTAAATTTAACAATTTTCCCCTATTATTCTCTTTCTAAAATTTCAATAAAGAATTGAATTTAACTTGATAATCCATAAAACTAAATAGTATTTCTTTAAGCCAATAGAATTTATATTAAGATTATGTATAAGAATACTATTGATATAATAGAAAATGATAAGAAGTTAATTATATATGTATTTATTTATATAATATCAGTGCCAACAATGTCTATCTCTACTTTATTTTGATCTCATTAAAACTAGATCTTCTCTACTTAATTCACCATCAACTGCTAATTTATCAGTCTTATAACTCCACATTCCACTCTTTTAACGCATTTCTAGTGTTTATTTTTATTTTTTTATTTTCTTTGCTACTCCTGCAAATTTTTCTTCTAATCTATCTTCTAAACTTTTCATTTCCTCAACAGTTGGTTTCTTACGAAATTGATAAGGTTTAAACACTGGAATATCTTAACCAAATGCCTCTCTTATTAATAGAGACTTTTAATTCAACATAGTTAATATTTCTCTTGATTCCATTTCTAATGTTTATTCATTAAGAATAACTAAAAAATCTCCAGCTTCCAGTTGCTTTAAAAATTAAGTATCCTAACCATGAACAGATGTTCCTGAAGTAAATATCATTCCTAAACCATCTTATAATGGTTTTTCAATTACAACTCTCTTTGCTGGTCCTTTTTCTTGAATTTTCTCTAAGAATTATTGTTCATCTTAAGCAAGTTCTTCTCTTTCTACTTTATTCCTAATTTTTAATTCATTTTTCTCTTGTTTTTCACCAAAAGAACCTTTGAATTTTAATTTTCCTACACTCATTAATTAAATTTTAATATTTATATTAATATTAATCACATAAACATTAAGAATATCAAAATATCTATAAAGGTACTTTTGGTGCGTATTTTGGAGCATATGTATCATATAACTCTTTCAATCCTTCTATATAAATTTGGTGATATTTATCTATATCTTCTTTGGATGGATTCTCAATTTTTGGTAATTCTATTCCTTTCCCACAAACTGTTATCATTTCAGTATGAGGTTCCTATTGATAATATATAAATGATAATACAGGTATGGTTAAAAATCTACTCCAATAGATCGTTCCAATTAATTTAAATTTGTTAAGCCATAGTCTCAATGATTAAAATCCATTATATGTGTAAAACATATTATTTTCACCAAAAGTAAAAACAGGATAAATAGTAGTACCAAATCTCAATGCATACTTAATGAATCCTTTTCTTCCCTTTATGTAGACTCTATTTTCTCCATATTTAGTAAGAGTTGCTTCTTCAAATCCACCTACCATTATTCCTACATTTGATCCTTTTTTTAACAACTTAGTTAGATTTTCTGGATGTACTCCTTCTAAACCAAACAATGTTAATAATAATCCTGAAAATGGAATTGATAATGCAAATCGTGAACTCAAAACCACCAAATTTTCAAAAAATGTATTTTTTGTATATAAATTATGAACCATTCCCATACTGTATATACCATGAGGATGAAAACAAAACTAAATTATCAATATATTTTACCATTGAATTACTTTTTTTAGGTTTTTCAACTTCCACTATTTCTCTCTTATCAAACCATTCCATCATCTTGAACCATAATTAAAATTTTATGAATAATTCTGATTTCACATAATTAACTTGTAAGATCATAGTCACAATAAAAAGCACTACATTCCAAGTTTCTCTATAAACAATTAATCTGTAGATCATGTATCCAGCTAATCCCATAAATAAAATCCAGAATTAAAAGAAAAATGTTCCCACAAGTACCCTAAAAGGTTTAGCCATTATTTAAAAAATATAATTACACTAAAGAAAGAGTGTTAGTATTTTAAAGTGAATTATTACGATTTCGATTAAATTAAGACGTATTTTATAATTATTCTAAAATTATAATAATTAATGTGACGAAATTCTTTTGACGATTTATATTTAATTTATATACTGTTATTTTTCATCATTACTATTCTTAGTTTAAAGTCTATTTATTTTTTTATTTTTCTAAATTTATTGTAATGTAATTCTCTATCTTCTGTTTTAATTCTATCTAATCTATCACCATATCTAAAGTTAATGGACTCCTATCAAAAGGATCAATTTGGTTATTAAGAAGATGTTTTTTAATGGTTAATCTATCTACAATTACCTAATCATAAATTATAATTATACATTTGAATGAGGAAGTTTAACTGGATCTGTCATTAACGAAAAACATAAAGGATCTAAGAACTCTTCTGGTATATCTTCTGAGTTTTAAACAAGAACCTTTTATTTCTAATTTAATTCTTCAATTTAGTTAATGAATTCTTATAATAATTCACTCCTTTTTTCACAATTTATGAATTATTATGTCTAAATTTATATTTATTTGAATAATTCAACAGAAAATGATCTATTATATTATATATAAATTTAAATACCTTTCATCCTTAATTACTTCAAATAGAAATTATTAGTTTTTACTTAAATTCATATATATATTGATTAAGATTTCCATAATAAATATTTTATCGAAAATTTTTGCATTAATATTTTGAATGTTATAATCTTCAGATTATTTACCATTAATTTGCTCTAAAATATAATTTAAATGAATTGCTAATTTTTCTCTAATTTCATCAATCAAAAATATTTCAGGTTAAATAGAAGTTATAACTTCTAGTGTTCGTAAATATTCATAAAAATATTATGATTTAACTATTAATTCTTTTTACAACTTTTGAAAATTATAATTTTAGAAATATGCTGGTTATTCATTGAAGAATTGATTTATATTTTTTAAACATTATAAACATTCCTCTATTAGATAAATGAAATCATTTAAAAAATAATTAGAAAAATGTAATTGTTATTCTTTATCATTCTTAAATCCATTTAATAAACATTCTTGATATGAATCTCTATGTACCTAAAGAAGATATCTAATTATTAAACAAATTTTAAATCTAATATTTAATTTTTATAAAAATTAATTTTCTTCTGCTACTTTTTCTGTATCTATAAAACATTAAATAATTCCATCAAATAAGTATGTTCTAAGATATTTAGAATTGAATAACCTAGTAAGTTATTATGATTATTTCCATACCTACCTTGAATCCCTTGAAAAAAAGGAACCTTTTTTATCATCAATGATTTAAAATATATTTATAGACTTAATTCTTAAATGAGGATTTGTAATCAATTTTTTATGCATTGATATTGCTGCAAATTCACACAATGTTTATAATTCTACTACATGGTTTAATATTTCCTCATTAAAGGAATAAATAGATGAAAATATTTAAGTATCAATTAAAAATGTAGATGATAATAATCCATAAGGATAAATTGGTTTTAGATCTGAATCTATAAGACTTAAAGCTAATTAATTAGCAAAACATAAAAATTGCATAATTTATTTAATGCTTTTTGGGTGTAAGATTTATAAGTCAAAAGATATTTTCTGTTTTAAAATTTTATTATATCTATAAGATTAATATGCCTCTGGTAGTAGTTCTTTTATCTCTCTTATAGGTATTGAAATGTAAAATTGTTCTAAACTATTAGCTACTATGTGACTCATTCTTTAAGTAAATAAATATAATGCAGTCATAGGATCGATTATAGTTTCTAAATTTTCAGCTTCAACAAACTATGTTAATTCTGAAGCCAATAAGTCAACATTCTAATACAAAGATGAAAAGAGAGGATGTTTCTTACAATAAATTAATAAATTCAGATCTACTTTTTTAATATACTAATTGATTTTATTTTATGAATCAGCGAATTAGTTGAATAGGTATGTAAGAATGTAAAAAAAGTTATACACTAATCCTGGACTTGATGATAATTTTTACAATTAAATGTTCAATTATTTTTCTAAATTTAAATTCAATTTAATGATATTAGAAATAAATTCAAATAATTTACTTCTAAGTATTTCGTTTGAATTCAAAATCTTTTGGAATAGAATACATATATCATCTATAATTAGAAATATTTTTGTTCTCAAACAACTCATTTGATCTAACATTTATTTTCTATCATCGGAGAAAAAACTATTCCATTACTGTCCATCTGTTGGAAATGAACTTAAAGTTAATAACTTCCCAATTATGCTGTATAATTAAAATTAAAATCCAGTTTTAATTTAATCGAATTTGCCAAATGCCCAACTGTTTGATAATAGTTTCTCCATAAGTTTTTAATAGTTGATTAAATTATGCAATAGAGCTAGTGAATGCTATTATAAAAGAGTATCATCAAAAGATATACGCTTATATAATTTAAGTTCTCTCTTCATCATAAGTTCTAAAAATTTAAATGAATCATCTTCACTAGCTTGTGTTTCTAAATAATCAAATAAGTTTTTAAGAGTATTTGAGGCTATGACAAAATTATTTGAACAAAAAAGTTCATAAAAAATGATATTGGCTCTATAATTTTTATCATCGTCAAAAATATTAGGATCTTCATCAATGTTTTACCAATCGAAAGCATCAGGATATAATGTACACGTAAGTAATTAACCTTAGATATGATTCAAAAGGTCAAAATATTTATCTTTTTTGATTTTGCCTTCAGCCAAGAGCACTGTTTCATTCTAAATTTTGTAATCAGATAAAGAAGATAATGATTTAATAAGGAATTGTAATTTTTCTTACTCTGTAAATTAGGAAGACGTTAAAAATTGATAATAAACTTGTTCTATTAAAAAATCAACTGTTAATATTTAATCTTTAGGTATAAAATCAACTTACTTACCATAAATCTATTAAGTATTTGCAAATATTCCAAAAGTTCTTGACAACCAAATATTTTCAATATCTTCAGCACTTTATATTTCTTCATCAGTATTTTCTAATTCTCTTTTCTCATTTTAATCGCTGTTGAGATTTTATATCATCTATTCTTAATTTAGTTGATTTGAGTTGAAATCCTAGCTTTCAGGACTGTTTTAATTACCTTAAGCAGATTGAGTTAATTTTTTGTTCGATGATTATTCTTGTTGTGAAACCTAAGCTTAACCCATAATATTATAAATGAAAAAATTATTAATATAGATTATTTTGCATTATTGCCTAATTTGTCAATTTTTCATTCACATTAATGTATATGAAATTGAGTATTTATATGAATATCCTTAGCTTGGATCTATAGATTGCAATTAAATCAGTTTAGATTATCCAGGGGGGATTACTATGACTACATTTTAAGTAATATCTAATTCTATTCCTTTCAGATTAGAGACTTCTAATTAAATGGTCTCTTGATATATTCTAGATTCTTTATTTTCATAGTAGAAAGCAACTCCTGCTGGATACTTAACAATATAAAAGAAGACTTATATGTTCTTAATATTTATATTTAAATACTTATCCTTCAATGCTTCTTTATACTTTTTAGTCTGCTTATTGAATAGCTTGTTAAATAATATCTTATTCTGATTTGACTTAAATAACAGATGTTTAAGATTTTAATGAGTATCCAAAAGAACCTCCACCTTGTTTGGTAACTCTATATTTAACCATAACTGTTGATAAAGGATTGCATTAAATTTTTACCTCGTTTGGATTTTAATAAGGTGGACATATCTCCAAATTTTATATTTTATTTAACTAAAGAATCTCATGAAGTGTTTTTATGGTTGTTTAATTTTGATACCAATAATAAAGATAACCACCAACCATTCCTGAAATTCTTCTGATTCCAGGTTCAATATCTTTAACTTTTTCTTCATCTGTGTCTCTCTCATGCGCTCTTAAAAACCCATCGAAAATGTTATCAATAATGAGTTTTTCTTAACCAGCTGTAAATTCTAACTCACTAAATTAAACTGATTTTGATCCATAACATGATACTGCTAGATATCGATCATAATTTTATGTCCAATCTACTTCAACGTATAGTGCATAATATCCTGGCTCAAATACTTTCTCAACTACAATATCCCTTTCATTCTCAAAAGCAGAACCTGAATAATGTAAAACCTCTTTTTTATTTGTTTCTAATTGTCCTATAATTAATCTGGCTAATGAATATTAATGACCTTTCTAGAAAAAGCGTTTATCTGATTAGGTTAATGATATAAATGCATGTGCTTATTCATAAACCTTCATCAAAATCACTTTTTTAGTTACAACATCTGATTTCTAAACTTTAAGGGGTGTAGCAGTGTATAAATAATCTGGTTTAAATTTGCATACACAAACAGAACTAAATTCAGTTATAAAATCATTAACACTCATCCAAAAAATTCCATCATCTCTTTGCTAAACTTGCAATCTCTCTCTTAATTCAGGGGTCCATTTTGAAGAACTATCACTCCAGTCTTTAGTCCATTCTTTTCTACCCCAAGGCTATACAAATTCACTTTAAATTTATACATTTCTAATCCTAATTATTCTATCAGGTTGCCCATCACTTGCAATGACTCTTTATAAATCCAATATTGCATAGCAGTGTTAAGATACTATACCATTTCCATTATCTTATTCCATACCTTATTCATTTGTTTCTGAAGATGCAGTTAGTATATATTTTTCTTTATCATTTTTCTCCATAAAATCCCAACATAAATCAGCATCTTCTAAGGTTTCAGCTTTTCTGATAAAATATTCACTTGGAGCTCCGGTTAAATCTTTTAATGCATAACCTGCTAAACCTTATTCTATTTTATTATAGGATCCATAGATTTTAGCATATGCTTTTTCCAAAAGAAGGACCCATAATTCATTTCCATTTGCTTTAGAAAATATNAATGAGTATCCAAAAGAACCTCCACCTTGTTTGGTAACTCTATATTTAACCATAACTGTTGATAAAGGATTGCATTAAATTTTTACCTCGTTTGGATTTTAATAAGGTGGACATATCTCCAAATTTTATATTTTATTTAACTAAAGAATCTCATGAAGTGTTTTTATGGTTGTTTAATTTTGATACCAATAATAAAGATAACCACCAACCATTCCTGAAATTCTTCTGATTCCAGGTTCAATATCTTTAACTTTTTCTTCATCTGTGTCTCTCTCATGCGCTCTTAAAAACCCATCGAAAATGTTATCAATAATGAGTTTTTCTTAACCAGCTGTAAATTCTAACTCACTAAATTAAACTGATTTTGATCCATAACATGATACTGCTAGATATCGATCATAATTTTATGTCCAATCTACTTCAACGTATAGTGCATAATATCCTGGCTCAAATACTTTCTCAACTACAATATCCCTTTCATTCTCAAAAGCAGAACCTGAATAATGTAAAACCTCTTTTTTATTTGTTTCTAATTGTCCTATAATTAATCTGGCTAATGAATATTAATGACCTTTCTAGAAAAAGCGTTTATCTGATTAGGTTAATGATATAAATGCATGTGCTTATTCATAAACCTTCATCAAAATCACTTTTTTAGTTACAACATCTGATTTCTAAACTTTAAGGGGTGTAGCAGTGTATAAATAATCTGGTTTAAATTTGCATACACAAACAGAACTAAATTCAGTTATAAAATCATTAACACTCATCCAAAAAATTCCATCATCTCTTTGCTAAACTTGCAATCTCTCTCTTAATTCAGGGGTCCATTTTGAAGAACTATCACTCCAGTCTTTAGTCCATTCTTTTCTACCCCAAGGCTATACAAATTCACTTTAAATTTATACATTTCTAATCCTAATTATTCTATCAGGTTGCCCATCACTTGCAATGACTCTTTATAAATCCAATATTGCATAGCAGTGTTAAGATACTATACCATTTCCATTATCTTATTCCATACCTTATTCATTTGTTTCTGAAGATGCAGTTAGTATATATTTTTCTTTATCATTTTTCTCCATAAAATCCCAACATAAATCAGCATCTTCTAAGGTTTCAGCTTTTCTGATAAAATATTCACTTGGAGCTCCGGTTAAATCTTTTAATGCATAACCTGCTAAACCTTATTCTATTTTATTATAGGATCCATAGATTTTAGCATATGCTTTTTCCAAAAGAAGGACCCATAATTCATTTCCATTTGCTTTAGAAAATATTGGATATCCTTTCTAATTACAGGGAATATAATCATCAACCACACACTCTTGTAATATTCCATTATTACACATAAAAATTCCATAAAGCCCTTTATGTTTAGAAATTACTCTTACCATTCTATTAATATTCTTGATGTCGGAATAATTTTTATACTTATTATGGAATTTCAGCCAAAGCTGATAATGAACTTAAAAAATAGCAATCTCCAAGCTCACCTTACTTGATGTCCATAGGATCGATTGTCTAAATAGTTAAATAGATATTACATCAAACAATTTAATTTAACCTGGCTCTAAAAATTGGTCTGGCCTCTTCCAGACAATGTTTTTTCCTTTTTGAAAATTAGGATCTGATGAAAGACTACATTTATTTGGAGGAAATTTTGAATCCTCAAATTTTGCTTATTATTTTTTTTGCCTAAAATGAGCTTAATACATTACATTTCTTGGAAAACGCGATCATATTCTGTTTTAGTTTGGTCAGTATTATTGTGCTAGGGAATAATTCGATCAGCCACAGTATTTGTTTACTTTGTATTCACTTACGGCTACTACTCAGGTACTATTGATGTGTCAAAAATAAAAGGTTTATAATCTATTTCATGATGATTATTCTGATTATGAACTCTGTTGCTTTTATTACTTGTACAAATTCCCATTTGATAAAGTTTTATATATTATTATTTATAGAAAAGATTTTATAACTGTCAAAATACTTTTTCTTTTATTAATAATTATATATGTATATAGTTATAAAAAATCTACCACTTTAAAAAATAATATACGTAATCATAAAACTGTGTCACAAAACATTATTAAAACTACATAAATGACTTTATTCTTATAAATAGCAGCCTTTCCTATTTTTAAAGGAATTTTTTCCATTATCATTTTTATTTATATTTAAAAATTAACAATAATTATTTAATTATATTGAATTTTATTTTGCCTTAAAATTGATAATGCTATCAGAAATATGTTTAACTGATTAAACAAATTCTATTGCTATGAAGAAATTTTTATCATGGTTATTATTGCAAATGAGACAAAATAATTATCAATTCTACTGTTTCCAATCCTCCTATTTCAGAATAAAATGAATTGAATTTGATTAGGAAGTGGATAGTGTAAGCATATAAAATAGTAAATTGGCCATAAGTTTATTGTTTACTCTATTTTCGGCAGAATGACATGATAATATACAATTTATAATCCAAATGTATATCAACAAAACAGAACAATAAGTTTGCAATTGATTGTGATAATAGTTCATATTTTTAGGCTAAATCAAAAAAATCATCAGCAAAACCCAAACATAATGTAAATCAAAACATCAATCCTGTTATATGAGACAGGGTCAAATCAATTAAAATATCTTTGAGTAGACAGCAATCTCCTAAAATAAAATGAGATAAAGTATAATAGGAACTATTTCTAATGATTTTATTTTTATTTTTCCTAATTACCAACTTTTACAAATATCATAACCCAAATTATCGGCTTTGTCAACTGGCTTAACATCTTTTAAATCATCACATATTATTACTGATTCAAAGAACTCTAATTAATACATAACCCAATACTATTTTAGTCAATTATTTATAAATCTTGTTTCAAAAATTTTTACTATCAAAAAAATTCCTTTTGACTAACATTTAAATTAAAAAAAAGAATTTAACCCAATTAAATTGATTAAAAAAAAATCATCAAAATTATTATAGTTTTTCAACTTCTAACAATTAATTCATTAATATAAATTAGTTAAACTATTTTTAATTAATTAATTAATTTTTTCATCTTAATTAATTATTTTACTATTTTAATTATCCTCTACTTTCATATACTCTCAAAATTCTAATCTGAAATATACATCAGCCATAATGTAAAACATTATTACAGTATTGTTGTTAGTATATTTGATGAAATCAATACTGCTAAATTTTTAGCAAATTTGAACCTTGCAATTCCTGGTATTTATTAATTTATATTTTCCTCTCTCATTTCGGAAATATAAATTGATTTCTTGTTGCTAACCTTGAATTATATTCTGATGGCAGAATTAAGAACTATTCAATTGTACATGGTACTAATTTCTTGAATCTAAAAATAGCTAATTCATCAAAAATATTCTCTTGTCTAAAAGTAATTTAAATTTTTTGACCTTCAATTCATTTTTTCTTTTTGACCTTCAAACTAATATTTTCAATTTTATTCAAGTTTTTATCAATTTTTTACACTTGAAGCACCATATTCTTCACAATAAGATAGATTTCCATATATTATTTAAAAGAATATCTACATTACAGATAGGTATTATATTTAGACTTTTATTACCTTTGAAAAAAATTTTGATTGGGTTTTATTTTTAATTTTATGTAAATGGCACTTAAATATACTAAAAAAATTTGAAAATATTAAATATTTTTGGTTCTGGTAAACTGAAACTAATTAAAACGAATATTTAATGTCATAAACTATTTTTTTCCTAACAATATTTATTTGTTGATGTAAATATTTTGAAGATCAAAGAAAAAAAATAATCATTATAACAAATTACATTCTGTGTTAATTTGTTAAGTATTCCTTTTTTATTGAATATCAAATTATATACATACTATTAAATTCAACGTATTTTTTAGATTAATAGCAAATCTTAATTATCATTTTATTTTGATAAATTATTAGCTGATTATGTCATCTCAAAACAATAATTCAAACGTTAGATCGAAAATATCAACCATAATGATGAATATGAATATAGCTATAGGATCTCTGAATATTGGATATGTATTAAGCTATTTGACACTGTCAATTGATACGCTTTTTGCAAACTTGTATTTTTAATTACTAAATGTTAGGTAAATAAAAGAAGAGGATAGAACTTCAAAACTAAGTTTATTAAATGGGATCCTTCCTTTAGGATGTGTTATTGGTGTCCTTGTGGGGTATATTATAAAATAAAAATTGACAAATAAATAATGTCTTCAAGTTGCAGATGTTATTGGAATATTTAGTCTTTTAGCCACGATATCTAATTATGAAGTCATAGTTGCTGTTAGGTTTTTCTTAGGAATATCTAATGGGATTTCCAGCTTAATTATGCCTGTTTATATCAAATCTTTATGCCCTCCATAATATTTTAGTCAAATGAGTATGCTAGTAGGATATGGAATCAATACTGGGTTAGCAATAGGATAATTGATGGGAATAGGCTATATTAAGTATTCATTTATTATCACTCTAAAATAGCTATCATGGTTCTACTTCAAACTGGTGGAGAGTTGTCTTTTCATTTCCTTCAATAATCTGCATAGTCAGATCATTAATAATCCATTTCATATATAACTATGAAAGCCCAGAGCAATTAATAAAAAGAGGAAATTATGAATAGGCCTAATATGTAATAATAATAATAATCATAATAATAGGTGATTTGTCAGATTTATAAATTAGAGTATGTTGAAGAACAATATGAAAGGTACACTAAATTAGCTTAACAGTAATTATAATAAAAATAATAATCATTTTTCAAAGTTTTTGAGAAGCAAAAACTTATAACCCTTCAAGTAGGAATTATATCTGTATAATTTAAATAATTACAAAGATGCTTGTATAAATATGGTGCGGCTCTTTTGCAGTGTTTTATTATAGTGCACAAATATTTAGTGATTTATCAGATAATGACATTACTCAAAAAACAATATTTACGATATGTCTTGGATTATCTGGCTTTCTTGCCTAATTTTTGACCATTTATATGGTTAATAAAATTGGGAGTAAATACATTTTAAGTATTTAAATATTACACTTTTAATAGTGATTGGTTCTTTGATAATCGGATCTTTAAATTTAGCAGTTTCCATAATATCTTAACATGCCAATTAAGGAACAGAATTTATAATTTTCATTTTATTACTTTTGCTAATTATGACCTTTGCAGCTACATTAGGGCCTGTAGCGTGGGTAATAAATGTGTATTATTTTGTATAGAGCATAGTGCCTTAAATAAATGACAGTGATGGTACATTTATATCTACTGAACTTAGATGGAGCTTCTAAGCTATTCTTATTTTTTGTTTTCCTTTTTTGGAAAAGGGAATCAAGATTTTTGGCGGATTTTTATTATTTGCCCTAATAAATTATTTATACTTTATTTATTGTCATTTTTACTTGATTGATGGAAGAGGCAAAACTAATGAATAATTAGTTGCTATGTACCACAATAAATATGGATATTCTGTCGTTCCTTTAGAGAATTAAAATAATTTGCCAAATATACAAACCGATGCACCAAATACTTAAATAAAATAATTAGTAAATGTTCTTCCTGTAAATTAAGAGGAGGGAGGAGATCTTCCAGAAAATTAAGATGAAGGGGTTGAAATAGAATAGGAAATGTGAGTGAAATTATAATATTCTATTTATTAAAACTTTAATTAATTTATCAAAAATAACAATTTTTCCTTTAATGTTTCTTTGAATTAAATAGCATATGATAAGAAATAAATATAATTCTAAATAAATTTAATCTTCAATAATACTAAAATCATACAATTTTAATATAATAAAACATTTTCTTTAATAGTGGTTTATTAAGTTTATTTAATTATATGATAAAAATAACCAAAATATTTTCTTTTGTCAACGAATTTATGAATTTCGAACCTATTCTTTTTTTTTTTATATTAACCAATATATTCCTCATCATTTGATTTCCATATGAAATGACAAATCCATGTATTTTTCCATTTTCCCAAATATGTTTTTCTAGTTTCAAAAGTCATTCACCCATATCCATTGAAATTACCACCCAAAAATTCTCTTAGAATAATAGCAGATATATTTTCCTTTACCACTTCTAGTTTTATTAATTAATCCTATAAAATTTACAGCCATTTGGATAATTTTGAAAAGTTTCTACTTTAAAATCATAAGAAAAAAATAGAAGGGAAATACCGACCTTGCTAGCTTAAAAAACAATATTAATTACTTTTATCTCTTTAAATTTATGCGAATCTTTTTCTATTAACTAAAGCTTTTCCTTTAATTTCATTAATTCCTCTGTAATAAGAGGTTATTCTAAAAAACATTTTCACTTATTGATCTTAGATCAATTTGATGTACTCAATCTTTTATTATGATTTATCTAATGATATTTTCGATGATTCATGTATTAAGCTTAAGTTGGATATAAAGTTGATTAATTATTATTGATTTTATAATTACTTTTATAATATTTAATTTGTCTGTTTAATATTCTAAAGTTAGAGAAAATCTTTTAATAAATAAGAAGAAAAAAAATGCCATAAGAATACTAGGCTTACAACAGCATTCTCTATATTAATGTATTACCAATGATCTTAATTTATTGCAAATTAGATTTTATTAATAATATTAATAACAATTTGATAATCTCTTAAAATTAATAAGTGTTCAAACATATTAAGCTTTTATAGCTTAGAAATGTCTTAAATCTTGATTGAGATTTTTTCTTTTTGCGAATATATAAAGTAGAACAATATTAATGTATTTAATTCACTGAATACCAATATATTTTTAGAGATTATACATTATTATTTTTTATAACTTATAGAACAATTTAACGTAATATTTGAAATATTAGCATTTATTTAAATGTAAACCAATTACATAAGAAGATATTGTTGAAATATCTAAATAAGCCAAATATCAGTCAAAATTTAATGCAACTTTTTTCAAATAATAATTGAAGATTGACTAGAATATGTAAGCTTAACAATTAAAACTCAAAAATTAAATGACAAACAATACTTCAGCATATCTAAAAAGAGAAAGGTTGCTGACAAATATTAATAGAATATGCATATTAAAATAACTACTGCTCTAACTGATTATCAAGTATATGTAAAAGTTTATTCTGAGGTTTAGATAATATTTTTACAAAATTCATTAATGATTAAATTATCCAAGCTTACGTAAAAATTATTTCTATAAGATCCAATATGAATAAGTAAAATTAAAGTTATGATAAAGATGATTCAATCACCCCATCTTCATTTGAAACATTAGCCTTGGGATAGTAGATAATATTGATTGGGTATATTACAGGATTGATTATAGTAATAGTTTAATCATAAATATTAAAACATAAACAGAAATACCAATCTTATCTAAATTAAACTCAATAGACAAAGAGCAATTTTTATTTTCAAATAAAGAAATCTCCACTATTAGGGTTATAAATATTAAAAAAAAACTTCTTACAACTAAACAGAGACAACATAATTATTATATAATCTATATTCTTAAAATTGCTTTACCACTATTGAAAATAATTTTAATATAAAGTAGCTTATTTAAGCTAAATTGAAATTCTAATTTAACAACCAGATCTAATTATATTTCTGAATTTTTATTTATATCTCAAAATAGACAGTTTTATGGTTACTCAGATATATTATCAAATCTTAAACTAATTAAAACTTTTTTTGACTTTTATAAGTCATGAACTGGCTAACTTTTAAGGACTGAATAATATTAGTCTTATGTCATCTATAAACTTTCGTCGGAAATCTATTTGATTAATTCCTAATCAGAGATGGTAATTGTTTATAAAGCTATTGAATTATAGGAAATTAAGCAATTGGTTCTGGTAGATTAGTTTAGAAGGATATGATTTTATTATCGAATAAAACTTTATTTAAAACAGAATTAGATTATTCTATTTAGATTTATTTACTTTCCAATTCAATTCGTTCTAACTCCTAATTTAGTTTTTTATTGCGCTCTTACACAGTAACNCTAGGCTTACAACAGCATTCTCTATATTAATGTATTACCAATGATCTTAATTTATTGCAAATTAGATTTTATTAATAATATTAATAACAATTTGATAATCTCTTAAAATTAATAAGTGTTCAAACATATTAAGCTTTTATAGCTTAGAAATGTCTTAAATCTTGATTGAGATTTTTTCTTTTTGCGAATATATAAAGTAGAACAATATTAATGTATTTAATTCACTGAATACCAATATATTTTTAGAGATTATACATTATTATTTTTTATAACTTATAGAACAATTTAACGTAATATTTGAAATATTAGCATTTATTTAAATGTAAACCAATTACATAAGAAGATATTGTTGAAATATCTAAATAAGCCAAATATCAGTCAAAATTTAATGCAACTTTTTTCAAATAATAATTGAAGATTGACTAGAATATGTAAGCTTAACAATTAAAACTCAAAAATTAAATGACAAACAATACTTCAGCATATCTAAAAAGAGAAAGGTTGCTGACAAATATTAATAGAATATGCATATTAAAATAACTACTGCTCTAACTGATTATCAAGTATATGTAAAAGTTTATTCTGAGGTTTAGATAATATTTTTACAAAATTCATTAATGATTAAATTATCCAAGCTTACGTAAAAATTATTTCTATAAGATCCAATATGAATAAGTAAAATTAAAGTTATGATAAAGATGATTCAATCACCCCATCTTCATTTGAAACATTAGCCTTGGGATAGTAGATAATATTGATTGGGTATATTACAGGATTGATTATAGTAATAGTTTAATCATAAATATTAAAACATAAACAGAAATACCAATCTTATCTAAATTAAACTCAATAGACAAAGAGCAATTTTTATTTTCAAATAAAGAAATCTCCACTATTAGGGTTATAAATATTAAAAAAAAACTTCTTACAACTAAACAGAGACAACATAATTATTATATAATCTATATTCTTAAAATTGCTTTACCACTATTGAAAATAATTTTAATATAAAGTAGCTTATTTAAGCTAAATTGAAATTCTAATTTAACAACCAGATCTAATTATATTTCTGAATTTTTATTTATATCTCAAAATAGACAGTTTTATGGTTACTCAGATATATTATCAAATCTTAAACTAATTAAAACTTTTTTTGACTTTTATAAGTCATGAACTGGCTAACTTTTAAGGACTGAATAATATTAGTCTTATGTCATCTATAAACTTTCGTCGGAAATCTATTTGATTAATTCCTAATCAGAGATGGTAATTGTTTATAAAGCTATTGAATTATAGGAAATTAAGCAATTGGTTCTGGTAGATTAGTTTAGAAGGATATGATTTTATTATCGAATAAAACTTTATTTAAAACAGAATTAGATTATTCTATTTAGATTTATTTACTTTCCAATTCAATTCGTTCTAACTCCTAATTTAGTTTTTTATTGCGCTCTTACACAGTAACAACACTCTAAGCTCTTTTTTATTTAATCGTAGGTATTAATAGATTAGATTTTAGCTTCTAATTTATTTAAGCCTGGGGTAGAGAATCTAAACTAATTTCATAATAATAGAATAATATTTCAACCATTATCTAGCTCTAAAAATAATTCATCGATTAACTAGTAAAGCTAGTTATTTAATTATAAAGTTTTTTATTAAGATATAGTAAGTTTTATGAATGTTTAACATTTTTACTCACTTTTTTATATTATTTAAAATTTTTTTAAATCCTACTTAATTTTTTTAATCTTTCAATTAGAATTTTCCGAAGCCATTAATCATTCTAAAAATTGATTAGATCTAATTAAAAGGTCAATTTAATCTTGAATTTGTTATCATGATCCAAGCGATTCTCCAAATTATTGTATCACATAAGTATCATTAAATTCTAAAAGGCATCAATTAGCGATACTAAGTTATTTAATTTAAATTACATCCTATTGATGCGAGAAAGGAAATTCTCAAGAATCTAATTATCCAATAATTTTCTATAAACAATTAATAATTAATAGCCACTTATCCTTTACCTATCTGATAAGAGGAGAAAAATCACTCTTATATTTCCCCTATGGTCATTACTTTATGTTTTCTATGTGCCAAACCCAGAAGCTTATTGTTTTCTCCACATAAGGTACCATAGAGAAAAATATACTTATCTCTGTCTTTTATATTAAAACTATTAAAAATCAAAATTATTAAAATAAATGTTACCGATATTTTTCATAATTTTTATCTAAATTAGCTATGGCGAGGTAAAAATAAGTGTGAATAGCTTAATCTTGATTTAGTTTTTTACTTTATGCACTTAACTAATGATATTACTACTCTTTAAATGCTCTTTAAAAGCCTTAATTCGAACAGGTGTTGTACAGACTTATAAGTATATTCTTGGCCTTAAATTACTTAACCTTTTTGAGGATAATGACACTTAAATCAAAGTAGTGCAATCTTAAAAGAGAATGAAGTTTATTTGATTAATTGAAAATCAGAAAATTTCTCAATTAAATGACTTAAAATAGTAAGTATAATCTTCATAATCTTGAATTTTAGGAAAAATTTAAATAAGACAAAATAGATATATCTACAAAAAGGCATAAATTAATAGATTGAATAATTCCTAGAGTTATTGTTATTGAGTTGAACTCTTTGTCTGTGAAATATTTATGGTTGAATTATATAGCCTGCACCAAGAAGTAATCCAAGAGAATTGGCAAGTGACTAAAGCAATCAAAAAAAATTGAAAGCAGGCTGCTATTTAAAACGATTTATAAGAGTCTTAAAAGAGTAAATGAGAGAGAGGAAGAGCTTTTTTTAAAGAATTTAAATTTTGGAGCAGGGGTTTGGCTTATCATTTCAATAGCAGAGAAAGAGGATCTCAAATCCTAATATGGTTTGACAAATGAAATTGATGCTAAGCTATATCATAATTAAATCCTTCTTGATACTTTCAGTTGTTATTACAATCATAACTCTTATCATCTTCTAGAATATAAAAATATAAAAATAACAAATTTGTTTTTAATACATCTTAGTCTGTTTCTCTCCTGATGGAAATACATTAGCTTCTGGTAGTAATGATAAGTCTATCCGTCTATGGGATGTCAAAACAGGATAATAAAAAGCCAAATTAGATGGTCATAGTGATACTGTCTACTCAGTCTGTTTCTCTCCTGATGGAAATATATTAGCTTCTGGTAGTGATGATAAGTCTATCCTTCTATTATATCAAAAACAAGTATTTTTCAGATTATAGATTTATAGAAATTTCGGTTAAAAATGCTATATAATTTAGATACATATAATATTA